GTGGCCTGTAGTGTGATGAAGGTGGCAAATGACATACGGTTTCTTGGTTCTGGACCACGGTCAGGCCTGGGTGAACTGCTTTTACCAGAAAATGAGGCAGGAAGCAGCATAATGCCAGGTTTGTTTTTGCTGTCATTTTTCTGATATCACAGTCCAAATATTTGTTAACAAGTGATTGATTTTCATAGCAATCAGTTTGTTAGCTATGAGGATATTCTTTGAACAGATTAAAATAATTATGGCAAAAAACATGAGCAGCAGGAATCAGAGATTAACATAAACTGCTTAGTTGACAACTTTACCTTATCAGTCCAGTTATCAGATGGACAATTTTATGCAATTTGAGACAAGTTCTTGATTACTATAAATCCTCAAACATGGATTACCCCCCCCCTTTATCTTTAAGAAGAACAAAAATGACAGAATGTCATTAGAAATTATATTTATTTTTGCACATTTTTCAGGTAAGGTGAATCCAACTCAGTGTGAGGCAATTACCATGGTGGCAGCACAGGTCATGGGGAACAACGTGGCCATCACCATAGGAGGAAGTAATGGCCATTTTGAATTGAATGTCTTCAAGCCTATGATTGTGGCCAATGTTCTTCAGTCCATTCGGCTTTTGGGTGATGCATGTCTCTCATTCACTAATAATTGTGTGTTTGGTATAGAAGCAAATAAAAAGCGCATTCATCAAAATGTCAGCAACTCTCTTATGCTGGCAACAGCTCTGAACCCATACATTGGGTATGATAAGGCTGCCTCTATTGCTCAACATGCTCACAAAAGAGGGATCTCACTGAAAGATGCTTCAAATGAAATGAAACTTGTGACATTAGAGGAATTTGATTCCTGGGTAAGACCAGAGAAGATGCTTGGGCCCAACCTGTAAAACGGTGTGCTGAGACCATCATTTGAAGTCTGCAATAAATGAATATATTATCAGTTTGGTAGGATACTGCTTTTATTTGATGCCTGTATATGGGTGTGACTTGTGATACTGCTCTTCCTTTGCTTAATGGAAACTTGACTAAAATGTCAGATTCTCAAACAATGAGATTTAATCTTTTCAACAGAAAGGTTGATTGAATGTGTAAATGACTTTAGAACTTCTTTAAAAAAACATTGCCATTTGAATGAATGTATAGTAACAATTTGTCACCAGTGTGTTGGTATATTTTTTTGCCCAAGTCTTTACACTTGTAGACGCACAATGTATTAACATACTAGTATATATACATCTTCAGTACTAACCTGAAAAATAAATTTTGAAAATGTGATTAATTCTTGCCTTAGTTGAACTTTCTTATCATGACTGACACATATGAGTCAGTAACCGTCCTTCATAACTAGTTCATGCTCTGTCTTTAAAAATGGTTCATTCCACCCAATCCTTCTTTTTCTCTATGTAATAAGAGCAATAATGGATTGCAATAGGTCCTCTTCATATGCACATGGAATATGCAACTGAATTAAGGCTTTTTTCCTCTGGTAAACATTTTACATGGAATTTGGCATTGAGCATCATAACAATGCCTTTTAAGTTTGATTGCTAGGATGGCATCTTAACTGTGATTGGCTGAAATCAAAAGCAGAAAAAATTATTTCAATATCTCTGCATACTTTATTTTGTCAAAAAAGGTAAAACTGGTTAGATTTCCTGGAGGTTATTTTTTTACTCTACAAATGTTTGAAGCAAACTTCTTTAACTTACCTTATTACAGTATGGACATTCTCCAAATATTGTGTTAAAGCTTTGGCGACTAGAAGGGAGTGCTCGCAACCACTGCAAGAAGTAAAAGAACTCAGAACTCTCACAAACAATTTACTTCTGCAAACTTTAAAATAAACACTTAAGAAAAGCACCCCCATACGTTTCATTACTTAATTTGTGCAAGAAACAAAGCTCTAAATTATAAAGGGGGGGGGGGGGCAGTTTCTACTGTTAGTGGATTATTAATCTTCTCTATAAGAATTAATTACTGGGAAAATAAAATTCATTTTGATGCGAATATAACGGTCATCCCAATTTGTCTTAATTTAAACACCATACAACCATTGAGCCATTAAAATGCACTAGAAAGCCTGGATATTTTGGCTGTTCTTACCTCGTACAAGCAAGTTTGATGAAAAGGTTGCCCGCAACGCTGGTCATCACAGGCTTTGTCTGGAATCTCCATCTCAAGGCGGTAAGCATAGCAAATCCCACATTCCATATTAAAGTCCTACATCAAATTTAAGTAAGTATTAAACCACTGCATCTAAAGTTTTTTACATTCTTCTGTTTTGATTTACCAATATGCCTCTTACAGTTATTAAACAGTACCCAATAATAACTGTGCTGGAGCAGATGTGCAAATACTGGGTCTCACCAAACACACTCAAAACTGAGTTCCCAAAAAGCTGATGCAAATTTTGTCAAATGTTTTATGCATGCAATTTTGCCATCAAAATTCATTACAAAACAACACAGCTACCTCCTTTTTGGAATTTGCTGGTGAAGGAAACTGGACATTGAGCACTCTTTCCAAGTTGTTCAAAATGCTATCCTCTGGATTCCTGGAGGAAAAGCACTATCATATATCTACTTATTTCAATACATTTTACTACATTCCCTTAAAGTATCTGATGTTCTTTTAAAAATAAGCATTTTTACATTTGAATACATCATACATGTAGCTGTTTTACAACATAATACAGAAATAACTATACTATTAACTGAGGGTCTGAATGCCAACTACGTATGTCAACACTAAGAAACAATGGGGCAAATGAAGTAAGATATCCATACAAACTATCATTGACAAAAATAAATACTGAATACTAAGCCCAGAGAACATTATTAAAAAGTCCCGGAAATAAGTATATAAAAATCAAACGAACAATTCTCCCTGATCTCTATTTGCCATTTCTACGAAAGTAACATATAAAGAGGAGGTGAGAGGGGACTAACTGCAGTCCTAGGTAGAGGCCACCATAACACCTCTAGTCTCATTCTCTGAAGAAGGCATCATGTGAGACATTGAAATATTGAAGTGGTAAAAACTTTTGATTTTTAGCTGCTGTTAAGAACCCATTATTATAAATTTGACTTCATAACACATGATGAAATGGTTTGTTGGGTAAGAATTATAACTATAAATTATAAACACTGAAATAGATTCCACACATACCATTCTCCAATTCTACTATTCAGACTGTCTCTCAGTGGGTTTATCACTGTAAAAGAAAAGGCAAATCAACATCAGTCAAATAAGAATGTTAATTTTTTTACCTTAATTGAATCTTGATAAAAAGTATTCTAAAAATTATTTGAATTACTCATTTTCATGATCTGTTCAGAGCCCAAGAAAAATAACAAATGACACATTAATTATATGAACGTTTTACCACTTCACTCCATAATGTATTACTGGATTTAATAAAACTCAGGATTAGAACCGGGAAACCCATGTCAATTACATTAACACAAAAGCTAGCCAGAGAACACATTTTATCAGAATTTTAAAGAGAGTTGGTTTCTTGTTTCATGAGTTACTGAAAATACACATTCTGTTATATGATCTACCCTAGGATATGCTATACAAATGTGGCATCCTGGACAAACAAAATGCCAAACCGAAAAACTGAATTTGTCCAGAAAAGGTTTTTTACAATACTATACGGTAATTCTCCAATCTATACGAACGCCGCAATAATTACGAACGAAACGTTTTTTCTCTGAATCTGAATTTTTTGTCTCCATTCTGTACGAACGATCGCTAAACTCACCTTGGGCACAATTTAAATTTTCCGAACGCAAGAAAGTGTGCCCAATTGAAACTCGCCCCATGATTCGTCAAAGCGTCAGACCACCGTTCCAAACAAAGGAACTGCCACTTGACAGGAGAGATTGTTATCATGTATTTGTGCTGTTTTTGAATGAGACGATAGAAGGACTCAATCCTGCAGGCCAGTTTTAAANCGCACAAAAGAGGGATCTCACTGAAAGATGCTTCAAATGAAATGAAACTTGTGACATTAGAGGAATTTGATTCCTGGGTACGACCAGAGAAGATGCTTGGGCCCAACCTGTAAAACGGTGTGCTGAGACCATCATTTGAAGTCTGCAATAAATGAATATATTATCGGTTTGGTAGGATACTGCTTTTATTTGATGCCTGTATATGGGTGTGACTTGTGATACTGCTCTTCCTTTGCTTAATGGAAACTTGACTAAAATGTCAGATTCTCAAACAATGAGATTTAATCTTTTCAACAGAAAGGTTGATTGAATGTGTAAATGACTTTAGAACTTCTTTAAAAAAACATTGCCATTTGAATGAATGTATAGTAATAATTTGTCACCAGTGTGTTGGTATATTTTTTTGCCCAAGTCTTTACACTTGTAGACGCACAATGTATTAACATACTAGTATATATACATCTTCAGTACTAACCTGAAAAATAAATGTTGAAAATGTGATTAATTTTTGCCTTAGTTGAACTTTCTTATCATGTTGACACATATGAGTCAGTAACCGTCCTTCATAACTAGTTCATGCTGTCTTTAAAAATGGTTCATTCCACCCAATCCTTTTTTTTCTCTATGTAATAAGAGCAATAATGGATTGCAATAGGTCCTCTTCATACGCACATCACGGCACATGGAATATGCAACTGAATTAAGGCTTTCTTCCTCCGGTAAACATTTTACATGGAATTTGGCACTGAGCATCATAACAATACCTTTTATGTTTGATTGCTAGGATGGCATCTTAACTGTGATTGGCTGAAATCAAAAGCAGAAAAAATTATTTCAATATCTCTGCATACTTTATTTTGTCAAAAAAGGTAAAATTGGTTAGATTTCCTGGAGGTTATTTTCTTATTCTACAAACGTTTGAAGCAAACTTCTTTAACTTACCTTATTACAGTATGGACATTCTCCAAATATTGTGTTAAAGCTTTGGCGACTAGAAGGGAGTGCTCGCAACCACTACAAGTAGTAAAAGAACTCAGAACTCTCACAAATAATTTACTTCTGCAAACTTTAAAATAAACACTTAAGGAAAGCACCCCCATACATTTCATTACTTAATTTGTGCAAAAAACAAAGCTCTAAATTATAAAGGGGGGGGGGGGGGGCAGTTTCTACTGTTTATGGATTATTAATCTTCTCTATAAGAATTAATTACTGGGAAAATAAAATTCATTTTGATGTGAACATAACGGTCATCCCAATTTGTCCTAATTAAAACACCATACAACCACTGAGCCATTAAAATGCACTAGTAAGCCTGGACATTTTGGCTGTTCTTACCTCGTACAAGCAAGTTTGATGAAAAGGTTGTCCGCAACGCTGGTCATCACAGGCTTTGTCTGGAATCTCCATCTCAAGGCGGTAAGCATAGCAAATCCCACATTCCATGTTAAAGTCCTACATCAAATTTAAGTAAGTATTAAACCACTGCACATAAAGTTATTTACATTCTTCTGTTTTGATTTACCAATATGTCTCTTACAGTTATTAAACAGTACCCAATAATAACTGTGCTGGAGCATATCTGAGATGTGCAAATACTGGGTCTCACCAAACACACTCAAAACTGAGTTCCCAAAAAGCTGATGCAAATTTTTGTTAAATGTTTTATGCATGCAATTTTGCCATCAAAATTCATTACAAAACAACACAGCTACCTCCTTTTTGGAATTTGCTGGTGAAGGAAACTGGACATTGAGCACTCTTTCCAAGTTGTTCAAAATGCTATCCTCTGGATTCCTGGAGGAAAAGCACTATCATAAATCTGCTTATTTCAATACATTTTACTACATTTCCTTGAAGTATCTGATGTTCTTTAGAAAATAAACATTTTAACATTTGAATACATCATACATGTAGCTGTTTTACAACATAATACAGAAATAACTATACTATTAGCTGAGGGTCTGAATGCCAACTACGTATGTCAACACTAAGAAACAGTGGGGCAAATGAAGTAAGATATCCAGACAAACTATCATTGACAAAAATAAATACTGAATCCTAAGCCCAGAGAACATTATTAAAAAGTCCTAGAAATAAGTATATAAAAATCAAAAGAACAATTCTCCCCGATCTCTATTTTCCATTTTTACGAAAGTAACATATAAAGAGGAGGTGAGAGGGGACTAACTGCAGTCCTAGGTAGAGGCCACCATAACACCTCTAGTCTCATTCTCTGAAGAAGGTATCATGTGAGACATTGAAATATTGAAGTGGTGAAAACTTTCGATTTTTAGCCATTGTTGAAAGAACCCATGATTATAACTTTGACTGCATAAACATGATGAAATGGTTTGTTGGGTAAGAATTATAACTATAAATTATAAACACTGAAATAGATTCGACACATACCATTCTCCAATTCTACTATTCAGTGGGTTTATCACTGTAAAAGAAAAGGCAAATCAACATCAGTCAAATAAGAATGTTAATTTTTTTACCTTAATTGAATCTTGATAAAAAGTATTCTAAAAATTATTTGAATTACTCATTTTCATGATCTGTTCAGAGCCCAAGAAAAATAACAAATGACACATTAATTATATGAACGTTTTACCACTTCACTCCATAATGTATTACTGGATTTAATAAAACTCAGGATTAGAACTGGGAAACCCATGTCAATTACATTAACACAAAAGATAGCCAGAGAACACATTTTATCAGAATTTTAAAGAGAGTTGGTTTCTTGTTTCATGAGTTACTGAAAATACACATTCTGTTATATGATCTACCCTAGGATATGCTATACAAATGTGGCATCCTGGACAAACAAAATGCCAAACCGAAAAACTGAATTTGTCCAGAAAAGGTTTTTTACAATACTATATCCAGAATTCTCCTAAACTGAAGCTTTACGAATGGCAAATTCTGTCTCTTTACAAAGAAGACGCGATGATCTATGTCATGAAATGTTTGAAAGTATGCATATGGAAGAACATTAACTGAGCCAATTATTTTCAAAAGTGAGAGGACACCCACATGCCATAAGGCACACTCGGTTGTTATATTCCAAAACTCCAAAAATGCTAGATCTGCAGACTTTTATCCCATGGGCACTCAAACAATTTTGTGTATAAACTAAGTTGTGTTAAACTTTTTTAGATAAGTTGATTGATACTGCAGTATAATATTTTAATCATTCAATTCTTCATTTATCTTTTAGTGGACAATGTTATAATGTGTTTTAGATGCATTTATCACTCTATTAAAGTGCATGTACAATCCAACTTATACTTGCCAGAATAAACATTATCATTATTATTATTAGTATTAGATAGCTAGTTTGATAATGAAATGACCCACCATGATCAGCACCAAGGAGCTTGCATTCTGGTGGAAGTCTAGGATTTTTTGGGTCAACTTGAATCTGGACAGAAGAATTATTGCCTAGAATATGAAACATAAAATGTGCAGATTAGTCATGAAGACCTGTCGCATTATACATAGCAATTAAACGACATGGCTTGCGTCTCTCTCATGGAGACTTCAATCAGTCAGACTAATGAAATACAGGTGGACTGCGTCAACAGGGAAGGTACTCCACCTATCCACAACATGGGATTGGGTGACCAAACATTTGACATGCCCATTATGTAACTTGACTGAGAATAGTTTCTGGACAGAACCATCATTGAGGCCAACATCATTTAAAGACTTTAAAGACTTTATGCATGAAATATTTTTATTATGTTTTTTCTGAGGGACGAGATGCATTCATGCACTCTGTAACCTTAGAAAGAAGTATACAGACTGGAGAGAGACTATAGCTAAAAACAATATGCAACTGATTCTAAATCAAGGTTTAAATTTCTTCAAATTTTGTGAACTTTAATAGAATACTCCAACATTTACACTACCACCCAAACCAAAAGTAGTTATCTTAGGGTTTTGTTGGGATATAAACAATTCTTTCTATTTATTGCTATTAATCACTAAAAGAACTAGATCAACTTTCAAATACTAGCACCTAAAGCAATCCTTCGCTTAGACGCCCCTCTGATTGGGTTTTCTGGCTCTAAGATCCATGTTTTACTGTCTATTTCATCAAGCTGATTCCAAAAGTCTTGCAGGGTTTCTAGCATATTCTGGAACTGTTTATACAAGAACTGCAGCATCCCAGTCTAAATGTACAAAACAAAAGTATACGTTACTCATCAAATAGTCAACAGCAAGGAGACAAAGAACTTTTGAAAGTCTTTATATGCAGTATGGAAGTGAAGCTAGAAAGGAGATCATCTGAGCAAGCCTTAAATGAAGCTGTCAGTGGTACACAATGTCATATGAGACTGGAGATGTGTAGGAATTATTATGCAGTGGGGTTCACTTTTACTTTTCAGCAATAAAGTGAAACGCCATTTACAGGGGAGGTCATCTTATAAAGCAATACAAAAGTGATTGTGCAATAGACTGTTATTCTACAGAACTTGAGAGAAAACATCCAGAAAAATATCTGTGGGTAAATTGTGTTAGTTTTTATTTGTTATCGCACCACAATCACTATATAGTAAGCTGTTATCTCTGGCACCACTCTTCTCCAATCTCATTTGAGTTCACACTTGTAAGGCATGATAATTAAGGCTATCTTGGATGATTCCCATTGACAATGACAATCAAAAATTAAAACTAGAATAAAAGAATATGCCTGGCCCTAAACAGTCCTTTCAAAGGGAACATCTGCAAGATTATATACTTGATAAAGTTCTTTTACACCCAAAAAAGTCTTTTGTGTTGTGTTACCAAAGTGAAAAATCATTTGGACAAAACAACAAATCTTATGTTTGGGAAGCAAAAAAGTATTCCATTCACCTGACTGGACCAGCTAATGTTAAAAGGGATTGGTAAATCCACTGTGCATATAGGCCTTTCTACTGGATGCTATAAAAAATGAAAAGATAAAAGAGTGACCCAATGTACAACCTTTTCTAATTAAAATTCAAAGATAGATTTAAAGTGATATTATTTTGAAGCCTCTTAAATCACTTTCTTTCTGAACATCACCTTACTATAATGTAATTGTTCTTTTCTTTCATGCATTATTCTTTTTTTAATCAAGAATTCTTTTCTTTTTTCACTTCAGTAACCATTTTTAACAAACAGAAACCAAACTGTGCTTGCAACAATGTAAAAATGTTATATCTTCAATTAAACAATTTTAAATATTACATTTAATCACAATTTAGATAATGTGTTTATATAATTACATAGTTGTTTCTTGTAATTAAAATTATATTTTCAATTAAATTCAAAATACAGGCATTAATTTTAGTAGCTTACCGTTCACTTAAAGATAAACTGCTGAAAAGATATATTAGATCTACATATACCACCTTTTCTTCAGCCAAATGTACAATGAGTACTGTACATGTAAAGCCTAAGGATATGAGTTTGGAACTTGATAAAATGAAGGTCAGTTCATAGTGAACATGTAGGACCCCTCCATCTTGTGTAATAAAACGAATTAACGAAATAACTTGACAAACACAATAACACAAGTTGAATGACATTTGGCCAGTTAAGGCTTCAGCAAAACCAACAACAAAGAGAGACACAGTGATCCAAATAAACAAAGATATACATGTCACACTGTCATTGCGGTGCTTTGGTGGAAGGCCACATTCAAGAATTATGCCCCATTTCAGTAACATTATTCATTTGATATTATGATTTTGTCAGGTGAAACAAATAGGTAAAATAATAAAAAATACCTCAGAACTTATATGTATTTTTAAGATATGTTCTCTGCCTCCTTGATCCATAGCCCGTAGATGGAGCTGCTGTAGACTGGTGTCCACATATGATACGCTAATGAAATAAGATTTTGAAAATAGAAAATCAATAAAGATAAATATTATTCTAGGCAAATCATATTCACTGGAATAAAGTAAATAAAAATTGACAAAATTTATTCCAATGAAAAAGATTCCTGTGGTGTGTTTCGAGTTTTTTTTCCCTTCTTGCCGTTTCCCATGTCAAAATCCCTTTTTTCATTTTTACCTCCGCCAAGGAGGTTATGTTTTTGGTTCCGTTAGTTTGTCTGTCTGTCTGTCTGTTAGCATCATTACAGAAAAAGTTACGGACCGATTTTGATGAAATTTTCAGGATCTGTCAGAAGTGGGCCAAGGAACAGATGATTAGTTTTTGGTGGTGATACGGATCATTAATCAATCAATAATCAATAATCAAAAAACTAAACCATTATAGAATGAAAATTTAGGGGTAAAACAGCATTGGGTGGAGACTATCCTGCCTTGGCGGAGGTCTGTGCTCTCAGAGTGCTTTTCTAGTTTAGCATGCTCTGAACACATTTTCCAGACCATTTTTACACCTCTGGTGATGAATAACAAAATCCGTTTTAAGCGTTTGTATTCAAAGATTATGATTTTTTTTTCTTCCAAGTAGTGATTATTTTATCAATTTAAACTGAATCTACACTTCATGAAAATGTCAAAGTTGTTTTAAAGAAAATGCACTTACTTTTTCCAATCCAGTTCCTCTATTTCTGTGAGTAGTTGTTTGTAATATGATGGTGGAGGAAGCATAATTAGATGCATTTTTTGGGCCTGACTTTCCTACAATTTAAAATAAGCACTTATGATTATACTAAGGTACAAAAGTTATCCATTCAGAAGAAAAGGAAGGAACAGTGTAACATGATATCACTTAATCTTGTGTTTACCACTCCTTTCTGTTTACTAATAAAAGATGTTCAAATAGTGTAATGAATGTTTTTTACAAACGAATGTTCTAAACAACTATAAATTTTGCAAGCTTAATTCAAGCGTGGGCCCCAAAATAGGATGAAGTCTCCAACTCTTAACTCTCCGAACTCACGTTCGTCTTCTGTGTGCTCCAAAGCTGGTCTCCCCCCAGATATTACTTAGAAACCGCATTATATCCAAATTCCATATGCTAGCTGGATTCAATGCTACATTACTGCGTGGCACATACACATCTTAATTACTTTAAATTGTAGTGTTATTTGCTTTACATCGGTGTTGTATAAAGAAGCTGTCATGTTACTCAAGAGCTCTTGGACGAAAACACGTTACATAATCATGATATCGAAATTAGCTTTATGTCGGACACAACAGGCACATAGTACGAGGTCTATGATTATTAATAATATCCGAATAAAAGGACCAAGTTCACATTATCTAGAAAATACACAAAAACAATGAGGATATGAAAATAAGACAATACATTTACTCTGTTTATACACTCATTTGCTTAAAAGAACACGAAAACTAAACCCCAACAATTCCCACTGTATTCACATGAAACTTAATTTTTTTTCATAAGAGAAAAAAGAATTCTATCAATACCCTTGATGAGACTATTACAACAGCTGGAAGCAGATTGGCCCACGTTTCTATACAGATATATGAACAACCACACTATTTCTGTGAACTAGACAAACTGCTTTCCACATGCAAAATCAATAGCTCTTTTATTGGTCAATTACCATTTTGTGCCATAAGAACTCAAGTCCCATATGTGTGTAGGTGTGAGAGTAATCCCTAGAGAGAACAGTAATCAAATGCCATTAAATCAAATCTCAAATAATGGGTAGTTTAAGTAAACCCTAATGAGATTATTGATCAGTTGATCTCTGCCTAAGCAGAGCTTGATTTCTATCTAGTTACCCTAAGGGGTTGAAATTCAACAAGCAGAGTAGTTCAGACCAGTAATGGACATTCAGATGTTATGTGTCAGACAAAGGCTGATCTTACTTGTTTTTTTGTCATGCACAAACGATAGAATAACCAGACACATACAAATGGGATATAAGCACAGATTTAAAAAAAATGATATAGCCCAACTGTTAATAACTTTAAATAACATTTTTAATTTTGAGACAAATACATGATTTTGCAGATATTTTTTAGTTCTTCATCTTTGGTAAATGCAAATAATCTTCAAGACTAGTTTCTTGTGCAAAAAAAAGGCAAAAGGTAGACATTACTATAATGCATAACTCAAACAGACTGTCAGACAGTCTTAAGTTCAATTCTAAAGATAACATTTATGTAATCCTTGAAAACCTCTTCACTGTACAACTTTATATGTCTTCAAAGAGTTAGCTTGCATCTGACCTGCATCAACTTACTGCAATTGTCTTCAGCTCCAATAGGAATGTAGCCAAATCCTGACTTTGCTGTAGACGCTAAGTCAATAGAAAAGGAAATTAGCTCATTAATCAATAGTGTCGACTCAGTGGTGTCTATTCTAAAGCCCGTTTCCTAATCAGACTGGTTTTCACAATCAGGAAACAGAATTAATGCACTTTCTTAGAATTGAAATGCCTTTAAGGTAATCATTTCGCTCATGTGGAACTGACTTGCTATATACTGTTTGCAGTAGCTGTTGCACAAACTGTGTGTGTGTGTGTGTGTGTGTGTGTGTGTGTGTGTGTTTGTTTAATGCCAAGAAGCTAGCGAGATATGTTATCTAACTTCTTGGCAGCTTAAAATTTAGTATGAATTTGAAGAATTATCAGACAAATTATATATACAATGTATGAATCATTTGTCAAAACACTTAATTTTAGTGTATGTTAATTGCCAGACTAAAACATTTACTTTTTCAATCACTGCCTCATAACCCTGTAGCATTTGTTGCAGAGATAAGTCACACTGGACTGATGCTTGAGAAAATGTTCCCCCTGGTGGCAAACTTATTTGGAATTGGTGCTCTTGACCCTGTAAATGTAGTAAGCAGAAATAAACCAAAACTCCCTAAATCACTAACAGTATCATTGATAGTCAACATACAGAAAAACAGACCCACAGTGAAGCTGTATTTCAAGAAAGATTTTTATTTGAAATAACTTAACCATCATAATAGAACAAATGAACATGAAACTGCACTGTATATATATGTACAAAACACTACACACCACCCAGTTTGACTTAGGTATGTGCTGATTTGGAACTGTGTATAAGTGATTACATGCGCTGAATTATTGACTTCCACCTCAATTTCATGGTCCTTTTGTAAAAATACTTGCTGCGAACACTACATCTTAAACTGCGAACAACAAGTCCACTCTCCTGAGAAACTCCTAAAAGAACCTATATATATACTCTAGTATACAACAAGAGACCCAGATGATGTCGGTCAAATTGTTTGCAGTTTATAGGCTCATTCCCATTGAAACTATTGGTCTGCGTAGAACGATCCAACTCAGCAAAGACTCTCACTAAATGCAATCAGTTTAATAGATTACTCGTAATATGTTTGGTCCTGGCATTGAAACAATACACAAAAGCTGGTGATTATACAAGGACACTGGAAACAAGAGGTGTGTTAATCTGTGAAACTGATTGCATTGCAAACATCCCCACAGAGTTGGATCAATCTACATAGACCGATAGTTTCAATGGGAATGAGCCCTAAAATTCTGTGCACATAGGCAGAATTTTTATAATCGGACCATGAAATTGTGGTTGAAGGCAATTGCTTTCACAAACCCGCAGCCCCATTGTTTATGAAGCCTGTTATTGTATCTAGATGTGGAAATATTCTGTAACTCCAATCCTCTCACTAACATTATTAAATAGATCTTGAGAGGCCTTGAGGATATAGACAGAACAGCAAAGGCATACAAACACAATGCGTGGCCATTTAGTTTGATAGACAATGTTCAATAAAAAATGACAAAAGGAGCATAAATGTAATAATTTAAGTGAATTATAATACATTTATCACTGGTTATAACTTTTACTTACATGTACATTTATAAAGCCTTCAAAACATGTTCTCTCATTATTTTGTGGAATAAGGTAAAAGTTATCATCTGACTGCATCAACGACATTCTGAAAAATAAAAAAAAAATGAAACTTAAAGTACATTAATTGGATATTACAAGGAATGTTCATGGAATTGGATTCCTTTCCCCCCCCCAGCTATGCTTACATCTCAAAGACATGTTCCACAATATATGGAATTTGTACAAGTATACACTACTAAATCAACTAGAATATTGTAAGAAAATAACAGCTCATCGTAAAATTAAGTCTTTCATCCATACATTCAACATGTTTATGAAATTTAACATACACATAATGTCAGCCCATGAAATGCCCTCAAGCAGCTCACTTTGACTGAATGGATAAAAAATGTCTTGTAAAAACATTAAAAAAACCCATTAAGTAATTTTCCAAACTAATTTAGCTAAATAGATGAGTCTCTGATCCAAGTCACCACATACATGAAACTGAATTTAAAAAAAAACATTGCAATTCAAAGACTTGACCTGAGGATGACACCACAAGTACCAATTAGTGTACCACTAACAGTTTAAGGTATCCCATCTGGGGGAATTTTGTGCCCAAACTAATTTTCATTTACTTAAAAATCATTGCTGAACCCATCCCTGCACTTGGATTCAATGTTTTGTACCATATACCCATTTAAAGCAGGTCTTACAGATTTAAAAGATGGTTATATATAGCAGCATAAAAAGGGGATTTTCCCTGAAACTTCAATTTTCTTTCTCATGAATACCAAGCCATATCTAACATGAATGAGTTGAGAAAATAAAAAATTTTAATTACTTTTTTATTTCAACTTCGAAAAAAACTGCAGTGTTTTTTTTAATATCTTGATTTCTCGCATTTCTGTGCTACAAGGGGCTAATTTAGTGGGGAATGCTGATAAAAAAAGCAGTGTACTTCTGCAAAACATTCTTCTGTTATAAAAGAACTTCTGTAATAAAAGAACAGATTTAGACATTAGGCTGACAGGCACTGGGCTCCATAGAAATGAAAAACAAATATAAATAAGTGTAGTTAGTTCATCGATAAAACATCTACTCAACAATTAACTACCATGTATCTATAAGCACGTTGATATAAATGACTGGGGATTGTCAGATTGCATATTCTCCCCTTAATTTATTTATTAAAAAAAACATAAATGAAAGGTGCGATGGAGGGCACAGTTTTGCCAAGGCGTTGATATATGGCCTTGTAACACAGGGTGGAATGAGACCTTAATTACCTGTAGTAATTCTACTAATGCACATGTAATACTGCTGTAATAGGCCTAAATCTGAGGCTGGCCTCCAGAAAGTGACCTATCTACTATGTTGTCACGCTGCCGTCTTTTCAAATGCTTATTCAGCAGGTCATCACCAGCAAGCGTAGACTTAAAGTTTTTGATAATTACGATACTTATGAGGTCAGGCCAGCTTGGGTGATTGCACCAACCTGTACAGCTCTGCGTGCACTCAACGTTTATCGCCTCCCGGTCTCTGACGTCATCACTACCTATACCAACTTCCGGTAATCTATGAAGATCTTTTCGCCAGCCAATGAAACTCGCGAGCGGAGAGCTTAAGTACGGCAGGGACGGGCTTCGTACAGGTAGTACGTCTTTTGTATGAGCAACGAGATCAATCTCACAAGACTTTAATATGTCTGTCATGAGAGATGAACAGTATGGACTCTATGAGGACAAAAACAACAAGCGAAGTATAACTAACGGGAGAACTCGCACGCTAAGCTGCGATGCGGACTTTCCCTCAGCGCCAGGAAGGTTACATAGTGTTGATGAAGAAAATCAAAACGAAGAGAAGGAACGTCTCTGTGAAATGACAGACGCATATACACATTTACTAAAAGGGATTGGTGAAGACGTTTCAAGAGAAGGTTTGTTAAAAACCCCTGCCAGGGCATCAAAAGCAATGTTGTTCTTCACAAAAGGTTATGAAGAAAAGATTCAAGGTAAGTGAACCGAAATAAATTAAAGCAAAAGGCCAATATAAACATATAAACACTTTATAATACTACTGGTTCATATAATTGCTCTAAAGAATGACAGACGTGACTTTCATGTAAGCGTTGTCCTACTATTTTCTCTCCGACAAACAACAGACGGTGGTCTTGCACTTTTTATCTAGATGTACGGGATGTAGATCTATAATTTAGACAAGCTTAGTACACCTGCATGTATTTTTCTTTTCTTTCAAAGTTCGTCGGCTTTTTTTAATTGACAAACTCTTTTCTAAAGAAAAAAAACATGACTTCTGAGTCCATTGGTCATACGGTTCATTTGTCTGAAATTTATTAAAAGAACTTTTATTCTAAAAACATTTACAGTGGTAGTAATAAAAGTTTCTTTTTAATATTTTTGGAGCTGGAACCCTTTCCTAGGCTTGGATAGATCGAATACAAAACACCAAATCTGTTACTTCCAAAAGCCTGGCAAGCTTATTTCTTGTCTAAGTTGGGATAGCACAAGCGGTATATAGTGTCCTGCATGTTGCTGCATCTAAGACTTCTCTTTCTAATACCATCTTTTCTTCCTTTTATCTAATAATTCCATATCTTAAAATGTAATTAACCTTTCTAAATGATAACTTAATGGATTAAAAACTGGCCTTATTAATGGAGGGCATGACATAAAACTATTTTCAAACACTGGCCATTTCGGTCAGTTAGATCTGAAAATTTACTTCCACATACCAAAGCAGGGAGGTGTGAGGCGGTCTCCCTAAATTGCGCAATACAGTGCAACACAGCGCAACACACTTGAAATAACGAGTAATTATCTCAGCCTGTTTTACAAATAAATTTTTTCTTGCACCGTTTGAAGATGTCCTCAGTGGTAAGTTTGCTCAGACCGTGTTGTTTACACCTACTAGTTTCATATCGGAAGTAAATCACAGGTCATGCACAATTCTTTTAAAAGTCAATTTTTGAACTTCTAAGGCAAATTTAAACTGGAAATGATAAAAAAAGGTCAGTGAGGCGCTTTTTTCGTCAAATTTTTTTGACTTTCTGTATTATTACACAGAGGCACTATGTAAGTGATCCGTTAGAAAGTCACTTGGGTTTGCGGGCATGTTACACCAGTACTGGTAGATGCATGTCGAATCCTGAATTATAAAATGGATGTTTGCTGCTAAACTGATGGCAAAAAACACAGACAAGTTAATATCATAATCCAAATTTGCCGATAGAACAAAAACTCCTCAGCCCTTCAACAACTCAGGCTGACAGTCTGGCGTTAACTTTGAACACTGATTTGCTACTTTGCTTGGTAAAATAAAGTGACTCAAGGAGCCAGTGGTTTGAGAGACCATGTTCTCTTTATTCTGTCTGTACTCACTCAAGTGTATAATTGATGACGTAAACTCTACACATAAGATATAACATGCATGTAAAGTCAAACTACTACATATCCTTCCCCACCTTGAATTACTTTTAACCTGGAGTTGAAAAGTAAGTTAAAAATAATAATTACATATGCACAGTGTCCGACAGTCACTCACAAAAGTCACGTCTTTCGTTAGGGTCCTTAACCTCGTGTGGTAAGTGTAAAGACGTTCTCCTAATGTCTGATCTGCATTCCTGAACTTGAAAATCTCGTAGGCAGTGTTCTTTTTCGGCTCAAAATACTCAGTGAGTTTTTCTACAGCCACATCGTAATCATCATGTCCTCAAATGTTTCAAAGATATCATTCACACCAGGTCCGGCATAATGCAACAATAGTGTGTGGCACCTTTTACTGTTGTCTGCATTTATTGGCATTGCGGTGAGCAAATTTTCCAACTGCTTTTGCCACTTTTTCCAGCATGTCCCTGCATTTCTTGGGAAAATTTGGTAGAGCTCCTGCCATCTCCTTGATTTGCAGTTTTAGCACTTGTCGCTAGAAACAATAAAGTGACTTGAGGAGCCTGTTGTTTTAGAGACCATGTGCTCTTTATTCCGTCTGTACTGACTCAAGTGTATAATTGATGACGTTAACTCTACAAATAAGATATAACACACCTGTAAAGTCAAACTACTACATTACACTTGGTAAAACTAAATATTGTAGTTATGGCATCTTATTTGAATTTTGGCCTCTTATACACATTTTCTATACCCAGTTGTAACAATAGCTCAGAGTACTGCTTGTACACGTCCCTTTCAAAGTGATCAGAGCGAAGTCTTGATAGGAATTTGTTAGGGTGATGTTATTCCTTTTCAATTAACTGTCCACATCTTTCTCAAACTCTGTCCTTTGGAAATGTAAACATATGAATGCCAGAGCTTTTGCTGCTTTTTTAGTGCATTCCAGAGCAACACACTGAGGCATAACGAAAATTGCCCAGTTCCATGTACTACAACCTTACCTATCTTCACTGTATTCAGTATGTAGCTCAGCTGATTCTCAAAGACCCTTACCTTGTGTAATATGATGGCTCTTTACTGAGTCCAACGTGCTGGACTCTATTCAGGAGAGAGACAACAACAATGCGTCTGACTTCTACGAAAGTTTATTGTGAAGTGATAGGCTTGTATATACATGTACATTAAAAAGTATGAGGAACACCTGTTTACTTTAACAATGCCTGAGAACTGTCATCACGTGTAATCTGTAGGTGACCAAGGGTCATTCAAAGAATGCCACTAATGGAAGCTTGTGAACTTTAATAACATTTACCAAAAAANTTCTTTTTCGGCTCAAAATACTCAGTGAGTTTTTCTACAGCCACATCGTAATCATCATGTCCTCAAATGTTTCAAAGATATCATTCACACCAGGTCCGGCATAATGCAACAATAGTGTGTGGCACCTTTTACTGTTGTCTGCATTTATTGGCATTGCGGTGAGCAAATTTTCCAACTGCTTTTGCCACTTTTTCCAGCATGTCCCTGCATTTCTTGGGAAAATTTGGTAGAGCTCCTGCCATCTCCTTGATTTGCAGTTTTAGCACTTGTCGCTAGAAACAATAAAGTGACTCGAGGAGCCTGTGGTTTTAGAGACCATGTGCTCTTTATTCCGTCTGTACTCACTCAAGTGTATAATTGATGACGTTAACTCTACAAATAAGATATAACACGCCTGTAAAGTCAAACTACTACATTACACTTGGTAAAACTAAATATTGTAGGTATGGCATCTTATTTGAATTTAGGCCTCTTATACACATTTTCTATACCCAGTTGTAACAATAGCTCAGAGTACTGCTCGTACACGTCCCTTTCAAAGTGATCAGAGCAAAGTCTTGATAGGAATTGGTTAGGGGGATGTTATTCATTTTCAATTAACTGTCCACATCTTTCTCAAACTCTGTCCTTTGGAAATGTAAACATATGAATGCCAGAGCTTTTGCTGCTTTTTTAGTGCATTCCAGAGCAACACACTGAGGCATAACGAAAATTGCCCAGTTCCATGTACTACAACCTTACCTATCTTCACTGTATTCAGTATGTAGCTCAGCTGATTCTCAAAGACCCTTACCTTGTATGATGTAACTGTACCATGTGACACAGGTCTGTCATTTCATTTTTGCATATCGAGGAGGGGTTTTCTAAAACACTTTTTTTCTACTAATATATATTGTTTTTATAGTGTTTATAGTTTGGTAAATTGATTCAAACATATCTCTGGTGTACAGATCAAGTGCTGGATCTACACAATTTGAGAAATGGAGTTTTATGTGTCTCAAACCCTTTAAAGTCTCCATTAGCTTTGGGTATTAGGACTTTTAAATAAAAAAAACTTGATATTGCAAGCCCTTTAATTACTCAGTTCATTTGATATCTATCTTTCTCTAGATGACATAGCTAAAATTAAGTTTTGTTTGTGATTGTAATTATTACATATATGATTTTCATATGGATTAAACTTTTTAAATGTTCTAACACAACCATCTGTTAAAACAATTGGCCTTGACAAGTGCTTTGACTTTGCTAGACCCACTTTCAAACTTCATATTTTTATGAGGGGCCCATTGGATATTTTGGTTACCATTGAAAGCCACTGTTACTTCTCAAGATACATGAAATGTTCATATTATTTAATGAGATCTGTGAGGAACCCCATTCCAGTGACTCCTGAATGAGTCTTTTTTCATCATTCATGGAATGAAGTAATTATAATTTGGTGATTCTTGATTTCCAACTTGTATACCCTGCATTTTAAGTGAGGCATGAATAAACTTTTATCTTGTGTGAATTTTGAATTGATGATTTTATTCCTGTAAACTCATACCCCCACCCCCCCTTGGACTGTCTTTTATTGTTTTGCTACAAACATTCATGCCTGCTTTTCAAAGCAGTTTGTAACAAGTAGTAGAAACAAATCCGGTGTGTACCCTGACTTACGGACTGATAAGGAGTTTTGTCAACAAGAACATGTGTTAGCCTGCCTAACAGTAACATCCAAACTTTTTAAATTATTATTATACATCAATTTTTTCATTTCTATGACAACGTTCAGATTCAAATGTTGTGCCAGCTGGATTATACAACTCTGCAGGGGATTCCAAATTGTATTCAGTGTTATCAGCTTAATTGTCTGACACGCCTCCTGGAGGAGCTACAAAGGATAATTAACTTGGTTTGGTTTAATTACCCCCTAACTGCTTGAGGAGGCATTTCAAGAATTTAAGCCGATGCCAGTGATTGCACTTATGGAGAATCTTTTGCAGAGTTGGATCAATCCAGCTAGTACAAAGGGCTTATCTGAATGCTCTCTAACACTGGTTTAAAAATTACTCTTTTAAATTTTCAGATGTCCTAAATGATGCCATATTCGATGAAGATCATGATGAGATGGTGATAGTCAAAGACATTGAAATGTTTTCCATGTGTGAACATCATCTGGTGCCTTTTATTGGGAAGGTAGTAAAATGTCTAAATTCTTTTGGAAAAAAATTATTTTGATTGAAAAATATTCTAAAAGCTGAAATTGTAAGGAAATTTGCAAAAAAAAAAATGCTGCAAAAAGATGTACATTAATGACCACAAAATCCACCACCTTTTACCAATACGTAATGAACAGTTTTATACAGTAAGCTGCAGAGTGCTCAGATATTCAAACTTAAAACATCCAGAGCCTTGAGCATTGTCAACTTTTACAAAGTGAATTTATCATTTTACCGAATACATCCAAAAAAATTTATTCTAATTTGTTATGCAGTTCTTGAAAATGTATTTTAAAAATGTTTAAATAAACAATGTCTTTTTTACAAGTACCATTTTTAGTATTATGAATGTACCATCCAACATTTGGTAAATATCATTATTATTATTGATCAGCAGTAAGTAGTGCCAGCAACAAACATTGCCAGCAATGGCTTCAAACCATGTCCTCCTTATTCAATAGTCTTAAGGCTCATTCCCATTGAAACTATCGGTCTTTGTAGATCAATCCAACTCTGAGGACTCTCACTGAATGCAATCGGTTAAACATATTTACACACCACTTCCTGGTGTAGAGAAGGATACAGCAAAGCTGGTGATTATATGAGTACATTGGAGACGAAGAAGCGTGTAAATCTTTTAAACTGATTGCATTTAGCAAGAATCCCCACAGAATTGGATCGATATGTGTAGACCGATAGTTTAAATGGGAATGAGCCCTTATGTACTTTGTGTGTTAATGTTTTCTTTACATTTTTTGGGGTTGATCAAAACAAGAATTTTACTACTGAAAAAAACTAATGTACAATTTCAGACTTTTGCATTACATTATACAACTGAAAAGTAATTTCTAAATATATTTTCCTAACTGGTAATTTTCATCTGTATTTCAGGTCTCTATAGGTTATTTGCCAAACAAAAGAGTCCTTGGACTTAGTAAACTTGCGAGGTTTGTCATGTTTTATAACTTGGTCATACTAACCCCCCACCTCCTTTTTTTGTTTGTTGGTTGGTTGGTTGGTTGGTTTGGGGGGGGGGGAGGTGCTTATTATGCAAATTTGGCAAATGAACAATTTTTATAAGCTAAAAACAGCAGGCAGGCTGTTTTATTAACTGATTGCATTCTAATGTGACACATTTCAGAAACAGTTTGTTAGGTCTACCGGTGCCACTATAATTTCTACATTTTATAGGAATCCTACAAGATTCTTATATTTGAGTGAGGTTCTTATATTTTCATTTGTTGTTATAACTACATTTTTGTGACAAAAGTCAGGGATTGTGTTGTTCTGTACATCAGTGAGTCTATATGTGAGGCGTTCTGAGTGTTTATAATTTCCACAATCTAGACCATTAGAGTGAGGAAGTTGGGATGTGCATGGGTCCTTTGGGATTTTAGTATACCTGGGGGGTGGGTTGCCCTTGGGAGTGGATGATTCTGTTTTTCACAGTGTGATTATTGCTGTCTCTTCCTAGAACATTGGAGTTTTCATAATTTTGGATATATTAAAAATTGTCAAATCATTTTCAAGGTATTGAGGGTCATCTGAGATAGCCTAAAACAAAGCAGAAGGCACTTCTTTACATTATGTAAGACTAGAAAACTTGTTTTGTAACCATCCAAAATGACTTTCACTTTAATTAATAATTGTATTCCAGTAAAACAATTTTCATCAACAAATTAACAAATGTATGGGCTCAAACATAACTCTTTCTTCCACTTCACATGCACAGAGAAGCATAACAGAACTACCTCAGTTCTAAATCTACATCTTCAGGCCTCATAAACAATAATTGCCATTGCCGAGCAAGTTTGTGCTTGTTGACTTTACGTTGTGCTTGTGAATCTGAGGTGCGGCTCGTTAATATTGGCATTTGCGCTCGGGAATCTGAGGCTCGTGCTAGGAAACGCCTTATCCTTTTATGAGGCCTGATCTTGGCAGACTTTAAACACGTAATCTACAGGTAATCTGTGTGTGCCAGTGGCTGCTACTGATTTATATGCAATCTGGAAAAATTAAGAAGCTCTACACCCATGCTTGAGTGTTGGTTTAATTTGTCACGTTCCACCATTGCTTTCAGCATAGATCCATGGGTTGCACTTGATTTAAAACTGTGTCAAGATTGTTGACAGGGGGCCAGGTACATCAGGAGGTGATAAACAAGATTATTTATGCTTTTCCATCTTTAACTGGGGTAAATAAGTTAAATAGTAGAAGAAGAGTCATTATATATGATTGATAATTTGAATGATTTGGAATAAGATTGCTCTTTATTAAAATCACATATGAAGAAATTTCAAATTGAAATAACAGAGAAATATGTAAAAAGCAAAATTAATTTTTGAAAAAAAAAAAACTTTTTTTTGGCTACTTAAATTCATAGCTTTTATCTTTTTAAAAATGACCCAAAAGTGTCACTTGTCTTTGTATAGGTGCAACAAAAAACATTGAAGTAAAAATAATGAAGTCTTATGCACTGTCCCTTTCAAGTAGAAAAAGTTTCCACTGAGGACCTGTTAAAAGAACATTTGCACTTAAAGACGTAGCAAAAAATATGGTCATGTAAGGTATATTTCTCATAGGCAAATTATGGTGCATCCACATCTGAGGTTACAAATAAGAAATACCATAATTAGAAAATTTTGCACTGAAATATTTGCCTGTGTTTCGTGTGTATTAAAATCCAGACCAAAAGGGGCTTGTCACATTCTTTTAAAATTCAGAGCATGCAGGTCTTGAAACAGAGTCAGATGTTGATTATCTTACTCCATGCATCCATTTGTCAAGTACACAATGATTGCTAGAAGAAAAGAAAGGAAAATTCCTTTACTTCCACATAAACTCAAGAGGGACTTGTATATACTTCTTGGCTCTTATTGTGTCCAGAAAATGGATTTTTTTGAAAATATTTGTCAAAAAAAGATGAAATGAATAATATATTCAGAGAAGTGTCAGAAAATGTTTAAAAAGGATGTGAAAATAAAAAAAAACTGCCATGTTACACTCATCATTCTTCATTGTAATGGAAGTAATGTATATGGAAAGGGTCCCCCTTCTCACATCTTTCCATAGCTGATAGGTTGAGCCAAGTAGCACCCCTGCCTTGGGGTGCTCTCATGCTTTTTTCATCTCTATACAAGTGTAATCCTGAATATAACAACTCATACATACAACATATAGATTAGTTCAATTGCAATATTGATGTCACTTGAATAGATCATGCCGACATGTATGTTCATTGCTTGATTAGTTCAACTGGGAAAATTGTTTGATTTACAGATACTGTATTTTTATAGCAATAAATTCTTTAAATGAGAACACTACTGTAATGCAATCACTTCAATCAACACTTTAGTCAACATCTTTAGATGTGGATATTGGTATTTTTACTTTGATTCAAAAGTAATGCAAGCTGCTTAAATTTATTTTTATTGTTACAGTTCCTCCTTTTATGTGCTAAGATATGCTTTTTAAGTCATTGCAATTCATTTTCCTACTGGGGATTTCATCCGAGTCATTAAAAACCTATTATTTTTCCATTTCAGAATAGTAGAAATTTTCAGTAGAAGATTACAAGGTAGGTTGAACTATGGAACTATTCACATTTCATTTTAGAAAAAGAATCACTGGTCAGAAAATATTTTATGGACCAAATGTTGAAGTTGGTTATGTCAGGGATCTGTTTTATGTTATTTCCCATTTTTCAGTTCAAGAAAGATTGACAAAGCAAATTGCAGTTGCATTAACGGAAGCCATACAACCAGCTGGCGTAGGAGTGGTAATTGAAGCAACGTGAGTCCTACTTCTTTAATTGTTGTTTAATTATTAAAAGCAGAAACTTTTCACAATTATCCACGTTGTCCGTTTTGATAAAATCCCATTCCATCATCATGTTAAAGTGGGATGCCAGCAGTAATATGTTCTTAATTAGTACTTAGAGGGTTAAATATATGGTTACTTGATGTGATGATTTTTGTAGGCATATGTGCATGGTTATGCGTGGGGTACAGAAGCTCAACAGTAAAACTATCACCAGTACTATGCTTGGAGTATTCAGAGAAGATCCCAAGACCAGAGAGGAGTTTTTAACCCTTACAAGAACATAGAAATGGTATATTTTATTGTTTAGGTACAAGATTGCCAGTTAATGTTGTCAGAAATCTACTAGTACCCTTTCAAGTGTATTCTTTATACGGTATATAGTGAAACTTTACATCAAAACCCTATTAAGGAGATGAAAGTTATGAATAAACAGCCAAAGCATTCAACAAATGATTGGCTGTCTGGTTTTTAAGCAGCCATAGAAGAATAGGTTGCAGCATTTTCTTTCTGTGTTAATCATGTAAAGAATATTTACAAAAATGAAATCATTGTTATGATCTCTGTAAAATAGTTTATCGGTGTGCTACCATTATATATAATATATATATAATGGTGTATGATCACAAATCATTTGTGAGACATTAATCAAATGTCAAGAAAGTCCATATCTTTTCACTTGAAATATATGTAATTTCTCACAAACTAAAAGAAAAAGATGTATAGAAGCTACAAAAGTCTAATGTGCAAAGGAGGCTCAAATCTGACTTTGGTTTTGTCCTTATTTTTTAGTGTAAAAATCACTCTGCTGCATTCCATACCATTGCAGACCTATGCATTTATATTGTGGTATGTATTTACAAACTAGGTTGGAACATTTTCAGTGTGGCAACCATTTCATAGTAAAACTGAAAACTCTTCTCTCTTTTTAATTCACTTTTCCACAGATAGTGATGCTCATGTGCCAACTATGATCGCATTCACAACGAGTTGTTAAATTGTTAAGAGGCTAAATTGTTTCTGAAAATACTACAGACCCAGTGATTGTTGCTTTTTGTCAAGGGGCCCAATACTGATGCTGGACTCCAGCTTCCTATTATATATATGTTAATTATATAGGAATTACTTAACATAAAAAAAGTCAGATTGTGCTTTGCTATGTGCAGAACCTGAATATCTCTTTAAGACTTGGACAATTAATTCCAGACATTGTTGTTCCAATCTTTAAAAAATCATTAATCACACAACTGTAACTGGCAATCACTGTTCTGTATATTTAGCAGTTTATCAGAAAACAATACTTTTTTCTTACTTGTAGATAGAAAAATTAGCAGAAGTTCCTTGAAGGCTTTATATAGTAATTAACAAAACAATGAGGTACTACTTTTCATTGGAATTCCCATAGTATTTTGATTAGATTTCTTATATATATTGTTGTATTGTCTTCCTCCCTCTTACCTACCACATTCATTTAGTATATTTTGAACATGTTTCATATTTATAAGTTTGAACTTCCCCATCGCTGGTAAAACCTGGGTAAAGTTTGTCATGATATTTATTTAACACAGTGGCAAAGATTATGTCAAGTCGTCATTAATAAGACTGACACTGGTAAGCTGCAGTAATGCCACGATCCATTCTTAAGTTTATTTTCAAGTGCACATAACTATATTACATTGACTCTTTCTGCATATCATTTCCATTGTTATAGATGTTTAAAGGTATTGGCAAAATGTCAGATTCTGCATTAACACTAAAACAAAAAAGATAAGCAAGTATTATGACATAGTGGCCTGTAGTCGAGCATAACTATACTTGCCAAAAAAAGAAAGGCATGTTATGTCTATGGTTATCATAAACTTTTTCATACAATAGTGTCGCCTTAAGATAAGTTTCTTCAACCATTGATATACAAATTAAATTTCACATATAACGTACAGAAATTGGATTACTATTTGTTGTACGTGAATTTTATTTTGTATATCAACAGGTTAGTAAACTCTTACCTTATCTAGGGTAGTAAATTATTCAGTAACATATGTGCTCTCCCCTGGCTGCAATACAGGCCAGTGCCCTCCTCTTCATAGATTGTACAACCTCGATTGGAGAAACCGGGCATCCTTCTCCATGCTTCTACCATTACAACACTTAACTCTATATTGGTGGTAGCCTGCGGCTTGTGGTTATGAAGTCGTCTGCCTGCTGTGCCCCAGGCATGCACAATGGCAGACATGTCTGGATCTGCTCCTGCTGCAGGTAGTATGCCTATGATATCCCTGTGGAATCACTAAAGCATATTAGTACTCTACTGAAAGGCTGAGATGGTGTTCTCTCACTGAATACAGTTACATTATTGGGTATATTTGGATATTTTGAAGTCCTGTGGTCAAAACAAAAACTTCTGTTTCATTTTTTGATGAGTATATAAAGGCTATGATTTTTTTTCACGGGCAATCTAGGCCAAAAGATTTGGAGCCACTTTGAAGAAACGTTGTACCTAGGCCATTGGTGCAAAATAAAATTGAGATTTCTCCAACTTGCCTGGAAAGTTAGTGGCCTGTTGTTAATTCCTATCGTATGATAATTTAATGGTGGCAGTTACTAATCATGATATTACCGTTATATTATGTTTTTATGGAAATATTGCACAAGGTCACGTACATCTTTGTGCAAGATTCTGATGTCGATGTAATATTGGGGATGCTAGTACGTCCCTTTTGACCAGTCTTGAACTCAAGTAAAAGAGACATTTATTGGATGGAGGGATTAAATATACTGTAAAAAGAAAGACGTTGATATTTAGATTGAGTCATATATATATATTAATTATTAGCTAGTGGTTGTATTTTGTAACCTTTCACAAGCTGATATCAAATTGGAAACATTTTGTCAATACCTATTTTTTTTCTCACATACAAACACTAAACATGTCTACATATATTGGGATAAGCTGTGTCTGTCCCTGGTCCCTGTACCAATCTAGCACATTTGTTCACCCAGTAACTACCAAACATTATGGTAAAGATTATAGATCTATTTTAAAACTAAGCACAATTTAATTTTTACAAAAAGTTTCATATATATCACATATCCTATATCTATTGCTGAAATTTTTGCCTGTGTATATGGCAGCCTTTCTGTCTAGTTATTTTTAGTGTTTGTAAATTTATCTTAAAGAAATGTTCAGTATATTTTATCATGTGCAAAAGCTTAATTTACAAAATACTTCAAAAATTGTCAGTTAGTGAAATCTGAATGTGCAATCTGTGCTTTTTGTCCATTTTACTTTTGGTGTTTGTTCATAGGTTTAGCTCTAAATATGCCGTTTAATAATTGTGCCTGTGAAACAGATAAGCTTTGACAAAGTCAACGTAACGATATCAAATGTATCAAGTGAGGTGGTAGGTGAAATTATAATAATGAGATTACAGCAATGTTTTTTAAAAAAAGTTTATAAATGTTTATTGTTATAAGAATTATTTGGGTTGTGGGTTTTTAATATTAACTACAATGCATTCCCATCGAAGATCACTTATTATTGTCTCACATTTTATTTAAGACAAATATATATATATATATGTAACTTTATTCTCTCGTTTTTCTTTTGTTTTGCTGATATTGGAAAAATTGCTAGCCTGCATTTAACAAACAAAATGAACCATCTTCATTTTCACTTAACCTAGTTTGTGCACAAGGCCTTTAGCAAATTTCAGCAGTCAATCACTGACCTCAATCACTGGCCACAATTTGTCCAATGACAACATTTTTTTCTTTCATCTCAGACATTGTTATACATTGTAACAAATGAACGTATAAGGAGCATATGGTGTCAGGAGCAAAAAATATCTTGGATACTGCNTTTGTATATCAACAGGTTAGTAAACTCTTACCTTATCTAGGGTAGTAAATTATTCAGTAACATATGTGCTCTCCCCTGGCTGCAATACAGGCCAGTGCCCTCCTCTTCATAGATTGTACAACCTTGATTGGAGAAACCGGGCATCCTTCTCCATGCTTCTACCATTACAACACTTATCTCTATATTGGTGGTAGCCTGCAGCTTGTGGTTATGAAGTTGTCTGCCCACTGTGCCCCAGGCATGCACAATGGCAGACATGTCTGGATCTGCTCCTGCTGCAGGTAGTATGCCTATGATATCCCTGCAGTATAAGAATGAGTGTTTTGCTGCTGGACCAAGTGTAGGGTTGGGTTTTGATGCATGGATGGTACAACGGCTATCCTTAGGCCTTCATATCTGTACCGCTGGCCAGTCAGATTTCCACCAAACACCACTAGTTCTGAGTGGAAATTGACACTAGTCTCACGCCCAACCAAACCATAACACTAGGCCATCCCTGCTTTGAGTGTGCCAATGGGACAACCCCTGTCCAGTTCAGACAGCCATGGCATAATGTCAGCACGGAATTTAGTCTCTTAAACTTGGTTTTCTGATTCTTGTGTCCACTAGCATTGAATTTGTAAAAGTGATTTCTGCAAGACTTTTGTCCAAATTTGTGTTTAGATGATCATGAGATTTCTGAAAAAATGAAGCTAGCCATTGTCTGGAATCACTAAAGCATATTAGTACTCTACTGAAAGGCTATATTTGGATATTTTGAAGTCCTGTGGTCAAAACAAAAACTTCTGTTTCATTTTTTGATGAGTATATAAAGGCTATGATTTTTTTTCACGGCCATAAGGTTTGGAGCCACTTTGAAGAAACGTTGTACCTAGGCCATTGGTGCAAAATAAAATTGAGATTTCTCTAACTTGCCTGGAAAGTTAGTGGCCTGTTGTTAATTCCTATCGTATGATATTTTAATGGTGGCAGTTACTAATCATGATATTACCGTTATATTATGTTTTTATGGAAATATTGCACAAGATCACGTACATCTTTGTGCCAGATTCTGATGTCGATGTAATATTGGGGATGCTAGTACGTCCCTTTTGACCAGTCTTGAACTCAAGTAAAAGAGAGGGATGGAGGGATTAAATATACTGTAAAAAGAAAGACGTTGATATTTAGATTGAGTCATATATATATATTAATTATTAGCTAGTGGTTGTATTTTGTAACCTTTCACAAGCCGATATCAAATTGGAAACATTTTGTCAATACCTATTTTTTTCTCACATACAAACATAAAACATGTCTACATATATTGGGATAAGCTGTGTCTGTCCCTGGTTTCCTGGTCCCTGTACCAATCTAGCACATTTGTTCACCCAGTAACTACCAAACATTATGGTAAAGATTATAGATCTATTTTAAAACTAAGCACAATTTAATTTTTACAAAAAGTTTCATATATATCACATATCCTATATCTATTGCTGAAATTTTTGCCTGTGTATATGGCAGCCTTTCTGTCTAGTTATTTTTAGTGTTTGTAAATTTATCTTGAAGAAATGTTCAGTATATTTTATCATGTGCAAAAGCTTAATTTACAAAATACTTCAAAAATTGTCAGTTAGTGAAATCTGAATGTGCAATCTGTGCTTTTTGTCCATTTTACTTTTGGTGTTTGTTCATAGGTTTAGCTCTAAATATGCCGTTTAATAATTGTGCCTGTGAAACAGATAAGCTTTGACAAGGTCAACGTAACGATATCAAATGTATCAAGTGAGGTGGTAGGTGAAATTATAATAATGAGATTACAGCAATGTTATTTAAAAAAAGTTTATAAATGTTTATTGTTATAAGAATTATTTGGGTTGTGGGTTTTTAATATTAACTACAATGCATTCCCATCGAAGATCACTTATTATTGTCTCACATTTTATTTAAGACAAATATATATATGTAACTTTATTCTCTCGTTTTTCTTTTGTTTTGCTGATATTGGTTTGAAAAATTGCTAGCTTGCTTGTTTGCTTGCTAACAAACAACATGAACCATCTTCATTTTCACTTACGGCGTAACCTAGTTTGTGCACAAGGCCTTTAGCAAATTTCAGCAGTCAATCACTGACCTCAATCACTGGCCACAATTTGTCCAATGACAACATTTTTTTCTTTCATCTCAGACATTGTTATACATTGTAACAAATGAACGTATAAGGAGCATATGGTGTCAGGAGCAAAAAATATCTTGGATACTGCTACGTGCATAGGTGTCTAGCAAATTAAAATACTGCATACAACAACAAAGTAAAAACTTTTTTTAAGCAGACAGTTCAGCTGAAATAGAAATGAAGTAACAGTACTAGAAGTTGATCTACATCGCTGAGATTCTCAGCAGAATAACCTTGGTATTAAGCCTTCAGTATCAATGACTATTCCCATAGACTTGAAAACTTTATCTGTGATCAACTGGTAACCATGGACCACTTCAGAATATGTTACTGAAGTGTGCATTAAGGCAGCCACAATTATTGATGCCTGCATCAGCAGAAGTCACATTTTTCAAAAAATTCGCCTCTATAGTGGGTTAAGAAAAAAAAATTGGTTAATTTTCACAAAAATTGTGTCTTTAACCCAATACATTGGGGTATGTACAAAGTTGTGAAATTGACTTATTCCAAATTTTTTTTTAATAGCTGTATAACAAAAAATTTCTGGGATTGAAACATAAAAATCATATTTAATTTTGTTCAGTAGACTTTACAATGCAACATGAATAAATAATAAAACAGGCTAATTAAAGAGAAAAAAATAATTGAAACTGGAAATTTGATTAAACAATATTTACAAATTACAACTGTTACTTCATCAATCACTTTAAAAAGTCAAATGTAAAAACTATTCGTAAATTTTTAATACAGCATACAACAAAGTCCCTTTTTTCATCTTTTGGTGGGAGCAGAATTGAAAGGTTATATCAATTTGTTGCACGTTTACTTCGTGTGACGATTTTTAGCAAGGGTAGCAATATCATTATTGAAAAAGAATGTAATGTGCTTTTGGACATAACTCGAGCTTCCCAAATTTTAGGACAATAAGAATTCTGTGACAATGGGTAAAAAGGTTGGCACACAAGTGCCAATTTTGACACAAAAGGTTTACAAAATTGATCAACTGACACTTTACAAGTGTGCTGCCTCTTTCATGGCCACATAATGCAGATACATTAAAACAAATATACCATTAGAAATATTTGTTTTATTTGGGTATAATTGTGGAAATTTTCTAAAAAAAAAAAAAAACATTTTTACTATGGTCTATGTTAACGTTAAAATTACATAAGTAAATTCTTAACATTTGCTCTTCTGATAAAATAGAGGGACTTGTTGACTCGTGGTCACCTCGTATGCATACATTGAAATTTATCTACAGTTGATGAATTAAAGGAATGTCCTAGTATAGCTAGCAATGATGGCAAAATTCAAAAGATAAAACTACAATAATTGCAGGAGATTATAGAATAATTGTGCTTGGATCTGAAATGTGTTCCCGTGGAAAAATAAAGAAGTCTTTTTGTTCTAGCAATAAGCATAGCACATTATAAGCTACAATAATTTTCCAATAGGCTGAAAATAGCGAAAAATATGGTGAAAAAGAGATGAGAGTGGCTGGACTGGCTGATGACAATAACTTCAAATCTCAGTTGATAAGCATTATCAGCATGTTTTCTAACTGAGGCCCTCCTTTCTGGTCTTACATACATTATTTTTTTATGATCAGAAGTTCCAACGGTTTGTTGTGCTCTACAGGAATGCATCACACCATTCATTGAGGCAATCGTAACAATCTCCTGCCTGTTTTTTATTAGCAGAGCATGTATCTTTCATCCAATCCAGGAACAATTCCTTGTTCTTCTTGAGTACTAAGAACTGGCCAAGCACCACATTGGCCTGAAATAACAATTAAATACAAATAATCAGTTTTAAGTCTAAATAATTTCATATCACCATCAGACCTCAAACTATAATTGCTGTATGCTAACACAAGTCTAAAATTTGAGAGCATGAATACCCAAATTAATTATTCAAGCCACAAATTAAAAGCCCCAATGTAATATTAATAGACAAGAACACAGCATCAAAGGGGTTCTTGTGTTGTAATGATGTGCTTGTGGCTACTAATTTTATGTTTGGGTACTTAATTTGTGGCCAGAGTCCTTAATTTGGGTTTTCTTGCTCACAAATCTGATATGAGACTAGACTTTGATACAATTAATCCGTTTATAAGGCCAGATCATTATAACTGAATTTTAGGGGGATTGAAATGATAAAGGTCTATATTTGGCAAAATTTCTCCACCTCAATCTCTTTTAAGCCAAGGTCCCAACTACATTTTGGACGCATGGTTTTCAGGTTCCTTGCGTCCGGCTAGGACGTAGCTAGATCGCAGAGAAGGAGTCAAGTAATTGGTGTTGATCATGTCGAAAGTTTCTACATGCTGTTTGCATCCTCCAAAGGTTACATGATAGACATGCTCCTCACGCAAGAACCCCCCAGTTTCCCCATTTTTTTGGCCGTAGACCACACATAGCAGCCGGTACATTCAGTTGGGACCTAGGCTTTATGTAAAATACTTATCTTAATATTATTGCAAAAAAAAAAATAATAATAATAAATAAANATTATTGCAAAAAAAAATAAATAAACACTTGAAGAGCATAAACTTTTTGTTGCTCTATTCACCACACCACTGGCTTCTGTGAATAAGGTGGCCAAGTGCAATTTTTTGTTGCTTTGTAAAAAGGTGTCAGATTGTTAAGGGTTTCCGGGGTAACTTTGTAACTAAGAATAATATAATCATGAAAAATTGACATGGTTGATGAATAGGGCGTGAACCACAATCTGGTGCCAAGATTTGTTATGTTTATTGTAGCACTCATTATCGTGATTAAATAAGCTCAAAAGGGTGATGTTAGTTGATCAGGTGATGGAGATCTGTTTAATGAGTTTTTGCCCCCAAAAACATTGCTGTTACATTATCAGCTCAAGTTATCAAAGTCACCAGGACATATTTTTGATGGGACACCATTATCTCATAGAATGATAATATACAATATTTATTTTCACATTATCTACACAGATAAGGAAAGAAATACTAATGTATTGATCTCCCTTAAATCAAATGATTATTCATGATTTCTGTTCAGTAAGGATCCCCACCCTGCTCTGGTCATCTGATACTTCCAAGGGATCCATTTTGAGAAAGAGTCATTATAAATAGGATTAGTTAGTACAAATTCCTAAAAAGAAATACCTAGAATGCCAAAAGTAATTAATAGGGTTAAAGACTCTGAAAACGGGTAATAAATAATTAGGGAAAAAACTTCAAACTTCCATCAATTGGAAATCAATTTTCTAGGAAGCATTTTGTTATCAAAAAAGGAAAAACTTACCTTATCAAATCCCTTGTCCTTTAGTCTCTCAGCCAAAACTTCTCCAATACCAGCTAACTCTGAAACTTCTTTATCACCCATTGGTTCGGATACAAAGTTGCGATGCTTTTGAGATGTACTAGACATTTTGACCTTCTCTCTAGAAGTAAAGATGACAGACTTTCATCTGACATGTAACTTTTCGAATTTTGATTAATTCAAATCAATTCCTAACTAGACTAATAACATACTATCTTAATGCTTCCAACAATATCATTATCAATATTAAAGGGATAATAACTCTTTGTATCATATCTATATTTCACAATAAAAACATTGTGAACAACTCACAGAAATATAATACATTCTGTTTTACCACAAAAACGGCAGTTATAGCTATTATTCTGATATCTGAGCTTGTCTTCAGATCACATGACCTCCATTGATGGCTGTACTCAGTTATAATCTCTTAAGAGATTTTAACAGAAAACCAAACTTTTAAGAAAAAAAACCAGGGACTAACTCTGAATGTAAAGATGGATTCGTTGACCATTGGTAAGTATGGAAAAATTGTTGTTTACTCCAGGAATATTCATTTTTTGGCCAAAACAAAGAGTTATTATCCCTTTAACTGGGTAAATTCAAAGTTTTCGAAGATCATCTGAAGTCTATTAATAATTCTTTTTGTATAGTGATGTGCATTAAAAGCAGCAATAAGCTGACCATAACACATGAAATAGGTATACAAAGATTTTATAAGATTTTGGCAAATTTAGAAGATTTTATGAAAATTGTAAGTGTGGCACACTTTATCAATTTATCATGAAAAACTAGTCTGATATGGAGCACAAATAAATATTAGAAACAGTGTAATAACTGGAAAAAGGACACCCTTGACCACAGCATTTTCATTTCCGCAGAATTTAAAAAAAAAATCATTCAGACCAATTACCATCCTCAGTCTTTAGACATCATCATCACTTTCAACCATACCGTGCTCTGCTAAAATATCATCTTACTTGTCACCAAAAAGAAAAACCATGTACTAGTACTGCGCCATCTTGAATCTTGTTTGTTCTCACATGTTTTCACAAGTTTATGAACTACTCTGTGGATTTCTACAAGTGACCCCCCTCCTTTGCTTTGGACTGTCATCTGTACCCGTTGCCCCAACCCTTAACACACATCGGACAATAGACTTCTAGGCATTTCATTTCCACCCCAGTTATACACTGTACTTTAATGGTTGCCTCAATAATATTAATTACACAGTAAAATATTCTTGCTTTTATGTAACACTATTGTCTTGCTAATGGCCGCTTCCTTTACTCTGTTTTTTCTAGTGTTTTGCTCTGTGTTGGGCTGTGCTGCATTGCATAGCACATTTTAGTATGACCCAATAAATATTTATGTAGAAAATTCCAATGGCTATAGAAAAACTTCGGCTTCCAATTTCAGCAACTGGCCTTAACTATATACAATTGAGAAAGCAAAACTTATCTTTTCTTAAATATATAAAACAATTTAAAATCGCTTTATGAACAGTCATTTTTATTCTTTTTGTAAGTTTTTCTATTGCCAGTATTGGTATTGTGGAAGAGAATTTCGGTAAGTGAAAAGGGCACCCAGAACTGTCCCCCATTTCTGCAGTATCAGTAAAACAGTGCTTACAGTGACACTGACACCAATGCCATATCCTTGCTGCCTCTGAACCAGCAATATTAGGCACAGATTCGTAAAATATTTTTATTATTGCAACAATAACCAGTTTCAATCATTCAATGTTCACTCGTCACTTGCTCAGGTACATTCTGACGATATGTGGAGGATAACACTCTTGTGTATCAAACCAAGACAATGGCTTCATGAACTTCCTAATCAATGGCTTCTTAATCAGAATAGTCAAGCCTACCCTGACTCTTTAAACTTTACATAACGTATAAAAAGGAGTTACAGACTACAGTAAAAAGTTATTACGTAAGAAGTTACCGAAATTGCTTGTGAATTATTAGATGTCTCTGACAGTACTAAGTAATAACATAGAACTAGAGAAAACACAAAATATTTTGCTCGACCACATAAAAAACAATGATTACAAGAGCATTGTTGAAAACACATCACCTACCTATAACCGTTTTCAGAATGAAATGCTGAATAAGCAAAAAATAGAGCGAATTGTGTCAGCACCAGGTGATCGGATTGATCTGTGGACTTATATTATTTTCACCCCGAAGCGCGGGATCGTATCAAAAATTATCCCGCAGCAATTAAGTGCGGTGAATAACAGGGATTAAATGAATCTTTAAATAAGCCATATTGAGAAAAAAATAAAATATTGTATTTATTATCAAGGCATTTTAGATTTAACAACAGTTACTATTTAGTGTCAGCTGTGGAATACTTGAAATACTTAATTCAGTGCGCACCTTCTTATTTTGCATTTTCCGCTTCCGGTTTGAGAGATGGCTCGTGTTTGTGCAATCGTAATTCTATTCAGTGAAGTATATGCTTTTACAGTCCCAGTAGTCGCCAGTTTCTTTAAATGATATACGTCGTTTTTACAATTATGGCACTCTAAGTTCAGGAAACGAATGTCGCAGTGAATAGCTGCTACAACATATCTACGACAATTTGCTCAATGATCTTGGCAGTTGGGAGTTGAGGACTAGTCTTGGTGACTGTGATAAAATATTGACATATTTATTGAATATTGTTGTACATATAGACCTGTAAGTGATTAAAAATACTTATATCTGTGATATTTGCTACGGCGACTAACTATTATTGGATAAGAAGATNGTTTTCACAAGTTTATGAACTACTCTGTGGATTTCTACAAGTGACCCCCCTCCTTTGCTTTGGACTGTCATCTGTACCCGTTGCCCCAACCCTTAACACACATCGGACAATAGACTTCTAGGCATTTCATTTCCACCCCAGTTATACACTGTACTTTAATGGTTGCCTCAATAATATTAATTACACAGTAAAATATTCTTGCTTTTATGTAACACTATTGTCTTGCTAATGGCCGCTTCCTTTACTCTGTTTTTTCTAGTGTTTTGCTCTGTGTTGGGCTGTGCTGCATTGCATAGCACATTTTAGTATGACCCAATAAATATTTATGTAGAAAATTCCAATGGCTATAGAAAAACTTCGGCTTCCAATTTCAGCAACTGGCCTTAACTATATACAATTGAGAAAGCAAAACTTATCTTTTCTTAAATATATAAAACAATTTAAAATCGCTTTATGAACAGTCATTTTTATTCTTTTTGTAAGTTTTTCTATTGCCAGTATTGGTATTGTGGAAGAGAATTTCGGTAAGTGAAAAGGGCACCCAGAACTGTCCCCCATTTCTGCAGTATCAGTAAAACAGTGCTTACAGTGACACTGACACCAATGCCATATCCTTGCTGCCTCTGAACCAGCAATATTAGGCACAGATTCGTAAAATATTTTTATTATTGCAACAATAACCAGTTTCAATCATTCAATGTTCACTCGTCACTTGCTCAGGTACATTCTGACGATATGTGGAGGATAACACTCTTGTGTATCAAACCAAGACAATGGCTTCATGAACTTCCTAATCAATGGCTTCTTAATCAGAATAGTCAAGCCTACCCTGACTCTTTAAACTTTACATAACGTATAAAAAGGAGTTACAGACTACAGTAAAAAGTTATTACGTAAGAAGTTACCGAAATTGCTTGTGAATTATTAGATGTCTCTGACAGTACTAAGTAATAACATAGAACTAGAGAAAACACAAAATATTTTGCTCGACCACATAAAAAACAATGATTACAAGAGCATTGTTGAAAACACATCACCTACCTATAACCGTTTTCAGAATGAAATGCTGAATAAGCAAAAAATAGAGCGAATTGTGTCAGCACCAGGTGATCGGATTGATCTGTGGACTTATATTATTTTCACCCCGAAGCGCGGGATCGTATCAAAAATTATCCCGCAGCAATTAAGTGCGGTGAATAACAGGGATTAAATGAATCTTTAAATAAGCCATATTGACAAAAAAAATAAAATATTGTATTTATTATCAAGGCATTTTAGATTTAACAACAGTTACTATTTAGTGTTAGCTGTGGAATACTTAAAATACTTAATTCAGTGCGCACCTTCTTATTTTGCATTTTCCGCTTCCGGTTTGAGAGATGGCTCGTGTTTGTGCAATCGTAATTCTATTCAGTGAAGTATATGCTTTTACAGTCCCAGTAGTCGCCAGTTTCTTTAAATGATATACGTCGTTTTTACAATTATGGCACTCTAAGTTCAGGAAACGAATGTCGCAGTGAATAGCTGCTACAACATATCTACGACAATTTGCTCAATGATCTTGGCAGTTGGGAGTTGAGGACTAGTCTTGGTGACTGTGATAAAATATTGACATATTTATTGAATATTGTTGTACATATAGACCTGTAAGTGATTAAAAATACTTATATCTGTGATATTTGCTACGGCGACTAACTATTATTGGATAAGAAGATAGTAGATAGATAGTGTAACTTAAATAAAGACTCCTCTCCAGAAACAATTGCCAAGAATTGGACAAAAATATAATGTCCAAGGCAACAAAGAGAAAACACGTGACAAAGGAAGTGCTGGAGGAATATGTTCTTCCACAGAAAGATCAACAAATTGTCAAGGTTGGTGGTACATGAATATGTGTGTGTGTGTGTGTTAAAATTATTTAATGCTTTTTAATTTTTCTAGTCTGAAATCCATCCATGTATTTTGAGAAATACTGTCTACCCAAATTGTGCTATTGATGAACGAAAAAAAAAACAATGTTGGACTGAGTTAATACAGAAAATGTTCAATCCCAAGAAAATGCAGTGATACAAAAGTGAAAAATGTTAAAGGTACATACAAACTGAGCATCGGTGGAGCGTGGATTCCCAGTAACACGTGTAAACCACTTCTACTAGTTTCTTATACGACTAATAAATTCGACATGCCAAGGGATAAACTGAAGAAATAGCCCGATCAGCCATAAAAGAGCTTTAGAGTGCTCCTTTCTTTAAATTTTTGGTTGTCAATTTAACCTACTTTTGTGACCTACTTTTCTGCCCCATTGTCATACAGCATAGAATGCTAGCGGAAAAATCTGTTCAAACATCACTTTTGGGCAAAATTAAACAATGCCTTTTGGTAATTCTCTTAGTTATACTACTTGAAACTATATGCTGGCATTTGGTTGGTTTTTATGACAAAAAATTGACTTTGTATGTATCTTTAACACTAGTAGGTAATTAATAATTATATCATTGATCCAGGTTAATAAATTTTTGTGAATTTTCTTCAGTTAGAAGAGGCTTGTGGTCATTCCTAAAATTGTTTGTCTAGATTGGCAGGTCTCATTATTGTAAAGTATGCTTCTCAGTCAGTCTCACATGCCATCTTTACTGAGCATGGTTGGTAGCTAGCTTTGTAATCCAGTTTGTAGGAGTGTAAGGCCTAGCACAATTGTGAAATAAATAATTTTACCTGATTAGTGGTTAACATTTTTGTAGGCACATTGAGTGCCACAGAAAATTTTATTCGATTTTTGTAATTGAATTAAATTAAAAGTTTTTAATGTTTATAGGTGGTTGCTGGTCGTGGTAATAACCTTCATGAAGTAGAAACTCCACATGGTGAACAGTTTCTTGTCAGCATGCCAACAAAGTTTCGCAAAAATGTATGGATAAAAAGAGGTAAGAATACTATCAGTGATATCAAATAGTATTCACTAACTCCTGTTGATGGGTCACCAAAAAGCACATTATTCAACAAAATATTAGCAGTGCACATACATCAGTTGCCTAACAACATTAAGAACTGGAGCATATGTTATATATGCAGAATACTACCAATTTTGTACTTATATCTGCTTTAGGTGATTTTGTACTGATTGAGCCAATAGAGGAAGGAGACAAGGTGAAAGCTGAAATCCAGGCAATCCTGTTCAAGGATCAGATAAAGTACATAAAGGATGAAAGGTTATGGTATGTGTGCTTTGATTGTGATTTTTCTTTTTCATATGTTTATTTATTTTATTTTTCAATTTCATAGAACTCCTTTAGAACAATGTTTTCAAAAGTGCCACAGGACTGTTTATATGTAAGTTAAAAATTCCCTAATGTCAAAGTGAAGTTACCAGTTGAGTAAAATAGAAAGTGGGGAGTACTTCCACAATGGTAAGGATTTTAATCAATCATAAGTAAAATTTCTCTTCTGAATTTTCAGGCCACCAGAGTTTGATGAGCAGGAGAAAAATAAAGATGATTTCATTCCAAGTGAGCTTTTGCCTCCAAGTGATGATGATTCTGAGAATGAATTGAATCCTGAAATAACTGTCAATCTGAATCGCATGAACTTAAACCATGAGGATAGTGAAGAGGAAACCACAGAGGAAGAAGATGAAGAAGAAGACTTACCTGAAAGTTAAACGGAGCATTTATTTCTTCATTATGCAGGAAGCATTAAAAAAATAAAACAATTGCTGATGCCCAAATAATAAACCTTGTTTGCAAAAAGGCATTATGGGCATGTTTTGCATTCAGGTAGTTTTTGGAGTGGATTTGGGTTATGAAGTACACCACATCTCAGCTAACTTTGCTCTTCTTTTAAGAGAAAATCTCAGTTTGTGCCAACTCATTGTCATAGAGTATGAAATGGTGAACTGGCAGAAAACATGTTAAAGATTAACCTTAAACAAGCCATGGTAAGTGATTGGTTGACCACCCAATCAGATAATTTTGTTTCTCCATATTCCATGATTTAAGATATTCAGAATGTAGTGATCTTATGGTTGAGACACTTAAAACAAAGCTGTATGAATGTTAGTTTTAATACTGACTTTGTCTGTGGTGTAACTGCAAATTGGTAATTGGTGCTGATTGGTTACTTGAGATGAAAACATTTGGCGCTATAGTCACTGTTTGGTTTCACTGAGATAAAAGCTATCAAAGGCCATTTGCTGACAGTCTGGTGTATTATTATAGGAAGAGATAGTGTAATTTTCAGTTTTGCAGAATGTTCTTGAAATATTTTATTTTGCATTTTCTTTTGTTCTTCTGGTATTAAGAAAATAATGAGATTAAATACTAATCTGACATTTTCATTGGCGCCAGTTGCAAATCGTGCAAATATTTGAATAAATATTGAAATACACTAAAGTGTAATTATTGTTTATCAGTTTTGATATACCCCCCTGCTATGATGCGCTATTGATCAGAAGTGAAAAATAACCTATTGTTAAAATAATAAAATGAGATGTATATTTATACAAACTTTTTATGGAGTTCCACTTTTGCAGATTTTTATATTCAATACCTTTATTACATAACACATTTTAAGCTAACAATGTCATATGCATTACTTTTTTTCGGAAAACCCAAAAGTTTGTTTATATTTTCATTCATATAATTTTACTTTTACAAATACCTGTTTACTTTTAAACATGACATTATAACAATTCCTTCTATTTGTGAGTTTTATTTTCATGTGTAAATCATTCGAGTCCCTCTCGTGGCCAATTAAATAATTTTCTAATTCCTGTCTGGCCACGAGCATGGCGACCATATTTCTCTAGTAGACAATCCTTCTTTGTGGATTTCCATCCAACTTCTTGTGCTGTTGTCACAGGGAATCCGGGTTTAATCCCTTTCAGCAAATTGGCACCTTGAATGGGTGGGAGGCGCAAGAGTTTTTGTGGCTTCTGTAGTAATAAAGAACGATCTGATGTAGGAGGCGTTGGTGAAGGTGTTCCTCGCTTGCCGACCAATATGCGATTCATCTAAATGAAAAAGGAAAACATTTTAATGCTTAGATAAGATTCATTAAAACAAATATATGTATATATTGGTTGAGTCACATTTCGTTTTCCGTTTCTGTTTAATATAAGATGCACTTTTTTGCAACATTCAGTTCACAGAGCAGAAAACTTGCACTGTCACCTACTCGCGGTACCTATGAAAAGAAAAAATAGTCATGCCAGCACAAATTAATTGGAAAGAGTCGAAGACGATGTTTTTTTCTCTTTTTCCTTTTGAGATATATTTTCAACGCGACCGACAGCAAATTTGCTCTAAGAATTCGATCAGGATTTGCGATGTTGTTACCTAAACGATCTTTATATGAAAGCATGGACACCAATCAAAATGAAAATTGGAATAAAAGTCTAATCGCATTTTCAATAGCTGTCCTGTACTTCGGCATTGTTTCATACTTAGGACGGCATTTATGTGTTTTAATGATTTAAAAACCTCAGTCCTGCGACGTGTGAATTTGGCGTACTAAATGTGGTTATGAAAAATGAAAAACGGAGTAGGCTAATCAAGAAAGTAAGAACTAAATTTTCTTCAATATCTGATTATATTTAGTTATGTATCAAATCCGCAATGCCGTTGGATTAAGGCGCTTATCTTTTCAAGATCTCCAACAAAACGTACCCTGGTGTATTCCGTTTTCAGAAATCCCCAGCTTTCAGGCCATTTCTTAATAAAGGACTGCATTTCTCTGTGCACATGGTCTTTCCTTGAATAAAAATCGTAAGTGTGAGTCACGCTCTTGTTCACTTTAAATTTACTGACGTTTTGTAATATTTCTCTATCTTAGTTTGTTATAATGATAATTAAAATAAAATAATATTGATCCCATCCAAATGACTTTTAAACCCATGGGAAATAGGAAAAGATCAATGTTCCAATTACAATTCAGATGATATATAGTTGAATGCTGATCATGATAAAGAAAAATGTAAATGATATTCGAGATCATAAATACAATAGTCTGTTTACAAGAAAAATATCCGATGAAAAACTCGTTCACGTTGCTTATTTTTTGCTATAGCTGTTTATTTTTCTGTTTTGATATTCGATTTCAGATCGAATGTAGGCCTTGAACTTACCAGATTTCATCATTATGGACGAAGTGAACATGTTTTCCCATCTCGTTTTCTTAACCACATACAAACGCCCTCTCTTACAGATATGTATAAATGCGGCCTCTGTGTTGTCGTTATGGTGTCGCAATGGCCCGTCGCAATGAGAAATGTTAGTGACGTCATAATGCGATACCCTTTTTTCAAATTATATGTATTAATTTATATCTCACAGAATTTTTTTCTAACAATGTTAAATTCTAGAAATATACCGTCGAACTGTAATAAAAACAAAGACAAAGACCAGCGAGAGTTTTTGTCTGGTCGTTCAAATTTTTAAAGATAATGAAGTAGTTGCCCGCTTAACGTAGAGTTCAATAATAAACATTCAGACTTTCTCATTTACTGGAATTGTGAAGCTTGAATTAGGTTTTGTGAAGTGTCACGAAGGAAAAGGAAATAAACGAAGCTCGTAATTCTTAGGGTAGGCCTATAGTTTGGCGTTGGTCTGGCAACCGAAAAGTGTAGCACTAGTTACTGCGTCAACCAGAATATAAACACGTTTGGGAATATGTTTAACACAAATTAAAGCTTTTCCAATGTGTACTATTCGCATTTGAAAATATCCCAAAGTTATACTTTATGTCTACATGTCCTGCGAAGTTGCTAATTATTTTCCCAATTCAGGGAAATTTTAATTGGCTGGAAAAAGGATAGATCTAGATATATCTTTGAATCATGTATTATTGCAAATAATGTACTGCGAAAACTGAAAAAAGAACAAAGTGTAAGTAAATATATTTCCCTGCAATATATAAGATTAGAATAGTGTGATGAAAATAATAATGATAAAAGAAAGGGGTCTTCCCGCTCAGGAACCCGAACACGAGGCTGGGATTTCCCATCCGGTTATGCGCATTACTGTCTTCTGTCTGTTTGTCTTGCATTGTATACGCTTTCGAAATTTCCCACACATTCGCGACAACAAACTCCAAAATGCCATCGGTAAGTGAAAAGAATGAAACAGAGGACGAGGAGATGGAGCAAGAATCTCAAGATAGCGACAAGAGCGAAGATGACGAATCAGAGAGTGGTTCTGGTTCAGAGGAGGGGGACGAAGAAGAAAGTTCAGGTGAGTCGGGTTTAATTACCTGGCCGAGGATAGTACGACTACTTCTGGTAATATGCTCTCCCTAAAGACTAAAATTATATGATGAAGAGGTAGTTGGTTCGCTGTGAATAAGTCAGACACCTCTGTTGCTTTCTTATACAGTCCTTTGGCTTTGATAAAGACAGGGGTATTTGAAGTCGATAATAAATATGGTATTTTATTGACGCCGTTTTGATGACCGCTCTTTGATAGACGTCTTTCATTTGTTTCAGTTAGAGCAATAAAGACCTTCTCCTATAAGCTTGGAAAACGCGAAAATTTTTGACATATGTCCTACTGTACTGCATAAAAACTCTACATGTAAATAACTGTGAATAATCTGACAAAGATCAAGTTTGGGCACCAAGTACTCCTGTTGATGATTTTTGATCCTTTTTGCTGTGTTAAAGTGTGAAAGCAAAGACCTCAAAAAGATGACCAGTTTGCATATGCCGGATGCTCTCACATTTCTATCTCACCTCTCATCTCCTCAACTTACACACTCCTGTAGGGCCAACTAGGTTTCTTGTGAACAGAGCCATGACTATAAGTTTAGGTTCATCAGCTTACCTACCAGTTTGGGTGCAGTAAAATCATACACATGCTCTTGAGGGGGAAATGGCAGCGAGGAACAGACTTCTCACGAAAAATTTGTTAGAAATCCTTTCCTACCCTTGGAACAAACCCTTAAATAATCACATTGCTCATGCAACTTATAGTGCACTCTGTTCTGCAAAGTAGTTTGCTTCTTGATTGGAAAATATTGCATCATTATTTTACTTACTTACTTTGTGCATGCAGAATTCTTGTTTTTGATGTAATCCTAAAGTATGAATAATAAAAAACAGTTTTGTCTGATATTACAGAGCTAGACGAAGAAGAATGTGAAAGAAGAAGAGATGAGTGCCTAGATGATATGCTTGACTTGGAGAAACAATTTTCAGATTTAAAAGAACAGTAAGCATGATGCAGATAGTTGATGATAAGTCAGAATTATTTTAAGTCAGAATTTTTATCCTATTGCAATTATATACATATAATTAGTTGAGACATATATTTTTGGATTATCCTAAACAACATAAAGTGCTTCATAGAACTCATGAGATCATCAGATGTACAAAGAATGAACTGAAGGTGATGGAAGCTTCAGATTATTTTTGAATTACATGTAGAATACCTCTCATTATTCTTTTGTGGTTGCTTTATTTTTTGTTTTAATTTTGTAAATTAACTAATAATTCTGAGAAAATTAATAGAATGCTAAATCCCTATGGAAGTAACAAGTAACTGGCAGTGAAAATAAAATAACTTCAAACAGATGGTTTTCTCTTTTCATGTAGGGTTAAGAATGTTAAAACTCGTTACAGTAAAAGTATGTCTGTAGTTTGTGAATAATTACACACACACACATACATACACACACACACACACACACACACACGAAAAAGTCTCCATCAGTGAGAATGTGCACTTCTAATTTTTTTTTTCAGACTCCATGGGGAGCGTATGTCTCAGGTTGATGCCAAACTAGAAGAAGTTCATGCAGGGCTTGCACATGAGTATTTAAGTCCACTTGATGAGTTACAGGAAAACATGAGGATACGTACTGAAGTTGCAGGTAGATAGATCACCCTTTACTCTTTCTACTTAAAGGGATAACAAATGTTCATATGACATACATTTGTTCACAAACAATACAATGTAAACAACTCAAAGAGAATGTAATTAATTCCATTTTACCACCAAAACAGCAGTTATCACAATTATTCTGGAATCTGTGCTTGCCCTTAGACCACTATCCATCATAGATGGCTACCCGCTGTAATAATATCTTAAGAGGTTATTACAAAAAAACTTTTTACAAAACGGGGACTTGCTTTGCTTGTCATAACGGACTCATTAACTATTCTAATGGGAAAATTGTTGTTAACCCTAGGAAAATCCTTTTTTGGTCAAAATGAAGAGTTATTATCCCTTTAACTTATATAAATCGTCATGACATGTCCACCTCTGAGTCAGTGATGATAAGAATCCTAGTTGTTTGCATTCATAAACTTCTCAGAGTGATACCCTGGCCAAACATGAAAAAGGTCAGATTGTAACGGCACCCAGGCGCACACTTTGAATTTAGCAAAGATGGCAACCTCCATGAAAGACTTGGTGATGATAACATTCAGTTATAAATCACAGGTGTGACTATTTTTCATAATTTTTTTTATCTGTTATGGATATCATGCATATGTGAGACTTGTAGATTTGTAGGTTTGGGTAGAACATGATTATATTTTCATTATTAATAATTTTTTAGGCATATGGCGAGAACTAGAACTCGAAAATATAAGAAATAAATATGAGTGTGAAATGCAAGCAGCACAACAAAATTTTGAGGTAAGTGTTCTTCTGCATTTTTCTGCATTTGTAATATAGCTTTGGATTCATATTCTCTAGTTCATTGGATTATCCATGCAAAAACATGCATTTTAAATAATTAAAAATAGCTATGTTTTATTAATTCGTTATTCCTTTTGGTTGTTTTTTGTCTGTTTATTTTAAGTAAAACATTGTACCCCTGCATTTACTCAGAACCTTGAAGTAATATTTGGATGCATTTGACAAAATTGCAGTTTTTATTTCCAGTAAAGAATATTTTAATAAAATAAAATAAAAATATTTTTGTTCTTTCTATTGTAGAGTGAAAAAATAATTTTATATGATACTGTAAAGGCTGAATTAGAGGAAAAAATTAGAAGACTGGAAGAGGATCGACATAACATAGACATTTCCTCTGGTAAGTGCCCTTACGAAACTAATAAGTATGGAGGTGATATTGCTGAAATTCTTTGTAATGGTTACAGTGTCTTTATATTTTTTTGATTACCTGTGTCTGGTCATTTCTTGTAAATCACTGGACTGTATGTAAGAACCAGACTATACTTAACTTTAAGTGCCATATTTTTGTTTTACTTGAAATTTGCTAGCAGGTGCTGTATGGTTGAAAGGCAGGCTAAGTAAAATAGACATGATTGGGTGAAACTAGCTTTTGTAAAATGTGTGTATGTTTTCCAAATTTTTTTAACCTCTGTAAATTATTTTCTAGATCTGTGGAATGAATCTCAGAACTTAAAAAGGAACAAACGAAAAGTAGACCCACACAATCCAGATAGAAGACGGAAGCCTATTACTGTGTCTGATATCCTTTTGCTGTGGATTCTCTATACAGTGAATAGCGGTCTGAGTGTTGATTTAGAAAAGTTTCTAGTAACAATCATTTTTCATATTAAAAATGAGAATAAGTACTAAAGAGAATGAATACCATTTTACCTTAATTTATCTACGTCCATATATTGTCTATATGTTAAAGGATATGGATATAATCGAGGATTGGACGGCTATAAAAAAGGTGAGGAGAAATACCAACTTTACGAATGAATATATATTTATCACTTACTGTTGGATACTTAAGCACATTTCAAAAGTTTACTGTTATGTGATATAATTTTACTTAAGTGTTGCAATGACAAACTGTGTGTGCAAGAGGGATTTAGTTGGTTAGAAAATTACAGTTTTTCACTTCAACTACAAGTATGGCTGTAAGATTTATGTTTAAGCAGTTTGAAGTATTTGGTGTAATATTTGTTCTTTTGTCTGTCCTTTTGCAGGCTTTAAAACAACAATCCCAGAAAAGGAAAGCAGAACGTAAGTTGAATGTTATACTTTGAATGTTATAATTTTAACTTTTTGTTTTATGTACAGAATATCTGGTTCATTTGGATTTGTAACAGTTTTGGTGGTTGTGTTTCAGTATGTTTATTACATAAAGTGGTGCAATGTTTCAATTTCTTTATTTTGATATGGATTTGTAGGTAATTGCCAGTAATTAAGGCTATGGGCCAAAAGATCCCAGAAATAGATTTAAGAAACTATAGTGGTGAATTGCCATTCAAATGACAATTGCTTAATTGCTTTTAGATATACTTAAAAAGGAGAACCACCCATTCAATGCAAGGTTTGATGATGGGAAGCTGTTTTATGAAGGGGAGTGGTACAACAAGGGTCACCATATCATCATAGACAATAAAGAGGATTCTCCTGTACAGTAAGTGACATTTTGAGAAAGTTAAATTTTTACTTTTTTATGTAATATCCTCATGGGATAATTCCATAATTAATGTAATAGTTGATTTTGTAAAGAAGTCAGAATCAATTGTTTTGTAGTGTATTTTTTGTATTTCTTTTCTTTCTTAGGAAATCTCACAAGGTCTATCTTTGTCAATACTTATAGATGGTCATTTTGTGATGCAACTAAAATAGATAATTGTGTTGTTTTGTCTTCAAGTGCCACAGTCACAGCCATTAATACAGGAGAAGTTTGGGTGAAGCGGTCAGATGGAAACAAGTCCAAGCTGTACATAGCACAATTACAAAAAGGGAAATATACAATACGGCATGTTCCGTATTAGATATGGAAATTGGGTATTTCTACTTTGTATAATTTATATGACATTTTCTAAATAACATCATGTAGGGAACGCGTTCAATACAAGAATGTTGGTCTGTGTACTTGTAGCATGAATAGTAGACATGGATTAGTTTATTTTATTTATTTATTTTTATTATTTTAATTATTTAATTTTGTTTATTTATTTATTTATTTTTGATTTGACTTAAATTATTTATTTATTTATTTATTTATTTTTGAGATGAAGTAGTAGTGAAAGTTTTATATTACTTTGGTCACTATCATTATTTTGCTCAAAATCATTGTATTCTCACTTGTTATTCTACTTTTTATTAAATATTGACAGATATTATGATAGATAAACCATTCAATTTTTTATGTCAATTTCAGACACCGAGACTAAAAATTATAGTATTTTAAATGATTTACACCCATTTTAAAAATGAATATATGTAAATGAATCCAATTTTTCACATAAACAGCATGTCTAGTCTGATTGAAGATTTTCAGTACCAGTTCCATATCTTGTTTTGAAATTTAAATATTCAGTCAATTTGTAAAATCCATTCAAACAATTTACTGGAGATTTGTAGGAAGTTAATGCAAACATTTATAAAAAATATACTTACACTAGGAGCTCTCTGTAGACCACGTAATATCTAAGGGTCTTCATTTATTTTCTTCATTTTTGTTTATTTATTTATTTTCATCAGCATCATCATTTCATGTAAAAAGTCATTTTCTCATGAAGTAGAATAAATATTTTTAAACATTACAGTTCTTTACTTTTAAATTTCCAAGTATCAGGTATTGTAGTCCATGGACCACAGAAGGGTGGGGGGAGGTGGAGTGTTTAGAATGCATAAAAAATTCACAGCTTCATGACTTGGAACATTAGTAAAATTCACCCGAATCTTCTAAAAATTGCACTCTAAGCTTTTATGTAATAATTTGAAATTGAATTCTCACGATTCTCAATTTCACTCTGCATGTTAATTGATAAATAAGGCAAATCAAGTTATGGGTTATTATTTATAATATGTTTATAATCAGTGCGGGAAAGATAATTGTGATCATAAGCTGTTAAGATCGGCAAAAATAGCTAATGCCAGGAAGACCATAATGTTGAAGGTTGATTACTTCCAAAAGCAGTCATTGAGACTTAGGGCCCTTGTAAGAAGATAAAACTAAAGAGAGACCAAACCGTCATAATTAAAAAAAATGTAAACGCCACAGAAAACATTTGACCTTTATTTCAATACTTGTTAAATGACAAATTGATAGTGAATCAAAGCTGTGCTTTATAGAAGAATATATATCCAGAAAACGGCATTGTTCCAAGTAATAATACTGGTAGATAATATCACGTTGGTATAATGATACCGTTTATCGAGTAGTATTGATCACATATGGACGACGCAAGTCGTCGGAGGTTTTCGTTACCTGATCAATATTGTGTGTATAAATGCAAACGTGTAAGGTCCAAATAATAACAAAAATACCATGTGTAAAATACAACAATATATAAATGTATAGCGTAAAAACTTGAGGCAAGTCTGCGTGTTAAACAGTTATTGTTTTTGGGCAAGTCCAATGAATAAATAGGAATAAAAAGGGTGAATATTGTGGCAACTGCGCTTCACGTCGGGTTGGTTATTTAGCAGTTGCTGTACATGCCAAACAGGATGCGATTTTTGCAGCAAGAGAAAACCCATGGATTGTAAGCTTTCTTTCCACAGCACATGTAATCTTGTCTTGTATACCAGAGGACACCTTGGCAACAAGTGTAGTAGTGCGGATGGAAGGCTCTGCTGCCGCAGCACGAATAATTGCGCCCATGGCGCACAATACCGGCGCAGCAGGTCTGGTGTTCCTTGTAGTAGGGGCGATGTCCGCAACAGGTCATGTTGGCACCAACGTGGAGTTTTCCATAGCAACATGTATGGGTTTCTCTGCTGTAGATCATCTTGCCGCAGCAGCCTAGTACTCCGGCGCTGTACTTAAGGCCACCCTTGCAGCACACATACAGGTTGGGGTCGTAGTGACCACACCTCTTGTCGTACACCAGCTCCGTTGATAGCCAAAATTGATCGTCTAGAAAAAAAAAAAAAAAAAAAAAAAAAACTCAACATTGCATCTCTATCGATAGAGACCTAAGTATCAATACAACAAAAAATCAACACTTATAGATCAAATTCATGTTGTCGTTTGAACACACCAAACTGAGTTGTCATGTAATGCAATCTTATGTAAACTTCGAGAGCTATTCAAAATGTGGTGACCCGTAGATCAATAGAGACTAATAATGAACCCTCTACAGATACCCCAGGGTGGCAAATCCCGGGATGAAATGGAGGTAGTGTTGTAAAATTAAACGAAAAGCAAACATTCTGCATGCTTCACATGGGGAGTCCATAACAGAGCGCAGATGCAAGGACCTACGGCTAAATGGTCCTTCAACGGCGCACAAATATTATTGTTTTCATTTCGAAATTAGCAGGCGTGATAAAGGGGGAACGTGCGTGTGAACTTCTGCCAAGAAAGAAAAAAAAAAAAAAGAAGTAAACTGAAGTGTTGTGAACATGCTTAGCCTTTTGATCAATCGTCTTTTCGAATCATTTTCACGTTTTAAATTGTTGTCCAAACAAGGAGCATTTATTAAAAATATAATTTCAATTAAAACAAGTGTTGAGATTGATCGGCATAGTATGGTCTAAGTATGCTTTATTTAAAATATTTTCAGATTGGTGAGAGGTGCCAATGGATTTTGTTTGGACCGAACGAAATGTAAACGCTGATTTAGAAAACGCATTCAGAGACAATTTTTTTAATGAATGTGAACTGTTATGTACTAGGTATACTAGATTTTGACAAAAAAAATGAACAAAAGGTTTCCAAATAACGATAAAATTCACTTTTAACTGTTCCTTTTAGCGTCCTCAACAGTCTTTTGTTTCTTAAAACCACCAACCCATGTAGTTCTGAACTCCAAAGCACCCAATAAATCTGGGTTTCTAGTTTCACTTTTTTCTTCGCGCCGCTTAAGCTGTTAGATTGGTTACATGCATTCCATACATTTTCACCTCGAGTCTCAATGCAACTTTTGAATAAGGGTATTGATTTCATTATTTTAAAGGAACGTAACTTTTGGAATAAAAGCTCATCTCTCTCTCTCTCTCTCTCTCTCTCTCTCACACACACACACACACACACACACACACACACACACATTATTTATGTATATTACAAGTACGGCGCCTTAGATAAGTATTTTGCGCAAAAATATCACCACATTCATCTGTCATCGTACTCTAGATCATCCTGAATTGGCATGCTATGAAATTCTTTGCTGCCTTCGTTGATAGTCTTCCAAAATGTATTTTTTACGTTAATTTTCAGTGGCATTGACTATGTCTAGAATGGATTTAAATTCTTTCCGCTAAACGAAACATGATAATTCGAGTGGAAGACAAGTTTCCGCAGTAAGTCTGATGTAGGTTACAAATTGCGCTGCTGCATGTACAACCTCTGGTTAGTGGAAAGCTTTCTTTAAAAGTACAATGTTTTATTATGTCACTAGAGACTTTGAACTACTTCGCCCAATTGTACGTTATACGTAGACCTAGTGCACAGGTCCATATAATATTACCTAACCAGTTTCGGTCAACGATTTTGGCGGCGGCAAAATTTAGTTTTTTTCCTTTTGCGTGAAAAGTAAAATGCTGGTGACATATCAAGCAGAAAAAGTGTGCAATTCTATAAGAATGAGTTCCTGTTAGAGCTGATGTAAGCACACCTGAGACGCAAGGGAAATGACTTTTTAATTTCTTCAGAGAGATCACATCTGCTTCAAATTCAAGGGTTAAAAGAACAAGCCGCAGCGTCTGTTTGCAGAAGATAAAGTTTCTCTAACTACCTCAAAAATTGAATTGTGCAACTTGTGTCATAGTGAAGTGGTCCTTAACTATGGCGTTGGTCTAGGAGGGGTGTGCGAAATGCTTGCTTTCATGTCTGCAGACGATTCAAAGGATCAGTTGTTGTTTTAACCTTACTCTCTATCATCACAGGTTACACAGAAATTTTTAGCTGTTCCACCTTCACATTTCTAAGATTAGAACTTTTAAACACTGAGCAATTATGCCAACACGACATCAAGTAAACTTGTAAGTTGTACAAGATTGAAACAATGATGTCTGGTAAACATTTTGCGCTAGAGGACGCTTTGTGATCTTGCTTTCTTTTCCCTTTTTTTCTTCCGGATACTAGATAAAATATGAAAAAGAGGGACAATCTAAGCTATAACAGACGACACCAGACTGTACAAGAGTACCCAGCTATGCAGGAATTCGTGTTAAACAAAGATTCAAAACAGCTTCATTTTAAGGTGCATGATACGTCAAAACAACCAAAATTATCTAAGCCGTAGTAAGAGAGAAAGAGAGGGGTGTGAAAAGCGTAATGATGCACTGACCTATGTTAGGTTAGATCTTTATACGTAAAGCGGAAGGGGCGGTACCTAGCGATCGTTTACGTTTTCTTTTTTCTTTCCTTTTTTTTCTTAGCTTTCAAGATTTTGTAACAAAAAATTTTGTATGTATAATTATTTTTAGTTATTTCTATAAAAAATTTTGTGTCACAGAATCTAAGTTTGACTGCAACAAACACGTTACATAGCAGACGTGATTGACTGTAAACTGTTTATGGGAAAGTAAATTTTTGATGCTGTCAGTGTAACTAAAAACGGTACAGCTGTTTCTCTTAATTGGAAAATTAAGAACAAAACTAAATAAATTCACCTAACGCAGCAAAACCAAACGTAATTGGGCACATTCTTACTTTACCATTGTTTTTTTTTGTGTGTGTGTTTGAAAAAACGTCGATGTTTTATGATTTTTCATATAAAAGTCATGCATAACGATGCTGTTGCTTGCCACAAAAGACGTTCAATCTTTCCTGACACAGTTTGGAGTTCGTATCCTGGTCGGTCTAGACACTGGCCAATTTACGTTTATACAGGGAGGGTTGGGGTCACAGGTCTATAGTCAGCTATTTCAAAGGGGTGGGGGGCTCTTTATGTAAATAAAATGGAGCTTTTTTGCCACATTGACATATAAAATAGATCAATTGTTACACAGAGCATGCGTTTTCCCAGTCAAAAGGGTTGTTCACTCGACCCAGTCCCATTGCCTACGGGCTAAGAGGAGAGGGCTTTATAGTTCCATGAGGATGGTTTTCACGCAGAATGAGTATCACATATTGAAGTGATGAGATCTAGGAGCAGATAATTTGCTTAAATACATGTTAAGAGACGGTACAGGAGGCTCAAGTGTGCGATCTTCGTTTATGTATATTTCAGTGAGTTTCATTTTGAGTAAAATAAACTTTTTTCACATAAGGTAAAATAAAGGTTAAATCAATGTTATTGCATACGGTTTACTTGCACGAATACGATTACAAGCAATGGCTTTCTTAAAGACGTAAAACGTACTTGCTTAACTGTTTCTTTCTTTTGCATACCCTCCCTCCTGCTCCAGCAGTTGGCTAAATAAGTGTAAAATATAAAACTAAGTTGGCTAAATAAGTGTAAAAAATAAAACCTCTAAACACAAAACTTTTCTGCATCCAATTTATTCACTTTATATATATATATATATATATATATATATATATATATATATATATATATATATATATATACACACCATGTTTATCACTGCAAGTGGCAGGTATGCATGCCGTTATAAGACGTTCCGATTGTTTTAATGTAAAGTTTTGCAAATTAATATTAGTCAAAAGCTAAACATAACGAACAACAATATTACAACGTGGTGTGACTATTGTTGTTTTATGCTGCTTTTGTTCTAATCAATTTTACAGACATCAAATATGGTGTATAAAATTCCTTGCATGGTTTAGATTTTCTGTGCACTTACATTTTCCATCAGCGAGAGGAAACGCGGTCAAAAGCACAAGCAGGAAGGAAACTTGAGGCAATACGGCAGGCATTTTCTATTGAAGTTTGTGAGGTAACGCTGTAAAGAAAAGAAAAACGATTCTATGGTAAATTTTTTAGGTAATTACAAGGGTTCAGTAATTAGTGAACCGCACTGACACTTTCTATTGTGACGTTTCTTCCGGGCGTCTCTTCTTGGTTTTCTTTCTCTCGCTCTCTTACTGAAAACACTATAGTGGTATTTAAGTCGTGATTGTTACTGCACATGCGAGGCATTTTATCTCACAATGACGTATTGGACAATGTACATGTACATTAAATTCCAGTTTGGGAAATCGTTGATACAGGGATAATGAGACAAACACATATATCATTTAATAAGGAGAAAAAACCTACGATCTTGAAGGAAACAAACGATGTGCATAAATAAATTATAACTAAAAAGCACAATGGATAAGTTTAAAATATGAATTGCACGGGATTTTTTCTTGCATTTTTTCTATTTTCATACGGTCATTTTGTAACAGTTTGCTTTGATTTGGAGAAGGCCCTATCTAACACCATTTTTAGAGTTTGGAAATAGGATGCCAAAGCAGAATAAGATTTATAAAAGATAGCTTACAATACAAACTGCATATTAACCTAGTACTTAATTTTTGTTTGACTTTTAGGTGGAACAAAGGGCGAATTATAGAGACAAACCAAAAAGAAGAGATCAACGTGACATGTGTTTAAATTACAATTGAAAACATATTCAGGCAGTTAGAGTTTTAGGGAATTAACACAACATGTCTGGTGCAAGTAATTGTTTCCTTTCTATTGAAGCCCACCTGGCATTGATTGCAACGCAGACGTAGCGGCAACGAAGGCTGGGGTCCCTGCGGTGTTAAAGTGGAATGAAGTTAGTAGACAGTGACACGGACTTATGTGAGCTTCTGAAACCTAAACGGTATTGGTGGGTTCCGGCGTATTTGTAGAAATTGGCTAGAAAAGAGAGAAAACCCGTCTGTACGTGAATTTAGCTTCCACTTGACTCAGTCAGGGTAGTCATATATACTAATCTAGCAAACCGTTTTACTCTAATTCTGTCTTCTTTTAGGGTTCGACTGTGTGGCATTAATATTGCAAACAATCAGCCCGACGCTTTTTTTCTTTCTTATCGACCTAACTACCGTTCTCAAAACCAACTTGACCGGTAAAAATCGCTTAAAATATAAACACATACATGTACGAAACGCTTAAAATTTTCTGTTTGTTTATCAAAAGGTTAGTATTTCAGTCTTTTTCACGTTAAAGATGTAGCATTTTCTCTTTCTGTAAAAAAAGGCCTTTGTTTTCGACATCTCCCTAGGATCTATAGAGTCCATAGGGTGGGATGTAAACTTGTTTCGTGGTTTCTTAACGAAAATGGCAACCATACGGAAGATGTGGTTTTTATGTAGGTCCCGCTGTTCCCACTACATAACGTGTAAACCATTGTCTGTACTTTAAGAAGTCTAAGAAAGCATTGAAAAGCTTCGTTTGCCGAATTATTTCCCACACCTTTACTCAGGCGTCTTAAGAATGGCATGGGGACTTAAAAACATATGCTACTTTTGAAGGTCTTTCTTATTTGCTGTATATGGTAAAATAAAAGTTTTATCCTACCTAAGCAGTCCCACCGTTTTCGGTTCTCCTTTCCCGTTGTTCCTCTGGCGTGTCTATTCCGCTTACTTGCCGCTTTCAGCATATGAATTGCATCAGGTTGGGGAGTAGGGGGGCAGAAGCGCGACCTTTCGCCTTTTCCCTTCATGGGGTTCCAAATGGTGGTTCTGTTACCAAAAATTTATGCGAAGGTGATAGACGCACCACATGTACAGATCTTGATAAGGCCAACAACTTAAAAATTATTTACTATATAATAATAATAACGATGGATTTTCTTTGAAAGACATCTAATAGTAAGGTGAATTGTAAGAAAAATATATGTTATTTCTTCCATATTGGCGACCACTATATGTCTCGCCGCAAGTCATTTATAGTTTGATTAGATTTTTGTGTGTAACATGATTTTGGGATTTCAAATGGATATTAGAATATTATCAACAATGTCATTTTAGTTTTTATGAATCAACTTCCTGGAATAATCAAAAACCGTTTCTTTTGTAACCAGTTAAATTGGCGGCTACAGGGGCAGTTTCAGCATGCCCTTCATTCTTTTTTCTTGTCTGTGTGTCTGTGTGTATTGGGGGGGGGATACATGTAGGAGCAGACATTCCAAGCTATTACAATGTAGTTTGGCCCAAATTATATTCCCTCCACAACCCTGGCCACCTTGTATCAACCATAGGGTTATGCTGTTGACATTACTCAATTGGAACTCATTCACAAATGTGAAAGGTAGTACGCCCCTGTATCCCCTTTTCAACAATGCATCTAATAGCTAGACGAAAATATTTGCGGAAAAAAATAGAAACCAGCCTTGCACAATAACTAAATTCAAAGTCAATTATATCTTAAACGTTTTAAGAAATGTGGATTGGATTTGATGTGAACTCGCCGGTTTCATAGAACTTTAAACCGCCATTCAACAAGGACTCTTGGGCATGATTATAAGTAAATAAAATAGCCTGCATGTCTGACTTTTTGCTTTGCTAGACAGACGCGGGCAAAACTTATCTAAATTAAAATAATTAACAATAATCTTGTTGAGAATGTAACGGTACACCGAATGTAAACATAAAGTATAAATAGTGTCTCTCTATCATACCAAGGAAAGCTCGTATTTCCCCGTGATTGAGTTAGTATTGAAATAATATGTAGGCATACTTCTACCTCAGCGTTACATAAATACCCACTTTTTGTATGATCTCAATACATAGAAGACCGAATAGACTATTCATAGTGATACTTCTCGTTAAAATTGCTCAGTCTCGTAAATCTAGATGCATCGTAGTAAATGTCAACTTACCAAATTAGTCATTTTATATAATTCATGATTACTTGTGATAAAAGAAGCAGTGTTGAATTTATCGTCGTGCTTTTCATAGGTTTGCGAAAGATTAGGCTTGTAAATAATGGCAGCTTTCTGCACAACTTGGTTCTAAACTTGTTCTGCATTCACAGAGCGAAAATGTGTTTAGACGCAAGTTACCTGGGGTAAAAAAACACGTACCTAACCAGACATAGTACTAACTAAGTCAGGCATTATCAGGGAGTCACACGGATCTTTATCCAACAATATAATTTAATTTGAAAACCAGACATCTGATGGCATTTTTTTTTCAGTTTTCAAACTTGGTGAATACTTCGTTTTCTAATTTTCCCCTACATTCTCACCTAACACACTGCCAATTGACCCCAAGACTGTAAGGAGGGGGGGGGGGGGGGAGAGAGAAAGCCGACAGATATGTCTTAAAAATACTTATGGATGTTTAGTCGATCTCTTCTCCCAGTGAAGCAGAAGTTCCTTGCTTTTCTTTTAGCTTGCAGCCAAATGAGTACCAAAAACCTCCTGTTTGCATGAAATTGCAGGCCTTTAACAGCATGAACAACTGGCTCTTAAGCATTTTTTCTCAGTCTATGGCACTGGCAGTGAATATCGTTTTATTGTTGTGACAAGTGTACATGTATACCCCAGCCCCATTAGCCTATTTGTTACCATAAGATGGCATGTTTCTCAAGGGCAATAATTTATAATAAGATATTTAAAAATAACAATGACATTGAAAATAAAAAACAGATTATCTAATGATTAAAGAAATATTAATATATAATTATATTCGTCCTCTCTTGATCTAGAAACAGCAGATTCGATCTTCCACTTTTGCTCCTATATTTATCCCGGTTTATGCAGTTTTCAGATGTGTTTAATAAGTATTTATACTCCCTTTTTTGGGTTATGCCTCAACCTGGCTCATTCAGTTTTGACTGAATTTGATAAGTCATGGACACACTATCTTATCATATAATAGCAGTGTCAAATGCATTTTGATTTGGTTGAACTCAACATTTATATGACATTATATGGCATTCTGTTGGTCATTTTCAACGCAACAAAAGCATTGTTTATTAGATGAAAGGAACCAATTGTCCCCATCATTACTTCCAACATGTATTTCATTTAATTCAAATAAGTAGACACAAACTTATATTTAGACCCTCTGGATATGGTCTTTACTAATGCATTACCTCTACGTGCTTCTATCTTCACGATGCACCATAGTTTTGCGTTACTCGCATATGTAGGCAAGATTTGTCTAAACAATCGAATTTGCTTCGGTATAAAAGCTATCCTTCGGCTGATGCTTTGTTGAAAGTGATAAAAGAACTATCTACTCAGTGTGTAGACCTCTGTGCAGCTGTGCCGTGGTGACCTGGACGTATAAAACGATTTATTTGACCAAGTCTGCTAGTACCAATAAGCAGCATGGCTTGGTCTTGCTAGTGTACAAAAATAAAAATTTGCCAATGAAACATATGAAAAACGATGCCAATTGAGAATTTGAAAGTAGGCCCCTACTTCTTAGGCAATAGAACCCCTTGTACAAAAATATAAAATAAAAAAATGAAAAAAAAATCTGCAAATAAAATGTGAATAAAACAAAAAGACGGAACAGAAATGTGTTTGAATATTTCAAACCCATATTACGAAATGTTTTCATAATCCATCCCAACAATGTAGGGTACTGGTGTGGCTTCGCCAATTGCTTTAGAGAATTTTTGGAGTTTCTTTCTGAATAAAAACACTGCGCTGTCGCAACAGTCATGATTGTGTTTGGGTTGTGCCCATGACGTCATTCTTTTGCTATAGACCAATCAGGTGCCCGTTTTGCACACGGCACGCTATCTTGGCGTGGAAGAAGAAAGCCGCCATCTTGGATTGAGAGTTTTTGCAAATCTATGTACTTTACCGATTATGTGGTCATAAAACCGGACAATCAGTTTTATTGTGGGTCAGATGGTGACACCTCATCACCAGATCTACCACTGTTGACCAGGAGTAGGGATCCAGGCGGTGTACTTTCTCGAAATCGGCCGCAGAGACCCTGGACGGTATCAGATGATTGGCTCTTACTCCCCGGAAGAACGACTTATGACAGTCAGAACGGGGTTTCTCTTCAGTATTATTCATTGTGACTTTATCATTTGAGAAGCTCCCTGTCAAAGCAGTTATCTGCCAAGTATTTACATTCAGCAATCCTGGAGAATTGTCTGAAATCTGCTGACCATGTCTACAAATAGAGCTCCCCTGCTGCAAACTGTACATGAGTCTGTCACTGTTGATCATGTAAGTTCTGAACTCCTTCAATGGAGTCATGATTTATATTTCATCAATTATCTGAAAATACATATATACGTGCTTCTGACTTGTTTTTTGACTTAATTGGTATAATTGTTTGTCTACTAACGGCCCTGTTCTTATAAAATTTCATTGGTTAAGTTCGAGTTAAGTGGCACTCCCTAGGGATGCATCATCCACACGAAATTTAGTATATGGTACCATTACCAGCTTATGCTAAGTCTAGATATAAAAATAAAAGGGACATGCCCCTACTGTCTGCATGTCCGTGACATATTTTATTCATGCAAAAGTCTTACTTTGTATTAATAGTACCACAGCTGAAGTTGAAGTTGGCAGTGAAGTTGATAATGTGAAGTTGACATAAGATTATAACTGATCCATAAACCAGTATGACAAACATCTAGATTAAAAAAACTATATCAGACATTTAAAAGAACAAGATTTTAATCAGAAGTGTGATATATATTTCTAAGTACCCCCCCCCTCCAAGCACATACTGATTCTTTCATCTCATTATATTTACAGTAGTTGGGATGCCAGTTAAAACAGTAATTTTGACATTGAAGACATTCTGACACTTCTTTATTGTTGGACATTCTGTGTTAGATCGAGTCATAATAATTGGTCTCCACAACTTTAAAAAACATTTCTTATTTAAATATTCACTGTGCATGCTGGTTCTTGAAAACTAATGCCAGTGTGAATTGTTGCAGTTCCTGTCCTGGGATGCACTTTTTATTTTCTCCATGTTTGTCCTTTACCTTACTTCTGATGCACCAACCTAACACATTGACAAACGTAAAAAAAAAGAAAGATATTCACTTTAGATTGGTACATGTCCATCCACTTATTGAGCAAATGTTTCTGGTCCTAGTTGATTGATTCTGCCCTCAATATTATAGCGTGGTCTCCTAGTAGTGAGCATATATTCAGAGTGGTGTATTCTGATTATAGCTAATGAAGAAAAGATTGAAATGTAGGTATGAGTACTGAAGACAGAAAACTTGAAAATATTAGATATATTACATTTCAGTATTAGTTTTGTCTTTTGTTGTACAACATGTGGAGAGCATCATTGTAGTGAGTTATGTACTTGAAGATGTACTTAAGTCTGCATTGATTTTCCCATTGTATCTCTTTAAGGGGAAAGATGACAATGCCAACCCACGGATATCAACAAGAACAAGGACATCTGAAGAACCTCATATAGGCAAATACCGCCTCATTAAAACCATTGGCAAAGGAAATTTTGCAAAGGTGAAACTAGCAAAACATGTGCCAACTGGAAGGGAGGTAGGTATTAATGGAAAGCTTTTTGTCCTTTTGAAATAAAGAAAAAAATTTTCTATTGACCCACTCATTCAAAATGTATTTTTTTTCTTCAGTAATGAAAATGACAAAGATACCCCATGCCTGTACTCTGCTTCTTGTGCAAGATAGTTATCTGTAACCTATCTGCATTTCAATCACTATAATTTAAGTAGAAGGAAAAGGAAAGGAATTTTATGGTTGACTTTTTACATCGTTTGGTGCTTTAATTTAATGGCTAAGAATGGAAATAAAACCCATTGTGTGTAAATTGAAGGTAATTGAGGATTATATTATGACCCCCCCCCCCAAAAAAAAAAAATGGCCATCACAAATCTGAGTTGTTTTTTTTAACTTTGGTAACAGAATTCACATGTTAAAATAAAGCTAAAACCCACCCACTCTTGAACATGAAATCCCTTTCTTTTATCTTAAACTTTTGTGCCATGAGAGGTTATCAAATCATGACAGTTTACTTAAGAGGGACTTAAGAAATGATAATGATATTATCAGAGTATGAAAAGCTGGCCTAAGCATTTCAGTGAGGTAGATGTGATTTTAAGTTGTCTTGAAAATGAACTACTGGCAAACCATCATGGTTTATGTATTAAAGAGGCTTTACAAAGGTAGAACTGTCAGTGGCCTTATATACAGAAATGTTGTGTGATTGACAGGTAATCCATTTAGGTATGTCATCTTAGAATAGTCCAAATTTTTAATTGTTGAAATGGCTTATTTTTAATGGGGTATGATTGCAATTGGTTTTCCACTTCATTTCACTCTTGTATTTAACGATAGAAAATAAGGTAGAAGTTGTGTACCAGGTCATTGTCTGAATTTGCTTAGCTCATTAATATTGTTTGAAGGCTATTTATATAAGTTTGTTCTGATTTAGCAAGGTTCTTGGCTTGGTCACTGTAGAAAAAGGTGAGGTAATGAAGTTGAAATAAACCCTAAGCTGTTACTACAATATTATAATTTAATGATTGAGAAACCACACAATGAATGTTTTTGATATGGTATATTTTCTTGATGATGGTAGTTTAATGTCACGTTAATGAAATGAAATATATATATGTTAGAGTAATCAAAGCAATTATCTGAAATCCACTTATTTACAGAATCCTGAGTAGAGGGTCGTCAGTGGATTTTTTTTTTTTTTGTTTTCTTATTACTAAGTCATATTCTTGATTGATTTTGTAAAATTCCTAATACAATTCTTAAATAAATGTTTGGGGTTTGTATGAGTTTAATGGAATATTGGTATATACTATATATGAAGAGGAAACCAATCAACAAGTGATTCAAAAGACGTGCATTGTTATTAAAGAATGTAAATGAGTTAAGGGAAACTAATCTGCCCCATGTACTACATCTCTTTATTATGAATTTATTAATAACTTAAATCACTTTCTTTCCAGGTTGCCATTAAAATCATTGACAAGACTCAGTTGAATCCATCAAGTCTTCAAAAGGTAAAAGGCATTTCTATTTATTAGGGTCCTGCTTGATTTGAATTACAAAAGATGTTACAGTTATGTGTTGTAGCAGATATTTTTCAGTGGGAGGTCTGATTTTATTTGGTGAAATGTTACGGCATTTGGTAATGAGAAGACACTTTCAATTTTCAGTCAAGTGTAACATGTACCCTGCAAGGTGAGAACACCTGTGCCTATAAATATAAAACAGTGATTTTATTGTTCTGCAGTTTTAAATAAGTAGGTTTTCTGAGACTGTAGTGCTTACTGGTCTGACTTACGCATATATAATTGTTTCAATAGTGAAAGATGCATATAAAGAAAAGAAAATGCTCTAGTATCTGTATTTTATTTATTTACTTACTGACAATTTCCTCCTGTTTTTTTGTGTGTAATTTAAATGATCCAGTGCAAAGAACACTAAGGCCAGTAGTAAAAGGATCATTCCTTCTTTTTGACCTGTATCCATGCTGTAGGTGTTCAATTAATGTTAGACACAGCCATTCACTTGAATGATACTTGAGTGAAATAATAATTAGACTGCTCCCAGTTGTGTAATCTAATAAAATAAAATAAAGACCAGGCTGAATAGTGCACTATTGCAAGCCTAACCANATTAAATTTTATTATGCAATCCGTTTGTTGCGAATGATAAACATGTCCTAGTACTGGGCATTTTAAGGACGAGTTTAAATTATTGTTCATTTTTAAAGAATGCTCAAATATACTACTATTAGGATATTTTAATTTTGTTGATATAGGGTCCTTGATATAGGCCTACTTCAACTATCTTTATTAAAAAAAAAAAAAGATATCACAGTCAACAGTCATTCAGATTTATCTTGCTGACAACTGATCCAAATAATAGATTCTTTTTTTTTAACATAATGGTTTAATTTGAACTGGTCCTACTTTGAAATTTCACAGGTTGAGGAAATGATCACATCTGCAGATATGGTTTTAAGAAGAGATTTCAATGAGAGGATGGAGGCAGCTAACTTTATATCAATATTTGCAGATGAGAGTATAGATATTGCTGTCTTCAAGAAGCTCCTGAAGCTTCAGAATTTTCGTGCTTTGAGGCACCGTAAAAAGTAATTTAAAGTTATCACACTTTAAAGAACTATTTTTCACATGGATTGTTTGTGAAATTGGTCTATGATACGCACCACCCATCCATACACATTTTAAGGTTGATGGTAATATAAAATAAAGAAATCAAGTTATAAAAATGAAAGCTGTTGCGTTATGAGTTTCAGATAATGTCAAGAGCTGTTTTCAAAGCACTTGTTTTGTCGTGTCTGTCAAAAATTTGTTTCATCAATTCATGTTGCACCTTAGTGCTTACTGGTGAGGTGAGAAGAAAAAGGATTACAATTTTACAAAAATTATTGATAGTTTTTATTATTAAATAAGAAAAAAAATTATTTTTCCGAAGGACCCCATTTTTTTCTGAAGGACCCCATTTTACAATGCTAGTGGGGTCCCAAGGACTCCACTTACAAACTGCCCAGCGCAAACACTGTGAAACAGTGATTTTATTGTTCTGCAGTTTTAAATAAGTAGGTTTTCTGAGACTGTAGTGCTTACTGGTCTGACTTACGCATATATAATTGTTTCAATAGTGAAAGATGCATATAAAGAAAAGAAAATGCTCTAGTATCTGTATTTTATTTATTAACTTACTGATAATTTCCTCCTGTTTTTTTTGTGTGTAATTTAAATGATCCAGTGCAAAGAACACTAAGGCCAGTAGTAAAAGGATCATTCTGTCTTTTTGACATGTATCCATGCTGTAGGTGTTCAATTAATGTTAGACACAGCCATTCACTTGAATAATACTTGAGTGAAATAATAATTAGACTGCTCCCAGTTGTGTAATCTAATAAAATAAAATAAAGACCAGGCTGAATAGTGCACTATTGCAAGCCTAACCATTTTTCTGTATGATCATGAGATAAAAAGCAGAGGTTTAAAAAGGTTATACACAATAATTGAAAGAGCATATGAATTTTGGTTTCATGTAGTTATGTGAATCTCAAATATATTTCTAATGTAGACTCCGTCTGATACATAGATTGGAGACCATGTTATCAATACTTCTACCAAATGAAAAAAAAAAATTTTTTTTACCAATGTTTTCAATAAAAGGCTCAGGATTTTGATGTTCCTGAAGTATTCAATTATTATATTTTATCACAAGCATGTCCTAGTTGTGTGTAGTGAGAGAATGCATTATAAATATTTATGATACGGATAGCATAAAAGATAATCAGCATTATTCTCCTAGTGTGAGATAATTCAAGTTGACCGAAAGACAGCCATTGAGGCTTTTTGTACAAATTGAATATGGTTTGTAAAAAATGCAAAAGGCTTAGAAATTCGCTTTTGTAGAATAAAGGGTGTATTATTAGTTTTATGTAACTCTGGTTTAAAATCAGACAAACAACATTACAGTCATATTTCCAGTATGTAAAATATGGGCACCTTGGTTAGCCTTGCAGCATGATAATATCCCCTTTATCATTCTTGAAAACTAATTATATTTGTGATATGAAATTGACCCTAAGGGTAGTTATCATATTTGTAAGTATATTGAATGCGGAAAAGACCAATTTTTGGTCTGCATTATCTACACAAGGGAATTATAATATGGAAATGGTGGTACAATGATTCTTTAACATCATTGTTTAATAATCATTTATATTTATTTGTTTCAGTTGTTTAGAGAGGTCAGAATAATGAAAATGTTAGACCATCCAGACATAGGTTAGTTTCCATTTTTTCGCCAAAAGAAAATATCTAAGGAGGTTATCAAAACAATTTATTTGATCTATGTACCACTTTCACGTTTTGTATTTGTTTACCTTTACCTGTCTTACATACGTCTGCTGTTTCTTTGTTCATGTTAAAAGAAATGTTTTTAGATAGTTAATAAGTATAGGGCTGCTTTTCTTACAGACAATAAAAAAGGTGTGTAGATTAATCTTTAACATATCTTGTTTCAGTAAAACTCTTTGAAGTAATAGAAACAGAAAAAACTCTCTACCTAGTTATGGAATATGCAAGTGGAGGTAAGTGCAGTAAAAAACAGTATTGTGGTAAGCTATGTAATTGTAATAGTGTGAAATTGTAATAGATTGATTTATTATGGGCATTATAGCAGTGTGCAAAGATGAGACCATGAACATGTGTTGATTTGATTGACAGCATGTTACAAATGTGTAACATATTTTGCTATCCCAGTCTGCTGTGATTTACTTTAAGGATTATCTTTGTTAATATTTTAGGGGAGGTGTTTGACTATCTAGTTGCACATGGGAGAATGAAGGAAAAAGAAGCAAGAGCAAAATTTAGACAGGTGAGCAATATGAACTCTCTGCATTGGTTTTCTGTTAGTCATGCAGCTTTCTTTGAAACAGGTGGATTTTTAAGCTTAATAGGGTTCCCAGTATTTTTCCAAGTATCTGTTTCTTCTACATTTTGCACAAAGATGCATTTAAAGTCAATTTTTTGCCACAAAACCTGACCAGATGCCACCAAAGGACATTGTTTCATATTACTAAAAAATAAAAAAGACATTGTTTCATATTACTAAAAAATAAATAAAAATAATAATATTTGAATGGATATTTTCTGCTTTCTCTCTCTGCTATACATAACACCCTGCAGTTTTTGGGAACTTATTTGAATAAGTATCCAATTGTGCACACATCTACATCCATACATTGGAGTAACAATTATGCAATACATGCAGTATTTAATTATGCAGACTTTTACAAATTGAATGGATGAATTTCTAGGAGTGTGATCAGTTTATAACCAGAAAGTTGAACAACTGCTGCATTTTTAAAGCTCTTTCATGGCTGATCGAGTGGTTAATTTTGTTTATTCCTTGGCAAGTCACCTTTATTTTATTCATATGAGATACTTTAAGAAGTGGTTTATGTGCATTACTGGGAATCCATGCTCACTTTATGTGTGATTTTCATATATATGAAACTGTTTTATATTTCAGATTGTATCTGCTGTTCAATATTGTCACCAAAAGCACATAGTCCATAGAGATCTAAAGGTAAGAACAACTATCTTATTAAAGGGACTTGCTTATTTTTCTGAACAATGTTTGTAAGACAGCTTTAGGGGTAGGCAGTTGAATCACTCAGGATGACATAAAAATCCCATTTCTCCATAAATACCAATACGTCTAAAATTAGTGATGATTAGCCCATAGCTTGTAATGCTAATCTACAGATAATTGAGAGCAAGACACAAACGTTTGCTCCAGGTATTCTTTTCACTCACAGCCACTTTTATGGAAGTGGTGAATGATTATATAGGGAAAGTGTCAGCCAGTATATATTCCACCTACCTGGACAGAGTCATGTTTGTATACTCCTGACTATTAGCCAGTTGAACAGGTTATGTTCAGCACTGGTGAATGTACAGGAGTAAAGGTCATGCACATAACACTGGTTGACCTGTCTTTCTGGAAAACCTCACTGAACATAAGGCTCTGTTCCTCAGCTTTGTTGCCTGGCAACTGCTGCTTTCTGGAAGGTTATTTTTATAAATTGTTTTAACCTGGAGGGAGCCAGATGATCAATACTGCTCAGGTGGAATATTGGATCCATATGTATGAGACAATTTATTTGCTGGTTCTTAAATATTAAAAGATTGTTCCTGTGGAACATTAATTTTTTGTTTTGATCTAGTAGAGTACAACAAAAAATTTATAACTCTGGATGAAGTTTTAAAAAGTTCTTTCATGCTTACACATGCAATGTACATGAAAGGTACATGGGTTTAAAGAGTCTAGCATGGAACTGTTTTGTCAATCGTACTGTATTTGAGAAAAACACCCTAGAAAGCGAAGTTATATTGATAGTTAAAATAATTAAGTACTTATTACACAACAAAGCTGAGATGAACAGGAGCACCCTGTAATGGATTGCTTTTACTTTGAGTCTCCTTGTAGAGTGATGTGAAATTATGCAACTTTGTTGTCTGTTTGAATTAGAGTTATTCTGAGCTATACTAAGATATTGGTGAACTGGTCAGGTAACCAGAAAATGGGATAGGAACTCTCAATAGGCGATATTCATGCTTGAATTGGCTTTCACCAGAGGCTATGTCTGTATAGAGTGCATTCTAAGAATAATCAATATAGTTGAAATTGGGTAGATAATTACAGGTTAGGGTCTTGTAAACACAACCAGTAACAAATGTACCGATTGTTGGGTGGGTTTTTGGTGCAAAGCAGTCAAAATTTTTGGTTGAGAATTTTTGTACCTGCACATAAAATTGTTTCATGGTGTTACAGTCTGAACATTTATCCATATGTGTCAGCACATTTGTTCAGCGTATGTGCTTTATACCACAGTCTGTATTATGAGCACGTCTTCAGTTCAGTAATACACAGCATGCACATAAACTAAAGACCTGTACAAAGAGAAAAATTACAAGCAAGCAAAAATATTCATTACAGTGAATGTCAATACGGCTGAACTTTCACGTTAATATGAATTATTGAAATAAGTTTTAATGTCAAGCGCTTTTTGTTATATTTATTTTTAGAAAATACATTGAATGTTGTAGACATTGAGAATGTATTTGGTTGTATAGATTTGTTTTTGAGATGCTTATTCCTATCAAAAAGACGATGCAACCAGGCAAGGGGGGGGGGGGGGAAGACTGGTGAATTTAAGTGTTCATAATATCAGGGTTATCACTTTGTACTAAATATTTGTGCGCTTCGTATGATTTGTGGTGTGTTGATGCATTAGTATATCTGATGTTAGTGTGAATTAATAATGATGTTTTCTTTTTCAGGCAGAAAATCTTTTATTAGATGGTGACATGAACATAAAAATTGCAGATTTCGGATTTAGCAATGAATTCACTCCAGGTAGCAAATTGGACACATTTTGTGGCAGTCCACCTTACGCAGCACCTGAACTTTTTCAAGGTTAGTTAAGTCATCTTACAAAGAAATAGGAAGTGAGATTATAGATTTGTTAAGTTGGTACTGGCATTTTATTTTTACACAAGAGAGCAACAGAAACGCATTTTCTGAAAAAAAGATTTGCCTAAATATTCAAATGCAATATGCTTTTTTTTTCTAGGCAAAAAGTATGATGGTCCAGAGGTGGATGTTTGGAGCTTAGGAGTAATTTTATATACATTAGTTAGTGGTTCATTACCTTTTGATGGACAAAATTTAAAGGTGAGTCTTTTGTAATGATTGTAGTTTGTGTTTTTGAAACTATGATGATGGCAGTTTAAGATTTTAAGTAGGCCCCAACACCAACAAATTTACCATTTTTGCATTTCATTTTTTTATTTCAAAATAAACAAAATAAGCAATTTCATTTTGAAGATGTTTTAATTTTTTATCCCTGCAGGAGTTAAGAGAAAGAGTATTACGAGGAAAATACAGGATACCATTTTACATGTCCACAGACTGTGAAAATTTACTGAAGAAATTTTTAGTTCTAAATCCTGCAAAAAGAGCAAGTTTAGAGGTAAGGTCACATAGGGAATAAATATAAAAATGAGTTACATCTGATGAAAATAAAATGTAATGGGAGGGAGGAGGGTATTTGCTAAATGATTAATTCCAGTCAGTGAAAAAATATTTGCAGATGAATGTTTAAGGTACACACTGAGTAATGGGGGTGTATGATGACCTATTTTGAAATGTTTTGTGTTTCTATTTTCACCATTTCGAATAGACTATTATGAAGGATAGATGGATGAATATAGGCTGTGAAGATGATGAGCTCAAACCTTATATTGAACCTTCAGCAGATTTTACAGACTCCATTCGAATAGGTAAAACTTATTGAAATGTATATATGCCTTGTGTGCAGCATGTGACAGGCAGGGCAGGATTTTAGGTTTGCAACTTTTGGTCCTGGGATGGGGAGGAAAGAATTGAAAAGGGTAGGCAAACCAAAATGCTGCTCAGACTGTCTACATCAGCATGGGGGCTTTTATTAGATAATTATTGTCATCAGTTGGTGATTTATTTGTAGACAATTATGAAGGACCGCTGGCTGAATATAAGCTATGAAGATAATGAATTAAGACCACATAAAGAGCCACCCTTGGATGTTAATGACTCCAAGCGTATAGGTAAATTCTAGGCTGATTTATGTTTGGCCTAGATGTGTAGTGGAATAGTGTGGTGCTTCCTTGCATTTGTTTGTGGATTGCAGTGCTTTGATGATAACATTGCTCCACCACCACTAGGATATTGTGCATGTCATAGGATGCCAAGGCCGAGTTGTGTGACAGAGGCTAGATAGGTGACCAGCTTTGACTGCACTGCTAATAGCTTTGATTATTTATATTTTCACCAATAGAAAAAAAAATATTCACCAGATGTGATGGGATGCACACTAACTCAAAATATATGAAAAGCTGTGCTAATGTCATGTGAATTTACTAATTGACAGCAAAATTCTTAACTTTTTATTTTCATTTTCCATATTATTGATTAACAAATGAGAGTCGCTAATGATTGCATGGCTAATGGTGAAATGCCAGGCGGAATATTGAATGACTCAGAAAGGGGAGGGAATTCATATTTTATGTTTAAGTATCTTATGGTTAATGTTTATTTTGAAAAAAAAAACATAGTTTTTAGGACTTGATGGGATGTTGAAGGTAATAATTTGTATCTTCTGTGCCTAACCAATCAACATGCAGATTCTAACATGTCATTTTTACTTTGATTGACTCCAATTTATCCAAATAGATAAATATTTAAGACAATAGACCCATTTTTCAATCAGCATGTATGCATAGTTCCCCCCACTTTGTTACATTTTGAAAACATACATGTTTTACACTGTGAACATGTTTTTCAACTAGTACATTTTATATCTTAAAAAGAATTGAATTCCTTTCTCTGACTCTATCACAGCATTTTTTCTCGAAATTTAATTTCAGACCATGTCACTGTTTGAATAAAACTGAATAGATTTAATTATGTATTATATATTCCATGAAATTACAAATTGATTTTGTGAAGAAATGTTCCTTTGCTTTTGCATCCTTACTTCTTTTTTGTGAAACATTACAATAACTTATGGCAGCTGAATAAATCAATAATTTCCAAACCTGTTTGATACTGTAAAATGTAGAAAATAACTATAAAATAGGTGTCCTTTTGCTTGGGATTGTATATTTTTGAGATTCTTTTGCTTGTTCTTCTATTAATGTCTTTGCGTTTTTATTGCATTTTCAATACTCTTGCTGTACACACAATGCTGTGTACCCCCTGTCAGCCTTGTGAACTTTTTTGTTTGTTTGTTTTGATAATAATATCGTATTTTTAAATTTTGAAGACATGAAATATATAGACCAGATTTTATTTGATGGCATTATGAATGTTTGATTTTCAGGAATTATGCTAAATATGGGTTTCACAGAAAAAGAAATCCAGGAGTCCTTAACACAGAACAAATATGATGATGTCACTGCTACGTACCTCTTGCTGGGCAGAAAATGTTCAGAGGTAAGTTCATCAGCATTGTAAGTAGTTTCTGATTATTTTCTGGATTAACTTACAAGTATAAATTTCAAATGACTCATATTTGTCATATATACCAGGAGTAAAATCAAAACATTTTGTATTGCATGAAAGCCAAGTTAAATTTTGTCACTAAGAACATTGGACAAACGCCGGCAGCTCGTTGTAAGTGCTGTAGTAATTGCATAAGAGATTTGTCCATATTTTTGATGGGGTAATGTAGCACTTTTGGCTTCAGTTGTGAAGGCAATGTGAAATACATGGCATTTGTGAACTGGATTGTTTTTATAGTGCACAGTTTATAAGGTGGGACAATTTGCATCAAAGTCTGTAAGATATGCAAATCGTTGGATATACATATTCATATTTGATTACAGCTTGAAAGTGACTCCAGGCAAGGTAGCAACATATCTTTAAGACAAATGAATGCTGCTCCAAGGCAAAATAGTGAGATTAATGCAAATTCTACAACCTCGCCGGCACATAACAAGGTTACACGTAGTGTGTCTGCAACCAATCAAAAACAGCGACGACCTAATACCGACAACCCAGGTAGGGAAAAGAAAAGTGAGTGCCATTTTGCTTTGCTTTTTTGTTCACACTTTTTGTTGATACCTGTTTGTTGAATCGGGTCAGCATATGGAAATCAAATTATGAAGTCCCCCAACTGTCAATCAAGATAAAAAAAAAATAAACGTAAAGTTGACATCATATTTTTTTTGTTAAGATAACAGACTTAACAAATAGGATAACAGAAAATATGAATGAAATAGTTCTTGTATGTACCTTCACAAACTTATTGTTTATCTTGTTAAGTCTGAATGAATGAATGAACCCTTGTAATATCTAGTAACTTACGTGCATTCAATTAATGCTGATATTTCCCCACAGCTTGAGCCTTAATATTCTTTAATTTTAAAAACCTGATTCCATGAGCAGGTATCATGCTTTGACTTTTTATTTGGTTTAGGATATATTTACATTCTCTGCCTGTATTATGGAGCAACATCTTTTCTGTCCAATTAATTGGGTCTTAATAAGTATGGGATAAATTGTAGATACTTTTTGTGGGTGGGTGGGGGGAGGGGGTCAAGTTGACAAGTATTATAAACAAATTGTGCTGTAGGTGAAGGTGTTGTGTATTCTTTCTATCCTCTTGCCTATCATACCAACTGCAATAGCTTTCAAGCTTTTAAGTATATCACCCTTGGTTCCAAAAAATATATCCTCTACCATTTATATTTTCAATTCATAGTTCATTTTAAAACTTCATTTAATTTTGGAAAAAAATGGATTAATACAGTTTGAAGTCAGTACAACTAAAGGATAGTGTTGAATTTTGAACTTTGGTCTGTGAAGCTTAACTGTTGAAGGAAGTTTGTGGTGGAACATATTATATCCTTGTGTTCTCAGAAACAACAGGTATTAGTGGAAGTAGTACCGTGCCTCATAAACGGACACCCAATGCTATAGATGGAATGAAAGAAAACATAATCAACACAGGACGTCCAAAGACAGGACCTGCAAGTGCAGAAACACCACACAGAGAAGGCAAGGTAAGAGCAGGCTATAGAGACAGTTTTTAGCATGTGTTTGCATGAATTAGGATGGGTTTTCATTCATGTACATGCACACCTACATGCACATGCAAATATTTTTTTTCTCCTTTGAAGAAGCAATCTGTTGCTGATAACTGAAGTTTCTGTCATTATGCCATGTTGCTGTATGAGTGAAAATTGATAAACCAACTGTGCATCAATTTTAAATGAAAGTGGTTGTTTTTGTACATGTTGCCTACTTTGTATATCACTTGCTAGCAAATTTTAATTTACCTTTTTCTTTTTCTTCTCATTTTAGGTGGGTTCTAGTCCAAGCACAGCCAGGTCTTCGATGAAGAAACCTGGCCCACCTGGATCAGCCAACAAAAATAGCACCTTAACAAGCATTACTCGAAGAAACACATTTGGCTATGGTGACAACAAGTTACCTGGTCCTGGCAGGGAACACCCTCCACGAGAGAACTCATCAGCAAGGGGGTAGGTATTTTAAAGGGTGATACCATTTGCATTGCCAGGTCGGTGAAAGTGAAACAGTATCAGTAATGGCCTCTAAAACAGTTATTTGCACCAGCATATATTGACACCCTCTTGTTCATTTGAATAGCATGACTGTTAACAGTGATTATACTGAACAAAAGAGCATAATCTAAAACTTGCTTTGCACTTGGAGCCCCTCTAAAAATAGTTAAAAGACAATGTTTATATGTGTGCAAATTTGAACAAATGATAAATATGCTTTGCTTGATGGAAATCCTGTACTGTTAAGCAAGATATTAATATTGATGTCCTGGCTTGATAATTGTAGAAGAACCTTGCCCAATACTGGGATTCCCCCTGGTGGTGGTGACCGATCTTCTGTGCGCCAAAAACAAGGTCATGTGAAGTCTGCTAGTACCTCTCAGGCTGTAAGGACAGACTTACCACCTCTGGCTTCTAAAGAAATGATGGACAGAAGACCTGAGTGAGTATAAAACCCTGAATCTTTCTAAAATGAAAATTCATATCCAGTGAAGTGCAAATGGCAACCACAAAGCTTCTGCTGCCATGGAGAAAATTGAATTTTTCTGGGATTATCTTTTGTGTAAAGAGATAATTTGTTTTTCCTGTTTTTCTATCTCCCAATTCTGTCTGCATCCATGCTTCTGCTACTTAGATCATGTTCATCTCATTTGATGTATTTTTAAGATATGTATAAAATACTTCCACTCTTGCATCATTCTTCGAAGATGATTTGCTATATTTTTACTCAACAAAATTACTAGAACTGATTTATATGCAAACATCCCAACACCATGGAAACCAAACATTGTTGAAATGAGAATTGTTGCTATCTTTAGGACTGCCCCAGGAAAAGGGGGCATGACACCTTCACCAGTTTCGCAGAACACGCATTTCCCAAGACGCAACCCCACTAGGAGTACATTCCATGGTAGTGAAGCCCGAACAAGGCGGACTGGGGCAAACTATGATGGTCCTGGTGGCATGTCGCCCCTTGCCCAAGATTCTTTGGCCATGGGGAACCCATCCAGGTTGTCTTTCTTCAACAAAATTACTTCAAAGTTTAGTAGAAGGTGCGTACACATACACCTGTATATAAGTATAATTTAATGATATAATCATTAATAGTAGTAGATTACTAAAAACAAAGGCTAGTTTAATAGAGGTACTGCTTAACTGTAGATAATTCAGTAGAAATGGTAGACATTAAATGGAAAGCTTAAAACTGTATTTTAAGAATAGAATGGATGATGGGTTATAGTGGTTAAGCTTATATGTGTATTACTGCAGTAGAAGGCTTTGTATGGTAGAACTTGTATTTTTGTGATAATTATTTTTGGCTGGAAATGAATGCCTTTAGAATTTACCACCAATTTTAAATGTGGACCTACAACAAACTCCTAACCATTCTAGATGCCTCTTATGAAGACATTTGATATATATATATGGGAGATTAGAAAGGGCTGCAGAAGCACAACAGTACTTCTGCACTTGAATTACTTACTTTCTTCATATTAAAAAACTGTATGAAGCATAAAATGGGGGAAAAACTCTTACAAATTGAAATGTACACCTATAGATGCTTTGTAATTATTCAGTTCATCAAATTATGTGAAAATGAAAGAAATTTTGATAACTAGGAGTTTGTTGTTCCCATTGCATGCTCTATCTGCATGTCTTTCACCTCGCAATCTTTCTTCTCTCATTGTAACATGCATCATGGAAGGTACTAAATTTTAACACACATACCCAGCTAACCTGCTGACTTCTAAATTTTTAATTGTGAATTAATCACAATTTTTTCTTTTAACTGGAAAAAATTAGAAAACAAAAGTAACCTTCAAGACAAATTGCATGGTACAAATAAACAATCTGTGGAGTTATACTTCTTCATAATTCCACTGATTGTTCTTTTAATTTACAGCAAATTGTTCCGCAGGTCGATGCACGAGCGCGATGGTGAGGTCAAGCCAAGGTCACTACGGTTTACCTGGAGCATGAAAACTACCAGCTCAATGGATCCAAATGAGATGATGAAAGAAATCCGCAAGGTGCTAGATGCCAATAACTGCGATTATGAACAACGAGAAAAGTTTTTGCTCCTGTGTGTACATGGAGATCCTAACACAGATAGTCTAGTGCAATGGGAGATGGAAGTGTGCAAGCTGCCAAGGTTATCACTCAATGGTGTACGCTTCAAAAGAATATCAGGAACTTCCATTGGATTCAAAAATATTGCTTCAAAAATTGCAAATGAACTCAAGTTGTGATACCAGCCCCATCATCTGGACCTCTTTATGAGCATAGCAGCAGCATTGTTGATGTAATTTTTATCACATTCACAGTGCAAGTGAATTGGATGACAGACAAGAAATATGTGAATGTCTATTGTATTTTATACACAGCCATTGTATAAATGTAAAAAGATAGAAAAAAAAGCGTGAAAAAAAATGTATAGTAACTCACATTAACCACTAAGTCATCACACTTCGATGAAACACATGCTTCCATCCTTATTCTATAACATTGGAAGGCAAATGATGGGGTTGTGTTTACTGTAATTTTGTGACTCTAGGTCTTCAAGATAACACAGAATACCAGGTTGTCATATAAATCCTTGCCATCTGAATTCCTTAGGACTTTGATGAAATGTTGAAGGGAAAATGGTATCATCAGGGAGATGTTCATGAGATACAAATGAAAGGTTCTAGTAATGTCACTTTGCAAATATAATCAAACAACATGTACATGTTTTGTGAAGTTTGAATGAAATGGAGCTTCAAGTGTTAACAATGCCAAGGCTGTAGCCATTGTTGAAAGCATGCAGCCAACTGTTGTTTTTAACCTTAATACCTGCCATGTTTTGTGTATGCCACATTCTACGCACAGCAATGGCTGCAGCATTTGGCTTTCTGCTAGTGCATAGCTTCACCAGTATGGATTGCTTCTTGCAAACAAAAGCTTGATGTCCTCATTTAATTGGGTTTCAGAATGGTGAGAAGTTGTTAACAAATGCAAAACTTGTTTCATCTTTGAGTTTATTCTGTGTTCATGAGGAGATGCTGCACTTTGATGTGATCACATGAATTTTTTTTATTGCCAAGATCTGGAAAATGGCATGTGACCTTTCATTCTTGGGCAGCGTAAGGGGTTGATTACTTGGGAAATTCTCAAATAAGAGATTTTGCCAGTAGTTGTTTGTAACATGCCATTGGAAATCATGGTTAAATTGTTCCTTAGCCCTCTTAGTGAAGCATCAACTTTTATGAAAATAACTTTTCTGTACAGGCCATTACCAAACTAATGGTTTAATTTCAGGACCAAGAGTCCTAAGGAACGTGACAGGAAAGTTGTCGTCAAATAATGGACTTTAAAAAAAAAAGAGACATGTAGGTGAAAATGCTCTGCTATGTGCAAAATCCATTTTGTTATTAATTGTAATTGTGAGTTAACATCTCTGCAATTAGAGAGAAGTGCAATACAGCATTGGACATGCATGGCTCATGTGAAGAAATCACCATTGTACACGGGGACATTTGTATATCAGTTCATGGTCATTCTTATGTCTGTCCTTCAAGACTTGTCATAAAAATGTGAAACTGGCGTGTTTTAGTTGCAAGGTTGTGAAGGATTCAGATTTTAAATGAAACTAGAGAGGACAATTTATTGAACTTTCTTGCATCTGTCAGATGCAGGTATTGGTCCGGTTGGTGGTTTGGGAGAAATTATCCCAATCTTCCAGTGTGTTTCCTATATGAAATGATTATTCATGGGAGTTCAGATTGTTTTAAATTTAAATGTCATTATTTGAACACTAAGAGGGATTAGTGAATCCAAATCCTTCACAGTAAGTAGCATGCACAGTTTGTGTAAATATTATTCTGTACAGGTTAATTCTATATTTAAAGTATACTGCATGCTGCATTATTACATTTTAATGAAATAATAAGGTGCTGAAATGCAAGTGTACCTATCATGTGTGGGTAAATTCAAAGATCTCCTTGAGCATTTGTTGATAAATTTATTGGGCAAGGTGCACAAAGTAGATTTCTTAAACTTAATATATCTATGTGATACTAATTTAAGGCAGTTCTTTGACCATTTCTGCAGTACTCTTCGAGTTTGCCCTCCCTGAATAAGTTCGTTGACCTTTGACTGTGCTGTGTAAAACACTGGCAGCTAGCAAGGGCTGAATATGTTGACTTTAACAAATTAAAGTGTACTGTCCTAAATGAAATCTCAGATGGTGTGTACATACTTCATTAAGTATCAGAAAATGCAATGAATTACTAATTTATGGAGGCAGTATTTGTACTAAAAAACAAAAAACAGCCAGCCACTGTATATTTCTGTTAAAATTTTAGTAACTAGTAAATGAAATATATGTATGAAGTACATTGTGTTTGCTGTTGGTTTTCATCAGATTCTTGTCAAGTTATCCAAAGGTATCTGGTATTCCATTTCATCAAAGGGATAAATGCATTAACACATGCCCACATATTGATATAATAATCCAATTTTATTATTCGTATAATTTTACACAAAGGTATAAATGGTTTCATGTAATATAATTGAATTTCAGCATAAGTCGTATTTGCATAAAAATGGAATATGTGTAATAAGTACAGAAAAAAGTTTAAAATGTGTGTGAAGCATGCTAGTGTAAATTTTTGTCATTTTAAGAAAGCTTACAGCAGATTGCTCAAAAGATTATTCTACCTAGTGTAACATACTATCACAGTTTTGAATATCCTCACTGCAACTTAATAATTTTTGGGTAAAAAACTTGGTATCCAGTTGCAAAAATGGTATCCAGTTGCAAAAAGATGTATAGGATCTTTAAAAATGGGATTTTTTAAAGGAAAAAAAATAGATGGTTCATTTAAAGAAAAAATCAAGCTGCAAAATTGTAATCGATTCTAACAATATAACAGTCAATATTATTAATATTAATGAGCACTGTTATAAAAGTTCCGCGCTTGCTCCTCTGGTTTGGTGGATTCATTAATTGTTTAATCAAACACAACACCTTGTGCTGCCTTCCTTTTCTTACTTGATGGATTGATTACACTCATTCCAGGTTGCTTTGGTTTAGCCTTGGTCTGACTACCTCGTTTCTTGTCCAAATCGACAAATGCTGTATTGCTATTTGATGCTTTGCCAATCTGATGCTGAAGACCCTCAACCATATCTTTGGACTTTTTCAGCTCAATTTCTAAACTATGTGCCGTACTGGCTAAAAAAAATAGTAATGTTTGTATTTCTTCTTTTCTCTCTGCGGCACTTGCTTCATAAAGGTCGAGACTTAAACTGCTGATTCCTAGTCCAACTTCCAGTGTTGCTTTCTTCCCCATACAACTGACTGTCATCTCTCCCCTTTGGAATGATTGGCTGGAATGAAATAATCTTGGAATTTTTGACATGTAAATAACTGAAAACCATGGCTAATAGCATTCCAAAGTGTACATAAAACAGTTTGGATCTCATGCTACAATCAAAAATATTCTAAAATTCTCCAATTGCTCACCCTTCTTGTACAGAAGAGAAATAACATTCTAAAATTAGGTTAGCCAGTCTTTTTCACATTTATTGTGCCTGCATACCATATAAGTGCCTCTTTGAGGGAACATTGGAAAAAGGTTTCACACATCTTATGTAAGGCAAATAAAACTCATTAAAATGCTGAATTCAAAGAAAACTATAACAGCCCCATATGTGTGGTTCTACCTACCTAAACCTGGTCAAGTATTCCTCTAAGGACTTAAAATCTGCAACATCTCTTTCTGCCTCAAGTTCTTCTTTGTTGAGTTCCGTCTTCCACACATCACAGCCATTGCTTACACAAAGTACCCATTTGTCTCCTAAGGGAAGAAAGCAGGTATTAATCTTGATTTCTTAAAAAAATCAATTTCGTTGAGAAAGCAATGAAAAAATTAACGGAAAATTCACAAACGAAAAGTTTCACTCCTATTTCCTTTCTCTGATACATTCAGTTTATATCAGTTTATATCTTATTGCAGCTTGGCCCTTCTTTGGCAAAACCTAACCTCAGTTTTCGGCCTCACAAGCTACCCAGGTATATATAAGTACCTAGCACGAAAATTCATGCATTAGCAACAGTACATATCAGAATCGTCAATAGGAGTGCTAACGCATGAATTTTCGTGCTAATAAGTACCTTGAATGCAGCATGTAATGTTTAATATGTCACTTGTTTAAGCCTTAAGGCCGAAAACTGAGGCAAGGCAATACCTGCCCCTGTCTGAGTGCAAATTAATATTGTTGCATACCAATAGCTTTTTAATACCTGTCACTCTCATAAACACCAAGTATCGCCCGGCGAGAGACTCTGTTACTTTGTAGACTTCGTTCAATCCATGTTCCCTCAACAGCTCGCGAAAGCCAGGCATTTTTCTTTTGCAATTAGAGGCGTGAAAACACAAACATATTGCAGCAAGAGTGACGAAATGAGGCGTGAAGTCCAGCAACCACAATTGCTCTCAATTTAGTGTTTGCAATGCTGTTTACACCGGGCTGCTGCTGCAATCACGATTTTTTCAATCTCACAAACCTCGGCTGTTCTCTGCTTTCCTCGCGTATTTCAGCAAACAAGCAAATTAACCTGAATCACGTTTGTAAACAGGTTTGAAATGATGGGAAACAAAAGAGAGAAGGCTAGGGATACTCTTCTTTTGTCCAATAAAGCGGATAAAGTAAAATTATTCAACTAAATTATGGATGTAAACAGAGATAATTTCCACAGTAATTTTTTTCAACAGACTCTAACAAATTCAGTAGCTCATTACGTCCCTTTTTCGCGAAGGGTCATTCTCCCGATGTGCTCCATTTTACTATCCGCCTTTGAAACAGTCCCGAAGTCCGTAATTATATAAAGTAATGCCATTTATATCTACATATCTTGCGAAGCTTCTTAAAAACTATAAAATCAGTCAAGTGAAAGTACCTGATGTCGATATCAAGTAAGATTTCATTGAATAATTAACAATAAATTTGAAGATTAGGAATTCCACACGCTTGGTGATTCCATAGAAGTACTTCTATGGTGATTCCAAGCATGTGATGATGATAGGTTTTTTGCACTTCATACATAAATGGCATGAGCGGCGAAAGTTACGTAAGATTGCAAATATTTTGATCCTATTGGATCAATGTTCCCTACTCAATGTGCGGTTAATTATAAACGGGCAGATATATTGTTGGTTGAACAACATTAATATACTTTGTTCGCACAAAAAGTAAATTTTGCATACAAATCCATACGTCACATCTCATTTCAACATCCTCAAGCTGACCCTCCACTGCTGCAGCTTTGGCACGTCCAGAGTTCATCACAGTAGGCAATAGAGTTTTTCTAAAAGGATGGTAAAAAAACTTTTCATATCATTTCCAAATTACGAGTTTGATTTTTTTATCGTAGGCCAAATTCTTGATTAAACCGTATAAATGGTAAATAAAGGTGTAGTTATTGAATATATTTGTTGAATCACGACAAACTTTTTCAGACCACAACACAATAGCCTACCTAGGCCTATCTGTTTGATGACACTAAAATATCGAGGTTGGGGAGAGTCTATGGTATGCATGGTCACACCTTTCACCGTAAGATCGGTGAGTTTGAATTCATGCAATACATGTAGCCAAGTGCAGTTAAAGGGATAGCAACTGTTCATTTTGACCAAAAAATGAAGTTTCCTGGGGTTAACAACAATTTTCCGATACTTACCAGTGGCTAATGAATTCATTTCTACATTCAAAGTTAGTCCCTGTTCTTTTTCTAAAAAGTTTGTTCTTTTATAATAATCTCCTAAGTCAGTTATCAGCTAACATATGCTCTCATATCTGTTGTCAAAACTGATTTACGCAAGTGCTGAATAGCATTCACTTTGGTATTAAAAATAAAATCATATTCTAATAAAATATTTTACGCAAAATTGAAATTCAAAATAAATTGCAACCAAACTTTAGGCTATTCCCTTCTTGAAATAAATAACTTATCCAGTGACTTATCCTCTTGCCGAGTCCCAGATGCTGTTGATTTCCTGAAATTGCATAAAAGAATACTTGCGCAATTACAAGAAGGGGGCCTGTATGTTCCGCAAAACACTGAAGCAATTTGCAGACTGTTCCTCTACGTTGTTGTCTCTTAATCTTGTAATAATCACCATCGATGGATCACCATGGCTGCAAATAACACCAGTTTCATCGAGACGAGTAAACACACCAATAATAAGACTTAATAACAAAGCAAAATCAGTGAAAGTATCTCAGGGTCAGTGTTATATTTCTCGGTAATTAGTCCCCCTATAAGAGCTAAGCAAACTCGGAAAACTTAAAATATTAATGTAATGCCGTTCATAAAAAGCGTCATCATACTTACTAGAGTGTGTATATATGTCAGGGACATCGCATTGTTTTATTCTAATTAGAAACTAAGTCCACATTTGTAACTCCCGGTTCCATTCAGCGAAAAAAAAAAAAAAAAAAACTTTTACCAAAATTTTAATTTAAATGCATTTTTGTTGCTTAGATTAAAATCAAGTTATTATATTCAAAAAGAAAAAAATATTCACTAAATGATTGGATATAATCGTTTTTACAATTTTCTTTTGCACATGAGAGGGCCTAAGTCTATCCGTTGCACAAACCTACGCCGGCCTTCTAAACGAACCACGGATAGGTTTGAAACTGGGTATGCAAAGGGGAAACTGTTTCACCAACCTTTAAAAAATGTGTAGGCCTATACATGGCCGTATGTATTGACAGAAACAACTACCATTCCAGCTGTTGCATCTTTGCAGTGACGAAAGCGACGGTGTCATGACGTACAATCGCGTGGTGACGTCATAATATACACTGTACCATAATACACTTTTCTAGCAAAGCGGAAAAGAAGGCACTGCTTTAGCGCTTTACACAAAATTATTAAGTTTAAAACAAAACAATGGGATGTATACAATCTCGTAAGTATCATTATATTTAATCATAATTAAACGTAATGTATCTTGTTATAATTTGTTTTGAGCTTGTTCAAATACATAACAATTTCTAAAAATTGGTGAATATAACAAAACTTAGAAACATAACTTAATAACGCTAAATAAGTCTATTTCATAAGTCAATCTTTGGCAGTTAGCAATACAGTAGGGGAAATATATTTTATTTTTCTGAATAACGTACGTTTGAAATGTTTTAGTGGTTATAACTTATACACGTTCGTTTTGTGCCTTTTTATGAAAATCATACTTTCTGAACGTTTTATTGCAGAAAATCATCAAAAGTTGGGACTCGGCGAAAGGACAAGAGCTAAATTTCGAAGGGGAAATAAAGGTTGCCTTTCATTTTTTCTTTTCAAAGCTTTTATTGGTGTGTCAAAATGTTATTGTGAGGCATCAAGAAGTGAACATAAATGAAGCAGCTAGTCCTATTTTGAATACAAAGACAGAATGTCAATACCGTTGCCTGATGTATGGCGGAAACATTGATAACATTAATTGTTTGTTGTGATTGCAGTGGGCCCAAGTCCCTCACCTGAATTCACCGACGATCTAACGGTGACGGGTGTGGCTATGCAAGTCAACCCTAGTCGGACTTCAGTCGATATCTTTACTGTTCAGGGTTGTCAGACAGAATGGTAAACATTATTCTTGCAATTGGTCCGCATTAAGTCAATTATAATTAACTTTGGAAATAAGAAAATATGATGTAAAACAATTGGTTTAAAAAGTATCTGCTAATTTACTTTTATTGTTTACAATTTTAAATAAAGCCACACAGATCCAATCCCAGGCTCTGGCGAGTTGGACATGTCAAAGCTGTCTCGAAAAGAATTCGATGACATTGTAGAGGATTTGATGGAGGATATAGATGAAGCATGATGTGGTGAGGTTTTAAAGGGAAAGTGTTGAAATCATTTGCGCCAAAACAGAGTGCAGTTCAGTGATTTACTGGCATGATACGCCGTATTCCAAAGAACCAAAGTACATAAAAGCTAAAAAGAAAAATCCGTTTTAATGGTACATTTCGATCTGATCAATCGTTGCCGTTACCTTTGCACTGTAACTGGATCTATTTTTTATTATTTGTCGAAATACACAACAGAATTGCAGAAGGCAAGTCTCTGCTTTATTGTTTATGATTTTACTTGGACAATTTTGTAGAAACTTCGCAAAACTGTTAATGATTTAAATTTGGATTTATTCCCTTTACATTTCAGTGAAAATACTGGTATATCGGTATTTTATTCCGAGTGTCCAAATTCACCCATCACAATCCAGAACAGATGTCAAGACTACAGTAGACGACATGCTCGGGCAGACTGGACTTCAGAAACCTTTTCAGATCATCAAATTTGATGCGATTGATGCATGAAAAAAATCAAAAGACAAACAATAAATGAGAAATAATGGCGGGGATGGAGATGGTAAAAAATGTCCGAAGAGATGGTTACCATTTGTCCTACTGATGTGATTATGTGGAAAAACTCTATGTACTAATTGGCTTTTTTGGTATAAGATTTGGTAGCAATTTATTATGTGATTAGCAGCATTCTATGTAGTATTTTTCTTTTAAAAAATGAGACATACATTCATATTACCGTTGTATTGAAATAAGTGGTGCTGATGTAGCAACAATAAGAATTCATACTGCTACTGTAGAAAAAAATTTTAAAATGCTCACCAATATACTTGGTACAATACACTATAATAGACCAGTTTTTCATAATATAACTAACCCAAAACGCTTTAAGGTCACCTGCCGTAATTAGGTTTGGAGATTTGAAGGTTATTTAAACAAAAATCTTTAAGCTATATGCATGTACAGTGTAATTTACTGAAAAAAAATTAATTTCAGACACAATCCTTATCAGACAATAAAATGTTATCATCATTTTATTTGTAGTATTAAATATCATCATAAATGTATAATTTTGTATAACTTATTGATTTGAATTGTCCCACCATCTTGACATTTTTCTTATCCTATGCATACATACTATAAAGAAAATGATTTACTGTCTTATTGTAACACTTATGAGTGTTACAAATAATCCATCAAAATTTAACTTCTGGTCTATTTGAAGGAATGAACATTTTGTGTTTATTTTGTCATACGCAAACATTTGTAACTCCAACATTTATTTCACTCCTAATATCAGCATCAGTGGTTCCCTTCTCCTTCATATTCTGTGAATCAAAGGTAGTTCCTGACTGGTTTTCAAAATCAGACTCATTTTCATCTTCATCATCTACTGAATAGTGCTTTAATGCACTGAGTTTTGTTCTATCTAAATCATCGGAAAGACTGGAATCTGAATTTTGTTCAGCTGGAGATGATAAATCTGGTTGAACTTGAATGCTTGATTCTTTTTTAGATACAGAATGACTCAGGTCATCTTCAGTTTCATCCGTGTCAGAAATGGTAAGGTAGAACTCTTTCTGTGTTCTTGCTATTTCTTTTTTCAGAGTAGATCTGATTTTATTCTTTTTAAGAACTAGTTGCTGTATGTTGACTTGGTAATGCTGGATGAGATATAAAAGTATCTGAAAAAAAAATGATTGTGTATAAAAATTGAATATTTCAAAAGCATAATGATCAATCAATCAATCAATTCCTTTTATGCTGGCTGGCATGTAGGGCACCAACATAGATCTTCCACAGCTCTCTGTCATGCATTAGATGTTAGATGGATCCCCAGATTTCTCCAAGTGTTTCAGCTCTGCCTCAACCTTTTCTATAAGGTCTTAGATCTTCCTCTTTTATACATGATTCTTTCTTTCCAAACTGCACCTAACAGACCCTTAACTAGGAACATTTTAATTAATTATTTTTTTAATGTTTACACTAGTGTTTAAACAAAATGAATAAATGAAAACCAAATCCATCCACTTATAAATTAAAGTTTGGTCTTCCATGTTGTAAAAGGAGCTGAAAAAATAGGGCAGTGACATTTAACAAACCTCTGCTCCATGGTCAGTTATTCCTGGTCTAAAATCAGAAGCGTTGGTGTTGAGATTAAGGCCACAGACAAACAATTCACTCCATTATCTCCTATCTTGTTATAATCAAGGTGTAGGGATGTTAAGTTATTCCCTGCTGCAACAGCCATACAAAACAGTGCCCAACCCATAGATGTGATGTTAGTATTAGCACTCAATATCAAGTCTTGTAAGCCTAAAAACAAACGCAAAACTATGAAAATGATGATTGTAGTACAACATGATAGCCCTATGAAAATATACAGAAAAACTTATATTGAATTCCTGTTAATATTGATGTTAGTGTACATATTCAGTTCTCTGTGTAAAAAAATAACCCATGTTTCTACTTAATTACAAGTGTCCCACCTGGTTTAGCACCATTATCTNATGTGCGCTCAAATCTTATACACCTCGGTCATTGGTTTTCTACTTTTTTTTTCTTTTATGGTAAAGGCTGCAGAGCTGGGTCTTCATTCTTTGCTGTAAAATAAATTAGTTTTATCCTTTACTTGTCCGATGAGTCTTGATTCAAAGCCACTCCTCAGTCTCTCCTCCGTTTACGGTTTTCGTCCCTACACCTTGGATTGTTACCACTGCAGGCAGTCTGTGAACGCTTGTTAAGTTATTTATCTTGTCTCTATCATATACCCTGCAGTAATTCATCATTTAACTCGGTTTAATATCAAAGAAAACACAGAAATTAAATGCTAAATTGTACATGTAGACATGATCATGCGCAGCAGACGATTCCGGTCTCCCTCCAGTATGGCTGCCGTTTGTTTTGATGACGAGGGCTACAATGGGTTAATATAAAGTAATGCCATTTATATCTACATATCTTGCGAAGCTTCTTAAAAACTATAAAATCAGTCAAGTGAAAGTACCTGATGTCGATATCAAGTAAGATTTCATTGAATAATTAATAATAAATTTGAAGATTGGGAATTCCACACGCTTGGTGATTCCAAGCGTGTGATGATGATGATAGGTTTTTTGCACTTCACACATAAATGGCATGGGCGGCGAAAGTTACGTAAGATTGCAAATATTTTGATCCTATTGGATCAATGTTCCCTACTCAATGTGCGGTCAAACGGGCAGATATATTGTTGGTTGAACAACATTAATATACTTTGTTCGCACAGAAAGTAAATTTTGCATACAAATCCATACGTCACATCTCATTTCAACATCCTCAAGCTGATCCTCCACTGCTGCAGCTTTGGCACGTCCAGAGTTCATCACAGAAGGCAATAGAGTTTTTCTAAAAGGATGGTAAAAAGACTTTTAATATAATTTCCAAATTACGAATTTGATTTTTTTATCGTAGGCCAAATTCTTGATTAAACCGTATAAATGGTAAATAAAGGTGTAGTTAATGAATATATTTGTTGAATCACGACAAACTTTTTCAGACCACAACACAATACCTAGGCCTATCTGTTTGATGACACTAAAATATCGAGGTTGGGGAGAGTCTATGGTATGCATGGTCACACCTTTCACCGTAAGATCGGTGAGTTTGAATTCATGCAATACATGTAGCCTACTTTTGGCCCAAGTGCAGTTAAAGGGATAGCAACTGATCATTTTGACCAAAAAATGAAGTTTCCTGGGGTTAACAACAATTTTCCGATACTTACCAGTGGTTAATGAATTCATTTCTACATTCAAAGTTAGTCCCTGTTCTTTTTCTAAAAAGTTTGTTTTTTTGTAATAATCTCCTAAGTCAGTTATCAGCTAACATATGCTCTCATATCTGTTGTCAAAACTTTTTTTTTAAACAACGTTTATTCAAAAGAATGAAGTGGAGGCAAGGCGCTGGCGCTGAAAACTGATTTACGCAAGTGCTGAATTGCATTCACTTTGGTATTAAAAATAAAATAATATTCTAATAAAATATTTTACGCAAAATTGAAATTCAAAATAAATTGCAACCAAACTTTAGGCTATTCCCTTCTTGAAATAAATAACTTATCCAGTGACTTATCCTCTTGCCGAGTCCCAGATGCTGTTGATTTCCTGAAATTGCATAAAAGAATACTTGCGCAATTACAAGAAGGGGGCCTGTATGTTCCGTAAAACACTGAAGCAATTTGCAGACTGTTCCTCTACGTTGTTGTCTCTTAATCTTGTAATAATCACCATCGATGGATCACCATGGCTGCAAATAACACCAGTTTCACCGAGACGAGTAAACACACCAATAATAAGACTTAATAACAAAGCAAAAACAGTGAAAGTATCTCAGGGTCAGTGTTATATTTCTCGGTAATTAGTCCCCCTATAAGAGCTAAGCAAACTCGGAAAACTTAAAATATTAATGTAATGCCGTTCATAAAAAGCGTCATCATACTTACTAGAGTGTGTATATATGTCAGGGACATCGCATTGTTTTATTCTAATTAGAAACTAACTTAGAAAATAAGTCCACATTTGTAACTCCCGGTTCCATTCAGCGAAAAAAAAAAAAAAAAAAAAAAAAAAAAAAAAATTGATTAATGGGATGTATACAATCTCGTAAGTATCATTATATTTAATCATAATTAAACGTGATGTATTATTTTTTAATTTGTTTTGAGCTTGTTCAAATACATAACAATTTCTAAAAATTGGTGAATATAACAAAACTTAGAAACATAACTTAATAACGCTAAATAAGTCTATTTCATAAGTCAATCTTTGGCGGTTAGCAATACAGTAGGGAAAATATATATTTTCTGAATAACGTAAGTTTGAAATGTTTTTGGTGGTTATAACTTATACACGTTCGTTTTGTGCCTTTTTATGAAAATCATACTTTCTGAACGTTTCATTGCAGAAAATCATCAAAAGTTGGGACTCGGCGAAAGGACAAGAGCTAGGGGAAATAAAGGTTGCCTTTCATTTTTTCTTTTCAAAGCTTTTATTGGTGTGTCAATATGTATATTGTGAGGCATCAAGAAGTGAACATAAATGAAGCAGCTAGTCCTATTTTGAATACAAAGACAGAGTGTCAATACCGTTGCCTGATGTATGGCGGAAACATTGATAACATGTAGTTTATTGTGATTGCAGTGGGCCCAAGTCCCTCTCCTGAATTCACCGACGATCTAACGGTGACGGGTGTGGCTATGCAAGTCAACCCTAGTCGGACTTCAGTCGATATCTTTACTGTTCAGGGTCGTCAGACAGAATGGTAAACATTATTCTTGCTCCGCATTAAGTCAATTATAATTAACTTTGGAAATAAGAAAATATGATGTAAAACAATTGATTTAAAAATTATCTGCTAATTTACTTTTATTGTTTACAATTTTATATAAAGCCACACAGATCCAATCCCAGACTCTGGCGAGTTGGACATGTCAAAGCTGTCTCAAAAAGAATTCGACGACATTGTAGAGGATTTGATGGAGGATATACATGTAGATGAAGCATGATGTGGTGAGATTTTAAAGGGAAAGTGTTGAAATCATTTGCGCCAAAACAGAGTGCAGTTCTGTGATTTACTGGCATGATACGCCGTATTCCAAAGAACCAAAGTACATAAAAGCTAAAAAGAAAAATCCATTTTATGGTACATTTCGATCTGATCAATCGTTGCCGTTATCTTTGCACTGTAACTGGATCTATTTTTTATTATTTGTCGAAATACACAACAGAATTGCAGAAGGCAGGTCTCTGCTTTATTGTTTATGATTTTACTTGGACAATTTTGCAGAAACTTCGCAAAACTGTTAATGATTTAAATTTGGATTTATTCCCTTTACATTTCAGTGAAAATACTGGTATATCGGTATTTTATTCCAAGTGTCCCAATTCACCCATCACAATCCAGAACAGATGTCAAGACTACAGTAGACGACGCGCTCGGGCAGATTGGACTTCAGAAACCTTTTCAGATCATCAAATTTGATGCGAATGATGCATGAAAAAATCAAAAGACAAACAATAAATTAGAAATAATGGCAGGGATGGAGGTGGTAAAAAATGTCCGAAGAGATGGTTCTATGTAGTATTTTTCTTTTAAAAAATGAGACATACATTCATATTACCGTTGTATTGAAATAAGTGGTGCTGATGTAGCAACAATAAGAATTCATACTGCTACTGTAGAAAAAAATTTTAAAATGCTCACCAATATACTTGGTACAATACACTATAATAGACCAGTTTTTCATAATATAACTAACCCAAAACGCTTTAAGGTCACCTGCCGTAATTAGGTTGGGAGATTTGAAGGTTATTTAAACAAAAATCTTTAAGCTATATGCATGTACAGTGTAATTTACTGAAAAAAAATTAATTTCAGACACAATCCTTATCTGACAATAAAATGTTATCTTCATTTTATTTGTAGTATTAAATATCATCATAAATGTATAATTTTGTATAACTTATTGATTTGAATTGTCCCACCATGTTGACATTTTTCTTATCCTATGCATACATACTATAAAGAAAATGATTTACTGTCTGATTGTAACACTTATGAGTGTTACAAATAATCCATCAAAATTTAACTTCTGGTCTATTTGAAGGAATGAACATTTTGTGTTTATTTTGTCATACGCAAACATTTGTAACTCCAACATTTATTTCACTCCTAATATCAGCATCAGTGGTTCCCTTCTCCTTCATATTCTGTGAATCAAAGGTAGTTCCTGACTGGTTTTCAAAATCAGACTCATCTTCATCTTCATCATCTATTGAATAGTGCTTTAATGCACTGAGTTTTGTTCTATCTAAATCATCAGAAAGACTGGAATCTGAATTTTGTTCAGCTGGAGATGATAAATCTGGTTGAACTTGAAAACTTGATTCTTTTTTAGATACAGAATGACTAAGGTCATCTTCAGTCTCATCCGTGTCAGAAATGGTAAGGTAGAACTCTTTCTGTGTTCTTGCTATTTCTTTTTTCAGAGTAGATCTGATTTTATTCTTTTTAAGAACTAGTTGCTGTATGTTGACTTGGTAATGCTGGATGAGATATAACAAGATCTGAAAAAAAATTCATAATCTGTACATGATTGTGTATAAAAATTGAATATTTCAAAAGCATAATGATCAATCAATCAATCAATTCCTTTTATGCTGACTGGCGTGTAGGGCACCAACATAGATCTTCCACAGCTCTCTGTCATGCATTAGATGTTAGATGGATCCCCAGATTTCTCCAAGTGTTTCAGCTCTGCCTCAACCTTTTCTATAAGGTCTTAGATCTTCCTCTTTTATACATGGTTCTTACTTTCCAAACTGCACTTAACAGACCCTTAACTAGGAACATTTTAATTAATTATTTTTTTATGTTTACACTAGTGTTTAAACACAATGAATAAATGAAAACCAAATCCATCCACTTATAAATTAAAGTTTGGTCTTCCATGTTGTAAAAGGAGCTGAAAAAATAGGGCAGTGACATTTAACAAACCTCTGCTCCATGGTCAGTTATTCCTGTTCCTTCTAAGTCTAAAATCAGAAGCGTTGGTGTTGAGATTAAGGCCACAGACAAACAATTCACTCCACTATCTCCTATCTTGTTATAATCAAGGTGTAGGGATGTTAAGTTATTCCCTGCTGCAACAGCCATACAAAACAGTGCCCAACCCATAGATGTGATGTTAGTATTAGCACTCAATATCAAGTCTTGTAAGCCTAAAAACAAACGCAAAACTATGAAAATGATGATTGTAGTACAACATGATAGCCCTATGAAAATATATAGAAAAACTGATATTGAATTCCTGTTAATATTGATGTTAGTGTACATATTCAGTGCTCTGTGTAAAAAAATAACCCATGTTTCTACTTAATTACAAGTGTCCCACCTGGTTTAGCACCATTATTTGGCAGCAGGTCAGTAATGTATGGCACACACTGGTCATCAAGCTGACAGTCACCAATATCCAGACACACAATATGAGGGTGCATGACTAGGGCTTCGTGTAGGACAGACATTCCTAATCTCCCAAGATTTGATCCATGTAATCTGCAAACAAAATTTGTATATAAAAGTATGCAAACCATAAATAAAATGAAGTTGTAAGCATAAAAAAGAAATCTCATGGATGCTCCTTTGAAAACAGATTAAATTGTAAAATCACAGCATTGTTATGATAAATTATCAATAATGAGGCTAAAAAGAATCAAGTGACAGCAGGATACATGACATATTATAGGAGCATACCATATATACTACTTACAGTAGACTGTGTAGGGATCTGTTTTTCTTCAAGCAAGATGCAAGTTCCTCTACTTTTTCAAGTTTATCAACTGCTCCTAAATTCAGATTTAGCTGCAAGATGGATGTGCTGGTGCCAATGTGGTCCATTAACTGCTTAAAACATTTTCTTGAAATTTTGCACTGGCGTAGAGATAGGATTTTGACACTTTGGGAGTCCAGAGTTTCACAGATATCTTTCACATCCACTGACCTTAGTCGCTGATGGGAAATTTGTATGGTCCCTGGTACCATCTTAGTCAGTCCAAATATATCCGCTATTAAATGCTCTTAAGAGTTGCATTGGTAGACATGTTACAACTACAGTATACTTAGCAGGAACAAACAGATGCCAGTGAGGTGCTGCATCCATCGAGGATCCTGATCAAGATATTTGGGATACTGGATTTAATAGACAACACAACTGCACTTCTTGCCAGTGTCTAAAACATAGGATGCCATTGACTCATCACATAATCTCAAACTTATTCGACTTAACGGGCTGGACTTAAAGTTAAATTACATATAATTGCATTTAATAAAATGATATTATTTCTTGGGTGGTCCTTGATCTAGTATAGAAGTACAGTCTATATGGCTAAGATTATGGTACTCCAATATTTCAAGTTTTCTGCATATGAATCAACGGGTTTTGTACATGTACACCGCTGTATATAGCAATCTAAAATACATGCATGTATTATTAATTAAAACAGGCAAAACAGCTACTAGTACTGGTAGGCAAGAACAAGAAATGAAGGAAAAAAGGGAAGAAAGTGTACTCATACTCGTATAAACATTGACAGCCCTTTATAAAGCTGCAGGGACTAATGGAAGAGCTAACTTGCTTGCATACTCGTGCATACTCACTAAAACCAATGCACAACACGTGTTTGTATGTTTATGTTTATCACATACACCATCGCCCCCTGGTATCACAACAATCAACAGGATAAACAAGTACCGCACTTCAGAATAATTTATATTTTACGTATTTTGTACGTGCATGTGCACTATTGTCTGTGATGCTACAATGATACTATAAAATATTCTGTATTTGTAAACTATTCTGATATCGGAAAATGTTCTTTATTTTTTGTTAAACGCCATATGTTTGCAGAGTTTTACTGTCACCTGATTGGCGTCGTTATCAAACTTGACCTATTTATTACAGAGTGCGCCAAGATTGGAATGGTTTGTTTGTTGTGATCTGGTCCGGCTGGCCTTTGTATGGCTACTAAACGCCTTAAACGGGTTGGCTTATGTCCCGAAACACTTGAAAGATGTCAGAGACAGCATATTTTAACTTGCTCTGTGAGAAATATTTCTAAGGCTTTACTTAGCCACTGTAACTTAACTTACACTGTAGGTTAGAGTGAAACTGTACTTACTGACGTCACATTCAAATAGAGCACTGTTAATTTATTTAATGTCGTTAATGTTGAAGTAACCTATTTAGAAGTCAAGTTCCCATTCTGATGAAAGTTAGCCTTGTATTCTGAGTACACAAAATCCGGTAACGGACCAAATATGTTGGTTCAATATCATTTCATCAAGTTTGTGGATGATGAGTTGTGTCTACTTATATTCCCATAGATTTTAGATCGATCTATCCCCGCGGGGAGTCTCACTAGATTACTTTCAAATAATCCGACTTAAATGTCCGTCCCGCCTACTACAAGCTGGAAGGGGTAATTAACTTTCGTGTCCGCCCGACTGACAGTTATTTAGCGTGAACCCCCAGGGAGTTAGGTCGATCTAAAGTAGGTCGTTCTAATCTATGGAAATGGGGTGTTATTTTATGTTAAGCATTCCTCTTCCTGCTGCAGTGTTTGTCAATTTTTTAAGCCTGCTGCGATCTAAGATTCTACTCAGAACACTGAGCAAATTTGGAATAAAAGCATAGGTAACTGCACAGAATTCTACTCTTTAGCCTTGATATCCTAGTACCATTTGTAAGCAAGGTATAATTAAGCTAGGCATTCTTTATTTTTTTACAGGATTTTTTGTCCAAAAACCAGGCTTGAATTGCTGAAACATCTTAATATCAATAATGAGAACATTAAACATGTGATTCTACAAGTCAGCAGAGCAGTTGTACCAAAGCCTGTCACGGTATTTGTATATTTAGTATTTGGAGTACATTTTTTTTGAATGGACAAATGTGTGTGGTTTTGATACACAAAGATCAAAAACAGTTAAATTATGCTTTAATCTGTCAACCAATAACAAAGAGAATACTCTGTTGGATGAGTTAAGCAACACTGATTAAATTATATGGAGGCATTTGCACACATTGATTTTGGCTATTCTCAAAAATAATAATTAAAAAAAAAAAAAACCTCTTCAGAGTACTGCAACTGGCTGTTGTAACTGTCTGTGCAGACTCAAATTTTTTTCACCATCCCATATTAGTTTTGGGGTCTCCTGGCCTTATAATGAAAAATTACTAAGTATTAGTATAGCAATATTTAATTTCATTATTTTATTTTGCATTTTAGGCTTATGAGCTTTGGTCAGCAAAGAAGAAGCATTTTCTCCCACTCTCTTTACCAGAACTAGACCAGGTTTTACATGGAGGAATACCATTAGGAACAATAACTGAGGTAAAAGAAATTAAATGAAAACTATAAGCCCTCTTCAGTTAGTACACACAGGAAAAAAACGTTATTTCATATAAATATGATATATGCTCCTTCAGATTCTTTTAATTTTCATTTGTGCATGTCATCAGATTTTAGTGGGTCTAAAATTCATATGCTTAACAATCTGTATTTAGTTTATCTTCTGACTTTTCACTGCCAGATTGCAGGTCCAGCAGGCTGTGGCAAGACCCAGTTTTCCATTATGTTAAGTGTTCTTGCTACTGTCCCAGTGGAAATGGGTGGCTTGGGTGGTGCTGTAGTGTACATTGATACAGAGTCTGCCTTTAGTGCAGAAAGGTTGGTAAACTTGTGCAGTCTCATTTCTCTTATGCAGGACAATTTAGGAATTGCCAAGAAAAGCATAAGTATGATGGTGTAGGGTAACTTTCTATACTTATATTTACTTAAAAACTAATGCACTTTTTTGGTATTTTTTATTAAAATAGTCTGATGTGATTAAATAGAACTTAACCAATTTGGAAGTGAATGGTACTTTACCTTGATGTATTTCAGGTTAGTAGAAGTGGCTCAGAACCGTTTTCCAGGTCATTTTATATCAGAAGAGAGCCTGTTGCAGCTGACAAGCCGCGTCCATGTTTATCATGAGTCAACAAGCAGTCAGCTTCTAAAGAGGTTTGTTATAAATATTATTAAAAAAAAACAACCTTATGATTGAGACTAATATTGAGGATAGACTATGATTACAGAAATATTTTCTTTTTCGTCAAAATGCTTTTAAAAAAAATATTTTTATCATATTCCCGAATTTTTCTGACAGTTAATGCTATAACCCTAAGTTGTTGTTCCAGGTTACAAACACTAGAGGAGGATATCATTGAGAAGAAAGTGAAGCTTATCATACTAGATTCAGTTGCTTCCCTTGTCAGGAAAGAATTTGACAGTCGCACTTCACAAAATTTGTATGAACGAACTAATTTATTAGCAAAAGAGGCAGCCATTCTGAAGTATTTGGCAGAATCTTTTTACATCCCAGTAAGTAGATAAAGTGAGAATACAATGCTCATTCTATGTCACGGGCAGATATCAAGTCACACTAACATTTTCTCTTACAAAGACATTTTATATATGATAATTATATACCACAAGCTGAAAATAATTTCATATGTTTAGTTGTGGCCAACCTGGACCTAGGTCTTCATCAGACTGATGTGAGTCATAACTCACTGATGGCATTGTGGTATAGCGGCCAGGACCCTCTTATATGACTGCAGCTCCTTTTACATTCGTGAGACAGGCAGACAGTTCAAGACCAGGGGTAACTAACACAAAAAAATCGGTGACTATAGGAAATACCAGCTCTGCCATTTCTGAACATGTTAATAGTTATAGACACTTTTCACAGTATTGACTGGAATTCAACCAAGATCCTTGAATCCGAGTCATTTGACATGCCATAAAAGATATTGTAGGCAATCAACGTCAGCTGTCACCAGCCACCCACGAATAGGGACAGGGGGATCAATCTACCTAACATATATATATACACACACACACACACACACACACACACACACACACACACACACCATTCTGATGAAGACCTAGTTTCAGGTTTGCTGCAAAATAGCGAAATGAAATTATTTTGAGGTTGTGTTAAATAATAAGAGCCAACTCTCAAGCTAATTAACATTTTTGCCCGAGAACATTCTATTTTTAAAGTGTTGAAACTCAAGCAAATACTCTGCCAAGCTCAGTTATTGTGTTTTTCACCTCTCTACACTGACCCTGCCCTCATCATCCAGCACCTTGTACATGCCTTGATCAATATAGACATTTCCCTTACTATAGCAGTGCATTTGTTGTGCTGCATACTTAGTAGTATTTTCAGGTAAAAATCACATTTAAAGTTTTGCAAATACAGACAAATATGTCCAGATAAAGCAGCATCTTCTTTCTATTTTCAGGTTGTAGTGACCAATCAGATAACAACTAGGTTTGGATTTAATCTTAGTGAAGTTGATGTAATGGAAAAAGAAGGTAAATGACAAGAATGGGTTATCTTGTGATAAACTTTCATATTTCATGCAATCAATTTTTAAAGAACATTTGAAAAGCAAGTGAAATAATCGTTTTTTTCTTTCTCTTTTTTACTTTGTGAAATATCCTATTTTTGATTAATGTTTTATAAACTTTTATCACTGTTATCTTAGACTCAGTGACAAGTTCAGAAAATGGCTATGTGACAGCTGCCCTTGGGAACACATGGAGTCACAGTGTGAATACCAGGCTTATTATACAATATTTAGATGACAGATACAGACAGGTGAAAACAAAGCATTTCATGGTTAAAATGTTTGGACAGAACCGATTTCTAGTAGTAGTTTGTGCAATAGGAAAAGCAGAAAACTGCCTGGTGTCTACTGATAATGGTATAATGTGTTTTTGAATTTAAGCGTTTTTGCAAGTATTAGTGTTAAATTCTCATGCTTTATTTTTTTCATTCTAGATACTGATTGCTAAGTCCCCTGTTGCTCCTTTTGCTGCACATGAATATGACATTCAAGATAAGGGCATAGTGCTAAAATGTCAGTCACTGTATAAAATTATACTTATTATAGAACTCTTAAAAAATAATAAAAATAATTAAGTTAAAAAACTAATAACATTTATTATAAAATTAATGACAAGACGGACATGTTAAAAGTTCTTTTTAAGCTAATTTTGTCAGACAGTCTTACACATTACATTAGTTACAATGACCAAATGAAAAAGATATGCTACAACTGTACTCATTCCGTAAAATTGAGCTATTGTGCTTGCCATGTATTCGAATGTGAAGTTGTGTAAGAAAGAAATACAAATCAAATAATTAAATGCCCAGTTTCCTTAGAATAAACTTAATATTATATGGGGAGAGGTTATCTGAAAAGAACAATTATTTATTGCTTTGGAATGTATCTGTAATTTTGAATTAATTTATACTGTACCATTGTAAGAAAGTGGATGTCAATTTTATTTTTTCCTTTTCAGGTAATGGTGCTAGGCAGTATGAAGGGACTGATCCAGGATTACAACAAATCAGAGTACGGACTAGTTTACAGAAAGAATGTTTTCCTACTTAATGGAACAAGACAGTTGGCTGGCTTCAAAGTTATTATGATTTCATTTATGAGTTTCTTTTTAATATGGACCGTATTAAGTGTTCGGGTTATCTTGATAAATTATTTTTTCAAAAAATTAAAGGGATAATAACTCTTCGTACGAGTTCTATATTTCTCAATAAAAACATTGTGAATAACTCATAGAAATATAATACATTCTGTTTTACCTTAAAAATGGCAGTTATAGCTATTATTCTGATATCTGAGCTTGTCATCAGACCACGTGACCTCCATTGATGGCTATACGCTTTTAAAATCTCTTAAGAGATTTTAAGAAAAAACCAAACTTTTTAGAAAAAAACCAGGGACTAACTTTGAATGTAAAAATGGATTCATTAACCATTGGTAAGTATGGGAAAATTGTTGTTTACTCCAGGAAAATTCATTTTTTGGCCGAAACGAAGAGTTATTATCCCTTTAAAAAGTATATGTTTTATTCTTTTTCTCGACTTTTAGAATTAGTTTTCCATTCAAGTGCCAAAATACTGTTTTAAGGACATAAATTTGATATAAATTATGATGATATAATAGCAAGTTATTTTAGTCAGTTGAATATTCATAATACTTGTACGTGGTTTACATTGTATGTATCGACTGTTGACTGTTCTAGCAGCACAAGGGGAGCATTTGTTGCACCACAATTTCATCATCACCATCAATGCTGTTCGTCCCATGTGGGACATAAGGCCACAGTCACTTCTTTCCATTTGGCCCTGTCTCTGGCTACGTGCTGGGCCTGTCCCCATGTAAGGTCCCCCTCCCTCAGCTCTGCCATCACTGTTGGGCGCACACCACAATTTAATCTGGCAGATATCAAGAAAAACAAAAAATGTGGTGCACCTTGCACCTTGCTAAGAAGTGTGTGTCCAACCTTTTGTTGTGCACCTGTGACCTAACAGCACAACTGTAGCAAAAGCAATAACAAACAACTAACGTGGAGCTTTTTTTTTTTTTTAATCTTTTATTACATTTAACAGAAAGCATGTTATGTTTTAACAATTGATTTATGAAATAAAAAAACAACTGATTAAATGAACCATTGTGATATATTATTTGAAACATACAAAAATAAGACATCGTGCTGCTGTCCACATACGAAAATTGTATTGCAGTAAGTGGTTGCATCTTCTTTGAAATCCTGAAGTTGCTAGGCTACATGTAAGCAAACTAAAAATGAACATTCCCCCATACTTTGTACTGCAGTTCAAATGGGGCATAAGAAAAAATCACTAGCAAACATGATCAGGCATCATTTGTAATAATCCAGCTGCTCCACATATGTAAACTTATACTTTTTGTATTTCAGAAGTCAAAAGTACAAAGCACCATTCAGTTGTTGAAACAAGTCCTACTCTTTCTTGTCTTCAGTTTCCTTTTGCTGTTTTTTTATTTCAATGACTCTTTCATTGGGGACGGGGCGGTTGACCTGTGCTTTCACAATCATGGAGCCATCATCATTTAACAAGGATTCAAAGCTATCTACGTCAACATCCTGGAAAGGGATAAAGGGCAGGTTTAGCATTGTAGTTTACTGCAGATACTCCCAAATTTTATCATCTGATACTTTAAATGACAGATGTACCAACTATAATATACAAAGGGTTTTCCAGTTACTTGTATAATGTATACCTAAAACAGTCGCAACATGCACTGTCCACATGACACATCTATTATCAATAACTGTACCAGCATCACAATCTGACAACTCAATTACTTTGACCTTGTATATATTTCTCAACACACTTTTGATAAATTTAAAAAAAAAAAAAAAAAAAACGGAGGAAACTTCACACAGCTGAAACTTCTAGTAGTATACTCACTCACCTCTGGAATGGCAAACTGCCGTAAAAACTGCCTGGCAACCAACCCATGTTTATCCTCTTTGTCAGTGTGTTCACCTTTAATGACGAGAGTATTGTCACTGATCTTAACTTCTATCTCTTCTGGGGCAAAGTCAGACACATCTAACTCTATCTGGAAGACTTTGTCATCATATTTCAACTGGAAAAATAAATAAAAAAATAAAAAAATAAAAATAAAAAATTGATGCACGTCTTAAATTCATTCCACTATGTATAGAAGTGCATGTATTCAATCCATTCTTAAAATTAAATGCATTTCATTATAGTTAACTGAAGTATTTCCTTTCACTTTAAATAATAAATCAATATTTCACTTCTTTCAAAACAAATACTTCATCAAACCAAGACATTAATTACTAGTACATATTTGCCAATTAAAAAAAAGAAATTAATCAGGGTGCTGATGTAATTTGTTGGATTATTTCAAGTTACAAAGTTACTGGCAAAAATGATGCAAAGAACACAGACCTTACATCATCACTGTTGAGAGAGAGAGAGAGAGAGAGAGAGAGACTGCAAGTGACTGTTTGTTACATGTGCCATTCATTTAGAAAAATGTTCAAAATAGTTTTTTTAATCAATTTGCCCGGTCTTTCAGGTTACCAGTACACAAATAACCTTAATATATTACAATCTGGTGTCTTGGATACACTGTGAATGTATATCCATGGTCAGCCAAACAAAATAAATGCCGTGACCATAGACTTTTTCCACTTTTTATTCATTTATTTATCAACAATGATGCAAGTTCTAACGTTATTGCATACATCACTTAATTGTGTTTACTTCAATAGTAAAATGTATTACTATAAATTCCAGTACAGCAGTACACCTAAAATTTTTATAGTAGTATTCAAAAGAGTGCCCCTTGTATCTGGTGACCTCAAAATGATATTTTTAAATGGTGTCATTTTTATTTATGAAAATTATTTCTTTGGAACCATATACGTTGAGTCCGTCGACTTACCTGTACATCTGTCCTGGCTAAGCCTCGTACATAATACGGTGGATCAAACGCATTCTTCCACAGTTGATTCATGACCCTCTCTGTTTCACGGAAAGGATCGTGGATCAAATTATCGAGCCCTGTCCCTGGCCAGCTGTCGGCCCACCATGGGCCTCTGTGACGTTGGGGTCGAATCATGGGGACCCATCGTTTCAAACCACGCTTGCAGACGACTGGGTCGCCGGTGACAGCGCACCTCAAGTACTGCCCCTTGTTGCCTAACGATTTTGGTACAATCGCACGTAACATGTTTCGTCGTGTAAATCTACTACGTTTGTTTGTACGTGCAGCGTGTGGCTTTTTATACCGTCTCTTCTCACCTCAAACGACACACGTGAATGTTCACGATCTTTCCAGATCAAGGAGGTAAACAAAGCGACGGTCGCGCCCTCTGCACATGATCATCTATGTTAAAAAGTCTTAGGAAAATACAAACGTTTGGTTTACAGAAATAAATTTTATTGATAAAAATTTATTTTTATACCATTACATTGGCCAGATCAACCATTTGTTGACATTTTTGTATAAACAGGAATAAATACTATAGCTTTTCTTGCTATAGATGGCAGTAGTGAAGAAAAATTTGAGCAACTGAGTTTCACGTGTTATATAAAACTCGTTTGGTTGATATGTTATAGGATCCGTGTATCCGTGGTTATACATACAATAATAAGATGTTGTCGATCACAAAAAGCAGAAGTAAGTGCTATACCAGTATGTTTATAACACTTGAAAACACGATGCAATAACGGTTCAGTTATGAAAAGGTGTTTATACTTTAATGCCCTTACTACAGTACCTTTGATTTCCACGCCGATAGCTCATGTGTTCTAATGATATATTCACCTGTAATTGATAAATTAATTAATTTATTAGTTATATCATTGACACCCTATTTTAAAGGGAATCTCAGAAGTGCTCATTAGTCCCGAGTTAAATCAAACGGCGTGTATATGCTGGTCAGTACTGCAATGGTACTCCATGCGCATCTGCTTAAATGTTGCTCAACTGAGTATTATTATATTAGAGTAGATGATGCTTCATGTGTTTGTATGTTTTTTTAAGTTAGTATAACTCACATGAACCTAATAGTAATACTAGTACTATAAGTATTACAGAAGTTGTGAATTAAATCTTACAGGTTTTCTGAGGATCCAACTGTGTCGTCACTTTCACTCTAGCAATATTGTCTTCAATGATGCAGCACCAAGGAAGGCATCACTGGCAAATTTAAGGAAGGCTACAGGCTTCTCAATCCTACAATGCAAGAAGGCCTTGGAAAAGTTCCCTGATGACATGGAAAAAGTAATCATTTAATTATTGTTATTTCTGATACAAATTTCATTTGTTATTTTCAATTTAAAATTGATATGCGTTGTATTTATATGGAAATATTAAGACCTAACAATTGACCTCTGTTTTGTGTGTGTGATTCAGCGGAGACACATACTTGTACTTGCAGTCAAGTTAGTTGATTTTTTTTAGTGTCATATATGCAGTAAATTAAATGTAGCCTTTTCCACAAACCTTACCCTCATTCTGTGACAGACTCCCTAGACTCTTGAATTCTTTTGTGATAATTATCTTATGCAATAGGTCTAAGATGTTGAAAAACATACTATCAATCCAAATTTTTTTAACATTGATTCAAATTATGAAGTGCTTTTTTTTATTTGAAGAATTCCACTGGGGATTATAATAACATGTTCATATTCTCATATCTGTAATACTTTTAATATTATCTCTTAATAGGCAGAAGCTTGGCTTAATGAACAGGCTGCAGAACAAGGATGGGCCAAAGCCAATAAATTAGGGCACAGACCAATGTCTCAGGGGCTCATAGGGGTGTTGAAAAAGGATTCTATGGGAATCATGGTTGAGGTACACTTGAGGAGCTCACAGGGGAGCACATGTATCAGTTGGAAGTGCTTTGACTTGATAGAATAGAATAGCCACAGAAGAAATGTAATATGTTGCCAGGAATATGTTGTAAACTGTATCAGTCTTCACCTACTTTTATTACATGTAGCATCAATATTGCTTTGTACATTAGATGATAAAAATAATGTCTATGATTGATGTTGTATCAAATTGATTAATATTAGAGAATATGATATTAAAGTCATAAATCTTACTAAATCTGAGTTTGCTTCAAGTTTCAGTGTTATCCCAATACTTGGTATCGTGTGGATATCAGATCATTCATCTAACATACAAAATGCTTTTGATGAAGGTTAAAGATTTTATGAACAACTTGGGTCTAGATATTCTGTTATAATGTGTAAAAGCATGTTTCTGTTTACTGTAGGTTAACTGTGAGACAGATTTTGTGGCTCGGAATGATAAGTTCAGAGGGCTGGTGGGAAAAGTGACCTCTGCATGCTTTCATCATGTCAAGGACTCTTCTGAGGATAAGGCAAGTTTACTGTAACTATAATGTGTCAATATGGTGAAATCAAACAAGTAAACGAGGAAACACAAAGTCCCTTTTTTTAGCAGTGCCAGGTCAAAAAAACCCTTTAAAGTAGCAAAATAAAATATGTGATAAATTTAACTTTGAGTTGCATAAAGTATTGTCTTCCTGATAATTCAAAACAAGTGTTTTGGGGTAAGTTATTTTATGTACACAGGTTAATTATTTGACGCTTTGTGTGAAACATAAATAATAACTCTAACTCTCAGTTATGTTATAAGTTATTATTTAATAAAACATTTCACTCATGATCAGGTACATTTTCTTTTAGGTCAGTCTGACCAAAGAGGCACTGTCAGCGGTCCCCACTCCAGAGGGTAATGTTGGGGACGCTGTGGCCCTAGTGGTGGGTAGTGTAGGGGAAAACATGGCAGTACGCCGGGCAGCCTTCTTTAGAGCACCAGAAGGAAGTCTATTGTCCTCGTATGTCCATGCTGTGGGTATGTGAACTCAGTAGTTTGGTCATAACATACCTCTGTCAATGTTGATGTGTTTGATATTGTTTCAAACAAGTATAAGTAAGAACTATACCACTTAAATTTAAATAGAAACTTAAATAGAAATGTACGTAAAATTGTTTAATATTTTGTTAAGTCATTATTAACTATATTAATTTTTTCCAACTTAAGCATGTATATTATAATCATTGAGCAGAACCTTTGAGAATTTATACTTTGGAGAAAAAAGACATGCATTATTGTCTACGTGCTACTCATAACATGTTGATAATGAATTAATTGTTGAAAAAGAAGGGAAGATAAAAGGTCAATATGTAGAAATTGGTAGACAGCTGGGTTTAGAGGAAGCTTCAATTTAACATTTTTTTTACAGAAATATGACCCCTCTTCTGTTAAAATTATTGATTCATAATAAGTGTTTAGAATTAGCTGCTTAAAAAGTACTGCCTGGAAATTGACTGAATTTGATGATACATTTATAAAACATTTTTTGTGCTAGTTGTGGTAAAGGTGCTATAAATATTTGATATTTCAGGTGCAAGCCATGTAGATGAGGGAGACTGTTTGCTGGGAAAGTATGCTTCTTTTGTGCTCACAAAACCTGCAGAGTTAACTGCCTCTGAAAATGTGACAGAAGCTACAGCTGGAGAAACCGCAACCAAAGAAACAGAAGAAGAGGATGAAGATGACAAAATGGATCCAGCAGATCTTGGCAGGCGGTTGTCACAGCAGGTAGTGGGTATGAATCCTTTAACATTAGGAGATCTTCAAACAGACAAACCATCAGATGACAAGGGTGAAGAAACCAGATTTTTATTCCAAGAATATCAATTTAATACTGAAAAAACTATCAAAGACGTTTTACTAGAGAATCAGGCGATGGTGACAGACTTTGTCAGATATGAATGTGGAGAAGAACTTTCAGAGGAAGCTAGCTCATCTTAATATTGCTTTATTACCAGTACCTTGCATAAAAACTGAGAACTTGCATACTAATTTTAAATATCACAAAGTTGATAGATATTTTCTTTAGTGTGAAGACTGGATGGAAAGCAAAATTTTCTTTTTACACATGAAGTTGGGTCAGATAAATGACAAACGGTGAAACCTCTTAATATAAGAATAGACTTAAGATTCCAAATAAATTGAGTACCTTGTTATTTATGTCAAGTGTCTTTGCCGTAAACTTAAATATCTTTTTTTACAAGAGCCCCAAGAAACATGATAGAAAATGCATGAAATGACAAGTGTTCAGTTTCAATGGAGATTGAGCAATGACCCAAACACTTGTCAGTGTTTATGAATAAAGAACACTGAATCAGATGTACTGTTTTTCAGTCTTTGATAATGACTTTATTAAGTTGAAAATAAGAGTCAAACAATTATACTTAGTATAAATACAACAGTTATTTTATTTTAGTCTTTTTTATTACTTTGAATTATACAGTGGTCCATTATATACCAGTAAATGAAATAAATGAATTTTTTAAACCTTCAGAGTTTTGTCAGCTTTATATTCAATTGTCTACCCTTTTTCAACTTCAATATAAAGTAAAAGATACTTCAATTCAGTCATTTGTTGCTACTCATGAGAAATAAAACTAAACTTCAACTGACAAATATCAACTGGTACATTTTGAAATGATGAAAAGAACAAAGTTAAAATGTATGTTAAACGAAACAGTAAAGTAACTGGACAATATTATGTTTCTTGCATAAAATTTACTAACCACAAAAAAAGAAACGCAAAAAATAAACTTCTGACCATGTGAAAAAGTGTTCTACAGCTGTGCTACAAATGACCTTATTTAATGCAATTATTTAAAGCTTAAGATATGCAATTCAATTAGTTGCTTGACAAGAAAAGTAATAATTCATATTTTGGCTGTTTGTGTGACTGACTGATTAATAACTTACTAGGAGTTCAAATGAAATTATGCATTAAAAATGAGATTGCAAACTACACTGTGAAGATTGTACACAGCATTTAACTACTCATAAAAATTACAAATTATAAAGAGAAAGTATTTTTGAAAACTAAGGCTCAAAGGGCAGATAATTTTTATGCATTCTATACTTGGTAAATGCTAACCCTGCAATATGAATGATTAAAAGAAGCAATAATGATAGATGTCAAATGTAATGAAATTAAACCTTTTAATAAATATGCAGTCATAACACTTAAAAAGTTTAAAATTTTGATTGACAGGGTTTTTGTCAGCACTCATAATTGGAATTTTTGTCAAGACACTTCTGTTACACAGTATGTGCGTGTTATGAAATACAGAATGACCCAATTGGTTCATCCAGAGAAGCCCCCCAACCCCTCAAAAAGAAAATAAAATATGGCAAAATATAAATTATAATATTAATGTTTTGCATGCATTAACTTTTATTACCTAACATGCCTTTATCCTTCCACAGACTCCATAAAATGTATCATAACTTCATCTACAACTAAAATGCTATGTTTTAAAAAATATTTTACCAGTGTCCCCGAATGTCATCAACAAGAATAAAGTAAGTACAAATACAATTGTCTCTGCACAACACAATATTTTATCTAAAGCATCTTCCACTTATCTAGAAAAAAAGAACACTGTATTGTGAGAAATGTATTGCCCTCCTTTGTGTTGTGCTTTTCATCTAAGGTCTTTAATTTTCGGCATGGTTGTTAATGATTTAATGTTGCTTCAGTTTGTCTTTCCGCAGTGTGTCAATATCCTAAAATACAAAATACACAAAAGATGTTCATTACATATTTCAACTAATCTTAATGTAATTTACTTTGCCAAATTTCTTCTTCAAGTAAAAATCTGAAATGAAATAATATTACAAGAATGTCATAATGTCACTAAAATCATGCAAAATAACAAACAAACAAAAAATATCATAATAATAAAGAAAGAAAATAAACCACTCATTACTTTCTCTCACTATTATGTGCAAATCCTGGATAGGTATTCTACACTCACTATGATGCTGTTTTAACATTATACATTACTGGGGCAATGTTGTCTTCCCTTTAAAGGTACATACGAACCGAGCATCGGTGGAGTGTGGATTCCCAGTAACACATGTAAACCACTTCTACTAGATTCTTATATGACTCAAATAAATTCGACATGCCAAGGGAAAAACTGAATAGATCACTCCATCAGCCATAAAAGACCTTTAGACTGCTCCTTTCTTTAAATTTATGGTTGTAAATTTAACCTACTTCCGTGACCTACTTTCCTGCCCCATTGACATACAGCTTAAAATGCCAGCAGAAAAATCTGTTCAAACATCATTTTCGGGTAAAATTATACAATGCCTTTTGGTAATTCTCTTAGTTATACTACTTGAAACGATATGCTGGCATTTGGTTGGTTTTTGTGACAAAAAATTGACTTTGTATGCATCTTTAAAACAAAATTTCTTTGTGCTTTCCATGGAAAAAAATGGAAAACTGGATGATTTTTCATTCTTAGAATTACCCATGTAATCTACTCCCAGTGTACAATGAAAATCCGACTCCTCAGTCAAAGTTTCATAATGATATTTTGACTCCCCCCCCCCCCCCACACACACACACACACACAACTTCATAAATGTTTTTTTACTTGAGAAAATGACATTTACCTGATAGTATGCATAATGGAGGATACATTGGCACTTTTTGTTAGTTTTCAGGTGAAAATTTTCATGAGAAAATAAGAAAATGAAAAATGTGTATTCTACCACCCAATGACTCCCAACTAACAAAAAGTGCCAATGTTTCCTTCATAATGCATACTACAAGATAAAAGTCATATAATCAAATAAAATAACATTTATAAAGTTTTGTGGTGGGGAGTCAAAATTTCATGGGGGGAGTCAAATTTTCATTATGAAATTTTGACTGGGGGAGTCAGATTTTCATGTTACATCGGTACCATTATCCTGATGTTTAGGCAAAAACACTCCTTTTCTAAACTGTGCCCACTATAGCATTTAATTTTAAAATAACCTACTGTAATCATAAAAAGTGCAGGAGGGTAGTATAGTAACATTTAAGTATTATTATAATAGTGCCAATAGAAACAAGAATGCAAAATAGATTAGTGCAGAACAAAAAAATGTCACACAGACCACCTTTCAATAATCAACTGTTACCTTCCATGCCCCCTCTTAGTTTCTGTATATCCTTTAGTATGAAGAGAAAAACATGCACAGGCAAGTTATACATGTATATGATATAGTAAAAAAAAAGACACAGGGGCCACACTAGCATATTCATTTTGGACAATTTTTTTATAAAACCTACAATAACAACTGATGTGGAACAAATGCATATTTAAACCAACAGTATTTATTATATAGGATTTTGCATAGAAAAATGCAAATAATAAATATTTGTATCCATCACTATTTTTTAATTGATATGGACCATCACTATTTAATTGGAGAACAAAAATCCCCTTTCATTGTTCATTTTTCAAATTTTTTTCACTTTACTTTTGCAGAGTGGGTAGTTATATATCTATCCCTTGCATTTTCATTTCACGAAAATTGAAAATTTTGAGCAGGGGAATGATATTCATTTTTTATGAAAAAATAACATGCCTTTTACGTTTTAACAAAGTAAATGTAATATAAGAGAATAAAAATCCCATGTACTGTTGCTTTAAGATTTTCCTTTCCCAATACAAATCATCCTTAACATTTGGCAACATTTTATATGCTAGCATGGCCCTGGAGACAAGAGCAGGTTGCACAACAAACATCGTTAATATACAGTATCAGATACATAATTTAGTATGGACAATTGCCATACATATATTGCCACTTGAGCCTTATATTCAAAGTGAGACAGAAGCAGAAAGTACAAGACAATATAAGAAGGTTTCATTAAGTATGTGATATATGTAGTATTATTGAATGTAAAGAGAAAGTAAACCGACATACAAAGTTAGAAAAGAAAGGTAATTATATCATTCAAACACGGCAGTACTTGGTGGTGTGCACTGTTCATATCCTGTATCTTTAAGGCATTGTAAGAGTGTAATGTTTATCCCTTAATATAGTCCATTAATTAAGGATGTGATATTGATCAATGTGCACATGTGAGATTTAAAACTTGGTAATAGAAAAGATTTTTTTTTAAAAATGAGCCCAAGGTAATAAGCTAACATTTAAGGAGTTGGATTAAAAGGTTGACTTTTTTGCTGCATTTTTAATCACAGTTTTTCCTAACATAGCACATCTACTGTTATTTGTTTATTGAAAATTATTTTGTCTTGGAAACAAATCCAATGATTTGTACTTACCTCTATCAGGATTCCTTTTAGTTTTTCATAGGCAATGTCTAGATCATCGTTAATTATTATATGGTCATAAGAACCCTTCTGGTTAGCTGGAAAAGCAATTTAACTGCTAAAAACTGTCAATGATATTTTGCATACATAAATTAAATCATAAAAGCTGAAAATTAATCATCATTTATGTCAACCATACTTTTTTAAATGGAATCTGTAAATCATGCTGACAATAATAATAATAATAATAATATGCTTTGATAACTGAAAATAATAATTAAAAATGCAAAAATCGATTTGTATGGAATCAGCTGTCTTACTCATAAACATAAAATCAAACATGAAAGGTATTCATCAGGACTGCCATAGCACATGTGTGATATGCCCTGGCAATAAATAAATAAATAAATAAATAAATAAATAAATAAATAAATAAATAAATAAAAATAAAAAAGAGACATACAAAAACCATCACTTCAAATCTTCAGCAGAGCCACATGACACTTAACATATTAAACACGTACCTGAGGCATAGTAAATTGTAATTAGGGTCAAAATAAATGTTAATGTCTAATTCTTTAAATACCACCGAGTGTAATTTGGGTTAATTCGGCTAAGTTCCAATGTAATTTGGCCTTACTGAGTCCAACAGAAATGTTAAACATATGCTGAACATGTTTGTAGTGCTTCTTGTTGCAGCCTCATGCCAAGGGTACAAACATTAAATGTTAACTGATCATGCCAGACATTTTTGGCCTTTAACTGTACCCTGAGGTGAAGCGCTCACTGGAAACCTGCCTCTATCATAACCACCATGCCTCTGATAATTCCAGTAGCCTCTGATCTATAAACTGTCTGCAACACAAATGTTTATCTTGCCAGCAATGGTTTTTTTAATGCTGTCAGCCTAATCATTAAACACAAGTGTGTCAGAGCATAATAGTTTTGATTTCAGACAAATAAAACAATATGCAGATTTTTGGTGCTGGGCACCAAAACAAACCAGCAATGTCATTCTTATTGCCATTTTGTATTACTAATAGATGCATTGGCTGAATCTGCCAGTGGACCTAAAACTTCCTGCTCTGGTGGGGATCTCTTCCATCCTAAGTAAGTTTATCTCACAAGGAAAATTCACTTAAAAAATGTTTGGCATGTACCACATTCATATCTGTGACTTGCCCCAGCAGGACATAAATTTCCAGCAAATAATGCTTCAGGGCTTTAAACAACCCTTTAAACAACCAAGTTCAATATATATATATATATATATATATATATATATATATATATATATATATATATAAGTACTGGCTTTGGATGAGGTCAATATTCTGTTTTGCTAACCTCAAGTAAAAAAAAAAAAAGTGATACTGCAGAGCTGCATTTGGGTCAAGTGTAAGCGTGGCAGATTATGAACACATCCCATGTTTGACACGGTAACTAATCTCCTAGGTTTTCTTCACAAAATCAAGGTCCTAAACGAATAATTACCATAATCTAGGTCAGCCTGGGCTGTACTTAACCTCTTCTTTAAAGTTTCATCTGTTTCTGTTCCTCTGCCTTTTAATCTTTGCTCCTACAAGTAAAAAGTACATGTCATTGCTTTCTGTAACTGGAATTCAAATTAAAAAAGAATTCACTAATAAGAACCCATTACATTGTTTCTTAGCAGCAAGTTTTATATATTCTGTGTTGTAAGATATTTTTCAGAATTAAACAAATAACTCATGTTCAAAGGTTTTTCTTTCATGATATAAGATTGTAATTTACACCAAGTTGTGTCAATGAAAACTTCATACTGCATTAGTAGTATGTCAGTCAGATCTTCACATTTACATATGTGCATATGGAAATGACATGCAATGTGGCACACTTTAAATATTTAAAGAAGAAAATAAACAAAATGAAAATGAAAAAATTATTAACCAGTATTTACAAGTGTAGTGTGAAAAATAGAATAAATTTGCCTTTCATTTATGTGTGCTGTGACTCACGGTGACAATAGAGCCACTTCAAACAAACACAGAACTTTGCAGAATAAACCATCACATATGGTTTGAGTCATAAGGGACACAGATTTTAATGTTATTAGTTTGATTGGACAGGCATGAATGTAATGGTTGGATGTGTAAGAATTTTCCATCATCTACAGGTTAAACCTTTAGATAAGTAAATTTTGATGCAGACTTCATTATGTCACATAGCAGTTTTCTGAGATCTACTAGTCCGAGTAAACAATGGACAAAAAGTTTAACTAAAACACACACACACAAACACGCACACACTATAAAGATAAAAACATAATTCTCACCAGTATCTGCAAGTTTGGTGGCCGTACAAAGACATATCTTGGATTTAGATTAGTCTTCTTAATGCTTTTCACTCCTTGAAGATCTATGTCCAGAATACATATTCTGCCTGTGCTAGCTACATCTTCTATTGCTTTTTTACTGGAAAAAGTGGGATATTTTTCTCAAAAATAATTTAAAGAAGAAATATCATATATATATATATATATATATATATATATATATATATATATATATATATATATATATGAAAAGCACTAATAAACCCCAATCAATTAACCTTATTGCATGAAATAATTATTTGCAAAAATATATCAAGCACTGTATTTTCTATTACCACAGTTCATATTAACTTTATATGATAACATAACAATATTAAAATTTCATAACCAGTATGGATTATATAATTATTATAGTGATTACAATATTATTTCAAACAAGGAAATTACTTAACTAGCTTCATAAAAACCATTTAAGTATGGTTATTTTTGGGTGCTAAAATGCATACTGCACAGAAAGTTAATAAGCTGTCTAAAATAAGAATCTGATCTCAAAACCTTTGAAAAGGTCACATGTATGTACGGCATCCTTTTAGATAACCTTTATGCAACATGTAAATGGCAAGTTCCTCAGAGCATTAATGTAAACCCAGAAAGAGCTGCTCAGACTGAAGTAATATTTAGCCTTAGACTGCATTCACTGAGGCAAACTTCAGCTTGCAACCAAAAATTCTGTTCAACCTGTTTTTCTAAATATTTGCATGCAAATCCACCCAAAAAAAATGGTTTACTCATTTTCCAAACATGGAAATAATCAAATTTACAAGTTTTTTTTTAATTTGTTCGTGAAAAATGTTAATGAAAATTCTGGATCACCAAGGTCTCAGAAGACTTCTGTGGAAATTTCCTGGAATACATAGGTTTCTGCAAGTGCAGAATATTCTAGATACATCAACACTTACCTAGTTCCATACAGGTTCATGGAAAATTCTGCATGCTCTACAAACTCTCCATTACTGATGGCTTTTTCCATCTCTTCTCGTGTCACAAAATGATATTCTGAAATAAATTATTATATATTGGTTGAGAAAGAATACACAGCAAATGATCAGGGATATTTTACAGACTTTAATCAATATTCAAACAAGACCAGTCTCTTTTTTTTGAAGAAATTGTATTAAAATTCTAATAACCCTCAAAGGTTGTTGTTCCAGTGCTAAAATAATAAGGGTGCATTTTCCATAGCTCTTTTCATTTGGTATGATGAAACATCAAAAACGCACCAGCATACTAGTATATGTCCATACTCAATCAACTTTTTGACTGAAGCCTCCACTGGGCTTTGTAGAGATAAAAGTGATAATCAAGACAGAGAGAATGCTGTAATCAGAGATTATTGGTGGAATGGAATAAATATACACTAAGGGCTCAACAACCTCAAGGAAATCCAATGAATTTTAAATACTATTAACATGAGCACATAAGTTAAATGTGTTCGGTAGAATAATGAAAAATTTTGCAATACCTCTCCCATTTTGTTCACCTGGGCGTGGTTTTCTTGTTGTGTCTGGAATGAAAAAAGATGATTAACAACTTTGTGTCATTTAAATCATATCTTTATCATTATTTATTTACTTATCTATTCATTTATTATTCTTTTTGCAAAATTAGCTCAAATTTTACTTTACTGTCAGGCTTTAAAACAATCCTGGGCTATTAAGCACTGCAGTCAATCTCCCTAAGTATTTCAATACAGATATGTGATCCACATATATTTGGATACAGATATGTGAAAAGATCCTTAGCAGTACAGCTGTACCAATATGCTTAAAAGGTTCTAGCTAGCTACCAAAGTATTATTCTACAAGGGATGTTACGCTCTATCACATCACACCCTATCACTTCATTATTCTCTCTTGCTCCACAAGTTTGCTTGCTGCTGTTAAGGCACCATTTTTAGCCTTAATTCTGATTTAAGTTGTGAGATCTGAAATACTGTTACCCCAGTTTTGCTTAGGTTATAAGAAACTATTAACCAATCTAAGGACTTTCTTTTCAACATAAAGCACACTTGCTAACATTTATCTGTGGGAATGCAGTCATAGGAACAAAAATAGTAGTGAAACAGTGAAACTACTACATTTGGCTATTGTCACAAGAGCATCATTAGTCTGAATACCCACACATTGGGTGATGGTAGACCTGCTATGATTCTCACTCGGGGTAGTAACCAACAGAATAACCCATCTTTAACCAGGTCAGTAAGTGATTACTATTATCAAACACCAGTGAATACAATTCCCTTGGAACCATGAACAATCTTATTGATAATAAGCATACTGCACATAACCTCAGTCCAGCTAAACAACAACCAGTTAAGGAAAAAAAAAACAGTTTGGGCTTTTTATATTGAGAACTATTTGTTGCAAACAATTACAGCAGTAGACCTGTTTGTCAACTGGACTAACTTGACTTCATCCTGAAGGCATTTTTTCTCACTCCCTGAGTAAAAGACTGAAACTTTCACCATGTCTGACAGCTTAGCCCAACTTACGCGATATACTGAATGCAAAGCAGTCCTCATATTCTTTCATCAGTCTTTTCACCAAGGTGCTCTTTCCACTTCCTGATGGACCACTGAATACAACTGGTCGAAGCTGCATGGCAACAGAGCTGAGACTTCGTACAATGCCTGTGGCCAATTTGACACCTAAAATGTAATGAGGAACATGTGAAATTAGACAACTAATTTGTCAGACAATAAAAACCCATTTTCAAAATGTCCCAAAGTCATATTTTTGGTGTCTAAATTTTCTGTAAAGCTACTTTCATCTTTCCAAATCCAGACCTTGAAAAATGGTAAAACCTTACTAATAAAAAAGTCAACTTAAAGTGTCAATATTCAATTCTAAGATGCACAGGAAGACACTGCGGTCTAACATATATATTTAAATTGCTGCTTATGTGCTTACCTCAGCCAGTGTGAAAAATGAATAATTTCAGTGTATACCTCCACTATTTACAACACTGTTCAATAATTACACTAAAATGTTTAACCTTATCAAATTAAGTCTTCTCAACTTTAACTTATCTCTGATCATTCCAGCATACAAATAGAAGAAATTTGAGTTGGAACTTCTACAACCTGATTCTGATGTTCTACCTATATTTGCAACACAATATATGTATTCAATATATTTCTCCAATTATACAAAAAGGCATCCTGCCTAAAATCTGATATCTTTGCATAGTGCCACTAATTAAATATTTCTTGTGCTGGTCACCTAATTGCAGCTGCTTGGCTACAGTTGCTATAATTGGCCTAGTTAAAATATCCAACCTGGCCTGTTCCCATATCGTAAAATATAAACACATAACATGTAGAAACATAAAAGAACATAACTTCTGAACATAACTCTGCAAGTCACACTATGCATATTTAATTTTTGTCAATTAAATCACCCTCCACCAATGATATATTTACTAAAATGACTGTACATATTCATTTTCTATATGCTCAAAGTAAATCATCTTTTATAACAAAGCTTTATAAGCTAGGATGAATAAACCTACATCACTGACCTGCTCCAAATTCAGCAGAAGCAACACATTAACAGACAACTCCCGTTTTGATCATTAATATTAAAAGTCCAGCAATCAATATCAACAGCAAGCTATATCACAAGCATGTGATAACGTGAACACCAAACAGCTCGGCGATGAACCCATAACAAGTTTGAAGAAAACAGTTTCTACAGGTGTCTGAATCATGTTAATTGGACTAAAAATTTGATGAATCTGTACTGTATGGGTTTAGGCTTACATGTTTGCTTAATTTTTGAGAAAACTTTAAAATACTTCTTTTTAACAATGCAATATAACAAAACATACATAAAAATCTAATAATTATATTCAAATCAAACATTAGATTTTTACATTTCTAAAGTGGGAATGGAACAGCAGACACAAATGATAGAAAATGTAAAAGAAAATAACAGCAAGGAAGTGAGAAATACACTTCATAAACATCACCTTGAAGCATCTCAATTTTCACGAAAGCAAAAATTATACCTATTTCATACCCTGTGCTAAAGGATCATGAGATATTGACAAAATGAAAAATGCCTCACTTCAACTCGATTCAAACAGCTTTAGGGATTAGAACTTTTCACTTCATAAGATAAAATAAATATTCTGATGCTTCAAAAATTTCCCAAGAGAGCTTAAACTGAATAAATTTATTAACAATGGAGGAAAGATGACTGGAGAGCTTGTGGGGAAACTTAAATGTACTAAAAACATCCCAAAGTCTTTTATTTCTTTGTCTTCCAAAGCTACTTATCTTTCCCAATTCAGACCTTAAGAATGATAAAACTCCTCGATAAAAATACACAATGTTGATATTTTCTTCTGAAATTATTTATTAATAATGAAATGAAATTATTTATTTATAGTTAAAAATAAAATTACAAATGGTAAGAAAGCGAATTCAAGAGTGGATCAAACAATTAATTATCAAGGAAAAATTATATTTGGTACATAAATTCCACATATAATACCCTGAACCTAAAATATAAATAATAAAACTGAGCATTTAACAGTTAGAATATTATAAATTTGACCACAAACATGCACATGTAGATGCAATAAAATAAACCACACTGAATTTATTAACATCTATATATATCTTTAACAATTGACATGACTTAACTTTATTTGGACCCATGGTATGTACTAACTAGTAGAGCATGGGTGTACTAATTGGATGATTACCTTAAGTTACTGCTCAAGTAATTAAGTGAAAAATATTGTAAGTATCAGTTTAATTTATTTAGCATTCAATACTGCATACAGTTTTGTCCTTATCTTTTAGAAACAAAATTTTATTTGATTCCATCGTTCTAGAACAACTACGCTGCATGCCCTGTCAATAAATGGAGTATAAAACATACAATAATTGATACCGAGTGAACCACTTTCTTGCCTTTTGATCCTGATGAAGATACAAAATTAATATCTTGAAAGAGAGACACCTAGATTTGACAGTATATTAACACAATATGGTAATTCATTTAAATGTAGACATAAAATTTGCAACTGAAGGGCTTCATTTAAGTAAAACCAGCTCCACTTCATGACAAGACATATATTTACACATATGGTTTTATTCAAAAGAAAGTGAATAATGAAAAGAAACACTTTTGTTGACACTTTCACCTATTTAAAGAGATAGCAACAATACAATACATTCCATTTAACCACCAAAGCAGCACTTAATGCAATTATTCTGGACCCTGTCCTTGCCATCACACCACCTGGACCTTCATAGATGGCTATACCTCTTAAGAGGTCAATACAAAAAATAAAACTTTTTAGTATTAAAAAAAAAAACATGGACTAACTTTGAATGTCGGAATGGATTCATAAACCATTAGTAAGTATTGGGGAATCATCATTTTACCCCAGAAAAATCCTTTTTTTGACCAAAACTAATAACTGTTATCCCTTTAACCTAGGCCCAGATATGCTATTTCTTAGCATGTTTGCTGTGACCACATAGTGCCAGTGGTAGATTAATATAAATGATAGATAAATGCAACAAATCTCAAAATATTTCTAAACAGGCAGTGCTCTCTCAAGAACATGAACACACTAAAAACAGCTGGTTTTATTTATCTACTGTTGTTCATTGCACTGCAATGGTCACATTTCAAATACTGTGTGTATACATACTAATTTCTACAATTCTGATTTAGGGTTAAGCTTCAGAAAAGTAGTTCATCCCTTGAGTTATGTACCAAGAATATTAAGTGAAAATATTGTTGGTAAACAACAATTTCCATAATGAAGAAAATTAACTACTTTATTCTTAGGTCTAGCTACCAGTATATATATATCAGAGTATTAGATGCAAAATGCCATGTATTTTTTCATATTTTAATTAGAATTTATAGTGACCAGATCTTGCAAGGTTCAGGTCAATGAGTTCATTATGGTTTCTCCACATGTTATAGCAAATTAAAGGTTAAATGTTTTATAAAAATAAAAAAATAAATCAAAGAATTAAAAAAAAAAAGGGAAGGACACAGGTAGTGGTGAAATATGGAGTCAAGCAGATGTGTATATGTCAGCTTATATCACCTTAAAACATTCATGAAGTGCTCATATTTTTGCTGTTTCAATAAGGAAAGAGAAAATACAAAAATATGTGAAATGATAAAACCACTAAAATATTCAAAGTCTCACATTTTGAAACATGCTCCAACATCATTAAATAATGTTATGAAATCATCTTAAAACTGTGATAGGCAAATGTCCATTGACTATCACTTACATGGAGACTGGAGACAGTCTTAAAATTATACACTGGCTATTACACCTGATACATATGCATGAAAGAGTTGTGTAACACTCTTTATTCTGATGTCTGCCTGCATATCACAAAATGGATACTACAAGTACTTGTATTAAACACAAAAACTCTGTGTTCTGCATGCTTAAACAAGAAAATTGCCCTAGTGCAGATACCAGTACATATTCCTCTCCAACCAGGATTAAATTAACTCCACTCCATTGTGTCCAAATTTGGTGCTATCTCAAGCATGGTAAATTTGACCACCTAAAGGCTAAACTGCTAAAGTGGCAACCTTATCTACCTGTACGTGTATCTTAAAATCTTAAATAATTGTTGTTCCTACTAGTATATTATTTACTAGAAGTTATTTGGGATGAGAGGATAGCTATACTACTTAACTAGCTCAAATCAATAAACAGACAAGTAAATCAGATCCTTTTAAGTACTGTATGTAACCACTTTTATAATGAAACAATTACGGAATAAAATACAAGTTTATTAAACTAAAATCATGCATTGTTAGAATTTAAATGTTAAAACAGTCAACTAAGCTAGTTAACACAGTGCAGGCTTGCATGCATTGCCGAACATAAACGAAGCTTGTAAAAGTTACACTTAGTACTAGAGATACAAAAGCTTAATTAAATTACATAAATTACATAAACCGAGTTTCAAAAAAAAAAAAAAAAAATAATAATAATAATAAATATAATAAAATTCAATGACTGCATCAACCATATAAATTTACCCTGAAAGTAACTAAATATCCCCAACACTGTTATCTAATATGATACCTATAAAAATAGCAGTACAGAAACAATATCGATCATTTGGACAACTCTCTCACCATATAAGTCACCAGCAGTGACTGCCGCCTACCTGTTCGAAGGTTGGTGACCATCTGACTTCCTGTTGTCAACGTAGATGTTCCGCGGGTGTTTTCACGTTTCTCAATAGCGTACCCATTTACGATGATTACCTCAAACGTGTTGTTCTATCTATATTTATGATTTTTGTGTTTTCAATTCAAGGAATCGGCAAATTTGTCTCTATCTTTAATTTTGATTGACCAACGAGAGTTAATTTTGCGCTTTCATCTTGTAAAAAAATGCTCTAACGACACACGATCTGTTGCGACAGTCTTAACAAACGCATGCGCAGATGGGATGTAAATATTGCGGCTGACGGCAAGGAAGTAAAAATCATGTGAAGGGAAGGCAGACCAAAAATGTCATCCGTACGGCTAGATGTGGGTAAGGCTGGTACTACCCATGTCAGCTTTGTGTGCCAGCGATGCAGTCAACCTCTCAGGCTAGATCATTCCTTCAACAACTTAGAGGCTGATCGTCAAACTGTAGAAGATCTAACAGGTATCTCCAGATGAATTATGCGAGAAAATCAAAGTTCAAGGCAGGCTTCATTTGCCATTAGATTATTATCAAACAAATGCTATTTTAGTTTTAATGCACTGCAGATAAAAAAATCAAGGGTAATTTTTTTGTCAGTTATTTTAGTAAAATACACATCTGCATTTGAAATGGATATGATGTGTTTTGCATGTCCGTAATTACTTAACCCTTAATTTGAAAATTTTATGGTATGGACAAGTAATTAAAGACCAGTCAAATAGTATGTCTAGAAAACTTAATTTTGTTGTTTAAGTCAGTCTTTTATGTTTAACTTTAGTTCTATTTGAGTGTTGAAGGCTTAACGTTAAGATGTGAAAATACAGAGTTTTTGTTTCAGCACCACTTATTCAGGTGATTCCAAAAGATGGTGAAGACACAATCGACATAATTCCTCTGCAAATACAGGTAGTTATGTGCTTTAAAAATACATACTCGAAGTTTAAAATTTTTTCAAAATTTTAGGAAATAATATCACATTTTGATATTAATCAGTAATAGCCAGTTCACTTCATTATTGGAAATCAAATTTAGATACTTATAAAAATGAAATAATAGTACATTATTATTGCTGTGGTATTTATATGTACTTGTTGATAATTGTTTTTAGATGGAATAAAGTGTTCATTTGTCATCTTTCAGAATGGGTCATCAAGTCAAGAGCAGGCCATATTTAAAAAGACCATACCATCAGCCAGGTAAATCAGAAGTCTGTTTTGTTTCTGCATTGTGTTAGATGTGAATTGGACTGTGGCGACTACACAGTGGTACAGCCAAAGACATTGCAGTCTGATCCTTTTACTCAAGAAAGGAGCCTAGCTGTTTGTCATTTATGATCCTTGATATTAGTTAATCTAAAAACACTCAAGTTGTTTATACTTTTCAGTTTTAGTAATGCTGCTTAAGTTTTACCTATGTGCTCCTTTTGTCTTTGAGATTTTTTTCTACTAAATAAAAATTTAAGTCCAGTTTAAAGTATATTTCTCTAGGTCTGTATCATTGGACAGTGGCCATGACTTCACACTCCTGGGAGAATCTGAACAGGGGAATATGGAAAACCTCAGTCACAGAATAAAAGTAAGTTGTCTTAGCTGCAGTGGAAATAGTATCCATTGGTGCGTGCCTGCATATACATGTGATTAATTGTATAATAATTTTACATCACAAATAAATGGAACAAATACCCGACAGCTACGATTTGAGAGAATGACTGCTTAATAGTGTGGGTATAACATAAGAAAGTAACCTAAATGGAGCCACCCCCTCTTCCCCCACTCAGCACAGCCTTTTAAACAAATTTTGATGGGTACATTGAGGCTTGTGAAAGGGGTGTAAAACCCCTAGTAGCATGACTTAGAATATAGCTATATATTTGAAATTGATTTCTGTGAATTGTTATAAATCTATGAATGTTTTGATTCATACAACTGTTAATTTCAAATATTTATTTTATACACTTTGTAGGTGACAACTCATCTTTTTGATATTATGTCTGGACAGTCTGATGTTGATCACCCACTGTGTGAGGTAAATATGCACTTTTTGCTGATATTGTCAAATTGTGTCTGATGTTGTTGGGCTAGAGTTCACTATATGTTTAATTTTTAACATGAAATCTCAAGGATGATAGTCATACATTTCTGCATGTATGAAGAAGAGTAGATTAGGTGGTTTTAAAACATTTCTGAAATTACAATAGAATTTGATGAATTGTACATTTCAAGTTAAATATGATGTAGTTCAGATCAAATTTAATCCATTATTGTTTACATGTTGAATTCTTATTGATCTTTTTACAAGTATGATGTTATCAATAAGATTGTTCATCCTTTCAAGGAATTGCATTTACTGACGTTTTAGTGATGGCAATCACCCAACATCCTGTGGGCATTAAGCCTTATGATGTTCTTGTGACAAGAGGGAAATTAGCTGTTTCACTACTATTTTTGTTCCATAGAAAGTGATTAGTATCGTTAAAACATCAGTAAAATTATGATGTTGTTTTAGGAATGTACAGACACTCTGCTGGACCAGTTGGACCAGCAGTTGAAAATAACAGAAGATGAACTGAAGGATTACAGGTATTTTACCCCCTTTTGTGAGTGTACGTAGGTTTGATGAAATAACTTGTGGCAGAAACTTTGTCTCACATAGAGATTAGAAGTTTTGGTGTACTCTTATTCAGGATATATCTTCAGTTGTTCATGTAAATGAAATAAAAGTGTTGAAATAAAACAAAATAATTCTATATTTTACTTATTAGATATTTCATGACTTTACCAAACTTTCTTTCCTCTGAATAATGGTCTGGGCAAATGATTTTCCCAATTTCTTAACTATGTAAGAGAAAATAGATTAGTTTGTCTTTAAAGTGATTGTTTAAAAGTGACTTTGGGCATTTTTCTTTGCAGAGATTTTCTGGAGAAGATAGAAGGAGATGGAGGAGACATTCAGGAAGAGGATTTAGACAAAGAGCTGAGCCAGGTAAATTATCTCAGTTTTTAATTTTAGGGTGATGTCTTTAGATTTTATTTAGTATGGGAAAGCACTAATTATAAATTATTTATCAATATGAAAAACAACAATTTCTTGTTTATGGCAACTTCTGATAGTCACACCTGTTACAGTGGCACATGTGCTTAATATTATTATTATTATTATTATTGTTATTATTATTTCCCACTTGTAGCTTAAATCTGAGGAGAGTTCCCTTATGCAGCAACTAGAAAGTATTGAATCTGAACATCTGCTGGTTCAGGAGCAGTTAAGGAAAGAAAAAGAAGATTCAAAGAAATTAGATGAGGAGGAGGAAAGGTTGGTGTGAATAATTGAAATCTTGAAATTCCATTTGTGTATGATTTTGTCTGTAATGTAAATCTTTACAGATTGAAAACAGATGACTGTTTAACAATGGTTCTCTTGGTTTCAGGTATTACAAGGAGTACAATGAATATAAAAGACAGCTTGTGGAGTATGAAGAGAGCCAGAGAAGGTGAGAACTGTGACAAGATAGGAAAAAATTCAGCTTTGTCTGGATTACTGTTAGTAAAACTTGACTTTTTTGACTACTGAAAAACACCATAGATGATACCTTGATTTCATTATCTTTGGATCTCTTTGACCTAATTTCTGCTTGATATATTTCAGTATTGATAACCAGTTGAGGTATGCTCAGGTTCAACTTGAAAAACTTAAGAAAACCAATGTTTTCAATGCCACATTCCATATATGGTAAGTTGCTACAGTATTTTCTCCATTATTCATCATAACAAATTTTGATACACATATGGTCAATGCACAGTCATGTTATTAGTGCCAAAAAAATTAACTAGAAATTTTTGATAAACTGTAAAAGGGTGTACAAAATAAGTGCAACAGAGTATCAGTTACAAGTGCTTGAGTGGGGAGGTGCAAACACTTTGCCATGAGCACCATGATAATTTATATTACAGGCATAGTGGCCATTTTGGGACAATTAATAACTTCAGGTTGGGAAGACTTCCAAGTGTTCCAGTAAGTGGATCTTATTACGTTTGAAATGTTGACATAGTTGTAAAGTAATGAGCTATTTCTTAAATAGAAAAAAGCTTAGTTAAATATTTTGCCTCAATCAGTAGCATTTGACAAACTTTTGTAGATAATACTTTTGCTGCATCTTTTATGGCTGTTAAATTGAGAGAAAATACATAATTATTGTAGTTATTTTGTTCTTACTTCAACACATAGAACAAAGTTGCTGTCTGTTATTGAATTTTAGCTAGGTGCTTTGGATTGAAGCAAACACAGGATACACTACTGCCATCTATCCATGTTTTCTAATTTTAAATAGGTAGACTGGAATGAGATTAATGCTGCCTGGGGACAGACAGTGCTTCTCCTTAATGCACTAGCCAATAAGATGAACCTAAAATTTCAGAGGCAAGTTTTTTAGCGATAGTTTTCTCAAGCAAAAATTCTCTAAAAAATAACTTTTGATGTAGGAATGGAAATTCATGTATTTCTGAAAAGCCACAAAAGTTGTATGTTTGTCTTTTTAGGTAGATCAGCCAAATCAACAAATGTTTTTTATTATTGAAATGAATCAAACAATTATATCTATAAATGTTGTTCATTATGATATAGTACATTCATAAGGGGAAAACATTTTCTGGAAATACTATTTTTCCTTCAGATATCGTCTTGTGCCATATGGAAATCATTCCTATGTGGAATCTCTAGCAGATAAATCCAAAGAGCTGCCACTGTATGGCTCTGGGGGTTTTAAGTTCTTCTGGGATACTAAGTAAGTGCCTCTCTGACCCACACAAACACTATTATCTCTAAACTGCCATATTGTTACCAATTATACCCCGACTGTTTCAGTTCACTTGTCACTACGGGAAGTAGACCTCAGAAAACTATTTGTGACAGTTATGTTTCACTAGACTGACCATAAAATTGGCCCCTAGAATTTCCATTTGTCTGATCAGAATATAACTTTGACAAACAATTTCACTTACTAGCCTGATATTAAATCTATTAGTTAATGAACTTGTTGTTCATATCACAAGCTGTAATTAAACACTCTGATATATCATGCAGTCTTTGAATGCTACTTATTTTCTAACATAAACATTTTTTAAAACTTTAATCGTGGAACATATAAGCTGTTTGGTTTACCTAAGTATTTGTATAGACTACACATAACAGAGACTTTTGTCCATTTGGGAGGATGAGTATTATATCCATTTATCATGAGATATGAAATTAAGAGTTGGTAGCTCAATATTTATGGTAACTTGTTTTTTTATTTAATACTTATGGCGACTTTTATTTTTCAGATTTGACCAAGCAATGGTGGCATTTCTAGACTGTTTAGAACAGGTGTGGTAAAACTGGAAAGTTGTAACTATTTATTGAAGTTGAACATTATGGTTTATCAAAACTCTGATAGAAAACATCAAGAATTCAGTTATTTTCTGTTATTGAACTTAGTGAAATAGAAAAGGTTTGTTTTTATATTTTCAATAGATATATCTGATTTCTCTATTTTAAAGTGATGCCCCTTGCAGAATAAAAAAAGACATTGTTTTGAATTCTCATTTACTCTAGTTCAAAGCAGAGGTAGAAAAGGGAAATACTGGGTTCAATCTACCATACAAAATAGACAAAGGAAAGATAGAAGATACCAGTACTGGGACATCTTATTCAATAAAGTAAGTACAGATGGCAAACTGTTGGTAGTTACTTAACAACATTGTCACAGAAAGCACACAGCTTGTCAAATTGGTTTTGGTGATATTTTGTTAGATCACAAAATTGGAATTAGTTTGACTTTCTTATTTTGATATTTACTTATTTTTGTCAGTTTTGCTGTGATATAAAGTTCTACAGCTTTTCGGAAGAGGTAGAATAATCACATGAGAAAATGGAGATAGAAAATATTTGAAATAGATGTAGACATCTAGAAGAAGATAAAAAACAGAAAATTCTTATGACTAAATGATATGTAGTAGTGGCATAAAATATGCTTTAAGGTTCTGATATGATGTGATATGCGTAAAACACAGTTAATATCAAGATTAAGACTGTGAGAGTAAATATATATCAGTTGATGTTCCCATATTCCAGGATCCAATTCAACTCTGAAGAACAATGGACAAAAGCATTGAAATTCATGTTGACCAATCTTAAATGGGGGCTAGCCTGGGTGTCATCACAGTTTGCTAACAAATGAAAAAAAAAAAATGGGTATTCTGAACACTCATTTTATCATTTTTAATCCAGTATATGGACTTCTACATTTTTCTCAGTAAGAAACTTCTTATTATCAGATCTATGATCGATAGTGTCTTTTGTGGTATTTGATGGAATGTCAAGGATTATGGCCTGTTAATAAAATTCGGCATTACTGAAGGAATTGGAACTTTACATTTAGTAATGCTGTATAATGGTTTGCTTCAGACATGAAACCATTTTGCAATATATTTGTCTAGCCAAAGACTTGCACATCTCCCATTTACAAAAGAAAAAAAATGTGATTGGTGTGGTAACATCTCTTACTAAGATTTCTATTTCAAGGAGTACATTATAACAGTTGTCTTTTTGTGGAAGGATAAATAAAAAGGAATGGACCTGTGAGAGTCCAATTTGGAATAAAAAACAATTATGATATCACAAAGCCTGTGTATTTTATAATATTGATGTTGATTTCAAACAATCATTAAAGGTCAAGGAATTTTATGTGAAAAAATAGACATCCGATATTAAAGGTTGTACTTTAAGTTGGCATTTGCATTAAATGTTTTATACGTTGTATAGTAATTTTTTTTTATTTTTGTTACCTATTCATTTATTTCATTGAGAATAGGGAACAGGAGTTTTGTATGGGTAACAAGGATTACTGACAACAGCACCGGTGTGACAGGAATTGTAGGCCGCTAGTTTAAGTTCTAATTCGTTATGGATCGACCTAACTTGCTGGGGGTTCACGCTGAATTGCTATCAGCTCAATGAGCTTAAATGTCTGTCACGCCTACCGAATCAGCTAGGGGGTAAAGATAATTACCCCCTAAAAGCTTTACTAGGCGTGACAGACATTTAAGCCTGTTACGTTGATAGCAATTTAGTGATACTCCCCAGGGAGATAGATCGGTCAAAATATACTGTATGTGGGAATGGTCCCTTATATGGAGGATGGACAGGTGCCGTACAAGCCATGAATCTGATAGGTCACGCTCGGNACGTGTTAAACGTGTTGTTCTATCTATATTTATGATTTTTGTGTTTTCAATTCAATAAATCGGCAAATTTGTCTCTATCTTTAATTTTGATTGACCAATGAGAGTTTATTTTGCGCTTTCATCTTGTAAAAAAATGTTCTAAAGACACACGATCTGTTGCGACAGTCTTAACAAACGCATGCGCAGATGGGATGTAAATATTGCGGCTGACGGCAAGGAAGTAAAAATCATGTGAAGGGAAGGCAGACCAAAAATGTCATCCGTACGGCTAGATGTGGGTAAGGCTGGTACTACCCATGTCAGCTTTGTGTGCCAGCGATGCAGTCAACCTCTCAGGCTAGATCATTCCTTCAACAACTTAGAGGCTGATCGTCAAACTGTAGAAGATCTAACAGGTATCTCCAGATGAATTATGCGAGCAAATCAAAGCTAGTTCAAGGCAGGCTTCATTTGCCATTAGATTATTATCAAACAAATGCTATTTTAGTTTTAATGCACTGCAGATAAAAAAATCAAGGGTAATTTTTTTGTCAGTTATATTAGTAAAATACACATCTGCATTCGAAATGGATATGATGTGTTTTGCATGTCCGTAAGTACTTAACCCTTAATTTGAAAATTTTATGATATGGACAAGTAATTAAAGACCAGTCAAATAGTATGTGTAGAAAACTTAATTTTGTTGTTTAAGTCAGTCTTTTATGTTTAACTTTAGTTCTATTTGAATGTTGAAGGCTAATTAACGTTAAGATGTGAAAATACACAAGAAAATGTATAATATATTGACCACAGAGTTTTTGTTTCAGCACCACTTATTCAGGTGATTCCAAAAGACGGTGAAGACACAATTGACATAATTCCTCTGCAAATACAGGTAGTTATGTGCCTTAAAAATACATACTCGAGGTTTAAATTTTTTCAAAATTTTAGGAAATAATAAATGTATTAGGCTGTATCACATTTTGATTTTAATCAGTAATAGCCAGTTCACTTCATTATTGAAAAACAAATTTAGATACTTATAACAATGAAATAATAGTATGTTATTATTGCAGTGGTATTAATATGTACTTTTTAATGATTGTTTTTAGATGGAATAAAGTGTTCATTTGTCATCTTTCAGAATGGGTCATCAATTCAAGAGCAGGCCATATTTAAAAAGACCATACCATCTGCCAGGTAAATCAGAAGTCTGTATTGTTTCTGCATTGTGTTAGGTGTGAATTGGACTGTGGCGACAACACAGTAGCACAGCCAAAGCCATTGCAGTCTGATCCTTTTACTCAAGAAAGGAGCCTAGCTGTTTGTCATTTAATGATTTATGATCCTTGATATTAGTAGTTTATACTTTTCAGTTGTAGTAATGCTGCTTTAGTTTTACTTATATGCTCCTTTTGTTTTTGAGATTTTTTTCCAACTAAATAGAAATTAGAGTCCAATTTTAAGTGTATTTTTCTAGGTCTGTATCATTGGACAGTGGCCATGACTTCACACTCCTGGGAGAATCTGAACAGGGGAATATGGAAAACCTCAGTCACAGAATCAAAGTAAGTTGTCATTGCTGCAATGTAGTATCCATTGATGCATGCCTGCATATGTATGTGATTAATTCAATAATATTTGTATAATAATTTTATATCACAAGTAAATGGAACAATTACCTGACTGCTACAGTTTGAGAGAATGACTGCTTAATAGTGTGGGTATAACATAAGAATGTAACCTAAATGGAGCCACCACCTCTTCGCCCACTTAGCACAGCCTTTTAAACAAATGTTGATGTGTACATTGAGGCATGTGAAAGGGGTGTAAAACCCCTGGTAGCATGACTAAGAATATTGCTATTTGAAATTGATTTCTGTGAATTGTTATAATCTATAGCTATTTGAAATTGATTTCATTGAATTGTTATAAATCTATGAATGTTTTGATTCATACAGCTGTTAATTGTAAATATTTTTTATACACTTTGTAGGTGACAACTCATCTTTTTGATATTATGTCTGGACAGTCTGATGTTGATCACCCACTGTGTGAGGTAAATATGCACTTTTTGCTCATATTGTCAAATTGTGTCTGATGTTGTTGGGCTAGAGTTCACTATATGTTTAATTTTTAACATGAAATCTCAAGGATGATAGACTTAATAGTCATACATTTCTGCATGTATGAAGAAGAGTAGATTAGGTGGTTTTAAAACATTTCTGAAATTACAATAGAATTTGATGAATTGTACATTTCAAGTTAAATCTATGATGTAGTTCAGATCATATTTAATCCATTATTGTTTACATGTTGAATTCTTATTGATCTTTTTACAAGTATGATGTTATCAATAAGATTGTTCACCCTTTCAAGGAATTGCATTTACTGATGTTTTAGTGATGGTAACCACCCAACATCCTGTGGGCATTAAGCCTTATGATGTTCTTGTGACAAGAGGGAAACTAGCTGTTTCACTACTATTTTTGTTCCATAGAAAGTGATTAGTATCGTTAAAACATCAGTAAAATTATGATGTTGTTTTAGGAATGTACAGACACTCTGCTGGACCAGTTGGACCAGCAGTTGAAAATAACAGAAGATGAACTGAAGGATTACAGGTATTTTACCCCCTTTTGTGAGTGTACCTAGGTTTGATGAAATAACTCGTGGCAGAAACTTTGTCTCACATAGAGATTAGAAGTTTTGGTGTACTCTTATTCAGGATATATCTTCAGTTGTTCATGTAAATGAAATAAAAGTGTTGAAATAAAACAAAATAATTCTATATTTCACTTATTAGATTATTTCATGACCAAACTTTCTTTCCTTCTCTGAATAATGTTCTGGGCAAATGATTTTCCCAATTTCTTAACTATGTAAGAAAGAATAGATTAGTTTGTCTTTAAAGTGATTGTTTAAAAGTGACTTTGGGTATTTTTTCTTTGCAGAGATTTTCTGGAGAAGATAGAAGGAGATGGAGGAGACATTCAGGAAGAGGATTTAGACAAAGAGCTGAGCCAGGTAAATTATCTCAGTTTTTAATTTTAAGGTGATGTCTTTATATTTCATTTAGTATGGGAAGGCAATAATTATAAATTATTTATCAATATGAAAAACCAACAATTTCTTGTTTATGCCAACTTCTGATAGTCACGCCTGTCACAGTAGCACATGTGCTTTATTATATTATAATTTATTATTAGTATTATTTCCCCCTTGAAGCTTAAATCTGAGGAGAGTTCCCTCATGCAGCAACTAGAGAGTATTGAATCTGAACATCTGCTGGTTCAGGAGCAGTTAAGGAAAGAAAAAGAAGATTCAAAGAAATTAGATGAAGAGGAGGAAAGGTTGGTGTGAATAATTGAAATCTTGAAATTTCATTTGTATATGATTTTGTCTGTTATGTAAATCTTTACAGGTTGAGAACAGATGACTGTTTAACAATGGTTCTCTTGGTTTCAGGTATTACAAGGAGTACAATGAATATAAAAGACAGCTTGTGGAGTATGAAGAGAGCCAGAGAAGGTGAGAACTGTGACTAGGTAGGAAAAAATTAAGCTTTGCCTGGATTACTCCATCTGTTAATAAAAGTTAACTCTTTTGACTACTGAAAAACACCAAGGACGGTACCTTGATTTCATTATCTTTGGATCTCTTTTTTAGACTGACTTAATTTATGCTTGATATATTTCAGTATTGATAACCAGTTGAGGTATGCTCAGGTTCAACTTGAAAAACTCAAGAAAACTAATGTTTTCAATGCCACATTCCATATATGGTAAGTTGCTACAGTATTTTCTCCATTATTCATCATAACAAATTTTGATACACATATGGTTAATGCACAGTCATGTTATTAGTGCCAAAAAATTAATTAGAAATTTCTGATAAACTGTAAAAGGGTGTAAGAAATAAGTGCAATAGAGTATCAATGGCAAGTACTAGTACTTGAGTGGGGAGGTGCAAACCCTTTGCCATTAGCACCATGATAATTTATATTACAGGCATAGTGGCCATTTTGGGACAATTAATAACTTCAGGTTGGGAAGACTCCCAAGTGTTCCAGTAAGTGGATCTTATTACGTTTGAAATGCTGACATAGTTGTAAAGTAATGCGCTATTTCTTAAATAGAAAAAAGCTTAGGTAAATATTTTGCCTCAATCAATAGCATTTGACAAACTTTTGTAGATAATACTTTTGCTACATCTTTTATGGCTGTTAAATTGAGAGAAAATACATAATTATGGTAGTTATTTTGTTCTTACTTCAGCACATAGAACAAAGTTGCTGTCTGTTATTGTATTTTAGCTAGGTGCTTTGGATTGAAGCAAACACAGGACACACTACTGCCATCTATCCATGTTTTCTAATTTTAAATAGGTAGACTGGAATGAGATTAATGCAGCCTGGGGACAGACAGTGCTTCTCCTTAATGCACTAGCCAATAAGATG